GATGGGGACCGTCGTGTTTTCCTTGGCTGTCAAGAATCTCAGCGTTTAGCCTCCTATGTCCCTAAATTCCCTCTTTGGTGGAATTCCAGATTGCCTGTTGGCCCCCATCGGATCTCCTGCATTCCCCCAGGAGGGGCCGGGAGATGTCGTGGTCCCAAAGGGCACCTGCTCCTTGTTGTGGATAAGCGAATGGGGAGAATGTGGGGAAATGTGTGTGATGTCTGCCTGTGTTTACTCCCACGCCATGGGGAACCGAGCCAGGTGCTGATCAGATCGGAATGGGCAGACCCAACCTGCAGGAGGACTTGACTGCCAGGCAGCGTCCTGTCTCAGAGCTCACCCTGTGAGAACTGAGTGCTGCCTGGCACTCAGGATCCCCTGGAAATCACCAACCCAGCCCCCGGCTTCCGTGGTGCGGGAGGCTTGAGTCACCGTGCACACAAGCCTTTCCCGGAGTGCAGCCTGCGTGCCTGTGTAGTCGGAAGGGGGAGAGGCTCTGGGCAGAGTGCACTTGGACCCTGATACTCTTACTTCAGATACATAATTTTTATTCTTAACAGGTTTTATTTATTGTGATGGGAAGCGTAATCTGAGCATCACTGTGTGCACAGAATTAAAGTCAGAAAGCAGCTTCAAATTCTAGGCTCTTGTTTTTCTTGGCTAAGCTCAGTCTCCTGGTTCACTGGTGTTTCTTATGTGGAGGATGTGGAATAACCTGGGGTGGTCACCGGGAGGACGGGAGCTGGGGGAGGGGGTTGGTGGTGGAGCAGCGGGACTTCTCTCTTCTCTCCCGGAAGCACACATCCTGCCGCACCCTGTGGCCCGGAAGTGTAGGTCGCCCAGGTGACCGGCTGCTCAATCCCAGCACCTGTGGTGTCAGCCCTGCAGCAGCTCAGCCTGGGGGGAGCCCTCGGGCCTCCGTGTCCTGATTGAGGGGTCTCAGTTGCAGCACTGACATCTCAGTGTGGTTTGGTGACCTAGAGAAAAACCGTAAGGTCCCAGGACCGTGTCCAACCGTAGCAGGCAAGCAGTAAACAGTAGTTATGATTGTTACACTGTTGGAATAATAGCAACAGCGGCAACAGCAACTGTATGAACACCACACAGCTACTGCTGTTGTTACCCCAGGAAGAGAATTCTCCCTAGAGTAGCGAGGTCAGTCCCAGGGGCTTTTCAGTCACGGCTGGCATTGGAAGCCACCAGGCCTGTAGATCATACACCTGAGGGTAGGCACAGCTTCCTGCAGTGAGATCCGGGATGGTTTTCTTAGGTAGATGTGAAAAAATGCTGTGGTGGGTGTGCACTGGAGGAGGACACCAGTGAGGTTGGTTCCCAGCCGCGGGCGTGGCCGTGTCTCCTCTCCTCTGCTGGGGCCGTGGAGCCCATGCTCAGCCTGTGTTCTTCGCAGGTCTCTGGAGGTGCCCTGGGCCGGGCTGCCATCCTTGGTGTCACCTTGTGTCCTGTGAGAGGCACGAGGGAAGCCTGGCTGGTCGGGAGGGGTATAAAGGGCTGTGCGTGCTGGGGGCTCCTCTGTCCTACGCCCACACAGAGTGGCTCCATGAGGCTATGCTGAGCTGCAGGCCAGGGCTCGCTGGAGGGACCTGCTCTGGCTAGAGGTCACCAAGGCGCTTATCTCTCGGTGAGCACAAGGCCAGCCCTTCATGTGCTCGGGACAAGGGAGGCCTGGGTCAGTGGCCCATTGACTTGGACCCTGCTTGGAGTCCCGCAGCAGCGCTCGTAGTCAGGAATGGCACAGAGGTGACGGCTCTGCCATGCGACAGGCCAGGAGGCTGCTTAGGCCCACCAGAGGGAAGGGTGCAGAGGTCTGGGCCCCTGGTCCCTTTGGGAACCAGCCTTTGCTCTTATGCGCCTTTTAAAACTCACGGTAATTGTGATTCCCGTGAACTGTCGCCCACTGGCCAGGGCCTGGCCACGTTTTCTCTGGAATTGGGCACTGATTAAGTCAGGAGCTTTTCTCAGCCTCCCCTGGGTTTGTCCCTGAGGAGCTGCGAGGTTCCCAGGGTCGGGGTGTTTGGGAGTGGAGTCCTGATCCTTTTTGGAGGCAGAGGGTGCTCCTGCAGAGGTCCTTTTTGAGCAGTATGATTATTTAAAGTCAAAATAGTTTGATTTTTTTTTTGTTTGGTACCAGGGATTGAACTCAGGTCCTTGCGCTTGTGAAGCAGGCAGTGGCACCACTGAGCTAAACCCTGGCCCATAGTTTGATTTTTAAACAATTATTTTAAAGGTGAGAACTATCACTCGGAAAATGCAGTCCAGCCAGATAAGTGCAAGGAAGAGGCGAGTGTTGCTCAGGTTTTAGTGAGTGCCCTTCTGTCTGTTACGAAAGCAGGAGCACACATGTTAGTCAGGGGTCTGGAGGGCTGTTGTCATTCACCTGGTGGCATCTTTGTGATGACGTAGAAAGACCATGCCGCGTATTCCGTGTCTGCCTGGGGATACAGCAACCACTGCGCCTTCCCCTCCAGGAACCCTTAGGCTATTTTAGGTTTTGCTAAGCCTCCTTGGGCATTGTTTTCTCCATGAACAATGGACCTTTGTGGTCGTATATTTCTAGGGGTGGGTTTGTGGGGTCCCAGAGCCTATCTCTCTGCTGGTCCTCCAAACATGTGACCCTGTAGGGTTGGACAGGGTGTGTTTGGATGTCCCCTGATTAGGAGTCACTTCCACCTTCCTCAAAGCTCTCAGGAAAGGCGTCTGACCTGGGCACAAACCGGCAGCTGCTGAGTCAGCTGCAGTGATGCTGTCCGGGAGGTGAGGTGAATAATCTGACTGTCACCATACCCAGCCGGACGCCTGCTCCTCCCAGGTGACACACAGCGAGTCAGACCCCTCTGTTCCAAAGCAGCAGGCGGGATTTCAACCCATGCGGCCCCTGCCCAGGCCCTGCCTGGCACTGAGCGTAGCATACTGGGCTCTGTTTTAGAATGGGCTCTTTGGGAGGCTGTGGAGGTCCTGGAGTGGCCCGGCGAGAGTGGCACCAGGGAACAGGACCTGTTTGGTCCATGGACAAGGCCGGGCCGCGATGAGGGCTGGCGGCGTCTGAATAGTGGGGCGAGTGGACGTGTGGACGGAGCCCTGCAGCTCCTCCTCCTGCTCCTCCCGCTCCTCCCCTCCCGCCGGCTGGCAGGCCGGAGGAGAGGCCTGGACTGCAGCGGCGATTAGTCATCCACCCAGGAGTCCTTGGAAAGTGATGGAATCGCACATTCTAGAGACTTTACATAAAAATAAAAAACAGCAAAAACACCATGATTTCATTGGAACAGTGTCCTACTTGGAAGCTTAAGTTGGTCAGTCTTCAATTCGGGCCTCACTCCACTCTGTTCCCTGTAAGGTCCTTCTTCCTCCTGTAGTCCCAGAAGAGAGGCGTGTGGAGAGGTCCACCGCCCGGAGAGAGACTGCAAACACGATTCAGCAGCCAGGCCCGGTGCCTGTGGGCCCCGCCCTGTCGTGTTGGCTGTGACTTTGCGCAGGACCTGTTGGGGCCTGGGCCCCAGTTTCTGCATCTGCACAATGTGAAGTCATAGAGTTCCCCTTCGGCGCTCCTGTGCCGATGGACCGATGTCCGCGTGACCACGCACGGCGTCAGCCCGTGCCGGCGGGGTCTGGGGGACGGCTTTTGTGAGGAGCAAGTGTTCTCTCTGGGGAGAGCGGCTTCCTTCTGTCAGGAGCGGCTCCTTGGCATGGGGACGAGGCTGGACTCTGAACCACACCATCCCTGGGGGTCTGGATACACGCCATGGCTGAGTGGCCTTGGAGTGCGGAGTGGGGCTGGGGAAGGGGCCGCCGGGGCGGGAGGGGCCTCCCCCTTGGCTGTGTGCGCGGGAAAGAAAGGCAGTGCTCCTCGGTGGTCCTGCTGAGCTCTGTGCACCTCCTTCTCCCCTCAGCCTCCTGACAGCGGGCCCCCGCCACTGCCGACGTCCTCCCTCCCGGAAGGCTACTACGAGGAAGCTGTGCCGCTGAGCCCCGGAAAGGCCCCGGAGTACATCACGGCCAGTGAGTGGCATGGGCTGACCAGGCCTTGCCTGGGCGTGGAGGGGACGAGCCCTGTGCACCACTGCAGAGATGGGGCCGAAGCGAACTTGGCACCAGGGCAGGTGGCAATGCAGGGAGGGCTCTGAGGAGGCAGAGGTGCCACCCGGTGCCCTGACTCAGTGGTTCCTGGAGGCCTCGAGTCAGCCGATCGTGTGCCAAGGAAATGAGTGCCAGCAGATGAAGAGCGGTGGCCCCTGTGGGCTGTTTTATGGGTGCCTGCCACCCCTCAGTCCCTTCGTCTTTGCCCAGTCTGTGACCCCTCCACACAGACTGGAGCGGCTTCTTCCAGGCTGCTGGTTAGGCAGAAGTAACTGGGTACAGAGCACAGAGGCCTCTCGACTGCAGGCTTTTATTTGTTTATTTGTCTCTCTTTGGGGGGAGGAGAACAGGTTTTGCCAGAAAGTTTGTGCCAAAGTCGCAGTTCTCACGGCTCGGCTCAGCTCGGCTTGGTGTCCACTCGCTGATAAGGCTGAGAGGCGCCCGTGGTAACGCTGACTTTGCCAGTACGGCAAGACCAGCCGGTGCGGAGAACCTGACACGTCTCTCCAGTCGTTCTGAGTAACCGGTGTTTCTCTTCGCAGTCTCCGTCAGGCAGGCGCCCTGTGTCAGAGAGGAATCACACTGGCGTCTGAGTCTGTCAGCTGAGGGAGTCCTGCTCGCCTTCTTGTCAGGTGGAGGGTGGGAAGCGAGTGCAGGCTTCACGCACCGAGCTCTCCCTGTGCTGGCCTGTGCTGCAGAGCTCCCTCCTGCCCTTGTCCCGGGGATGTCAGTTACCTCAAGTCTGCGCCGTGCAGACCTGGCTGGTGTGTTCCTGGTGTCCTCCTGCACAGTGAACAGCCTGGCTGCTGCTCAGAGAAGAATCTGTCCATGGTGGAAGGCGGCACCACAGGGGGCCCATCCCAGGCCGTAGGAGTGGTGGGGAGCCTGTGCCCAAGGCTGAGCTCCCTCCGCCCACCCACCTGACCCCAGACGTCCTGGCCGGCCACAGCCCTGTCAGTCGCCATGCTGGCAGGGGGACAGCTCCAATTCCACGGCCAGGGGACTTCAGGTGTTGAGACCTGCAAGGCGGATGTCTTGCCTTCTCTTCCACTGAAGAACCTTCTGGCAGAAGAGAGACCACGCACTGCCACAGCCTCTAAGGGTCCCCTGTCACCGAGCCGATGAGGACACACAGAAGCCGACCCGCTGCCTTCTCCAGTTAGACAGGAGTGCAGGGCGGTTCGCCGAACCCCACCCAGTTCTGCCTTTGTCAGAGGGGCAGGGGTTTGGGGGACTGAGCCAGCCACGCCCTTGGGAGTGGAAGGCTGTTGTCGACTCCACCTGGAGGGTAGGGCAGCTGTGGGAAGAGGCCTGGGGACGAGGAAGGGCAGGCTGGAACCCATGTGTCCACTCACGGATGTCTCGTGGGCCACACAGGAGGGCCTGGGAGCTGTCCCCAGAGCCGCAGTCACCCACCCACCTTGAGCCGGGACCCAGTGGATCTGGAGGGCTGTGACCCTGCCGTGATCACATGCCACTGACATGGGTGACAGCACAACGTGTGGCTCAGCATTCAGCTGCCGCCTGTGACAGGAACCCCCTGGTTCTGAGAGGATACAGTCCCCTCATGCAGGCCCAGTGACACCCACTCCTTGGAGAGCCTTACATCCCCAGACTGGGCCTTTCTCACGAAGGCAGAGGAGGCTGGGTGCAGGGAGAAGGCAGGTGTTCACCCACACGCTTACACACGGAAACAAGGAAGGGCCCTGCACGAGCTCAGTCCCCATGTGTTCAGGGTCAGCCGCACCCCAGTTCCTTCAACACCACCCAGGTTTGCTTTGCTGCCACAGCCTCCTTGCACGGCCACAGCTTATCTTCTGGTGGTGACCCAGCTCCTGTCTGGAAGGCCCTGGCCACCAGGACTTCCTGTATTGGACATCTGTGGTCATCAGTTTTCATCACAGGCCCCGGGATCCCGGCTCTCTCGTCCTGGCCCTTGTGTGGTCACAGCTCCCTCACTGTCAGGATCAGCCCCCTGAACCTCCTCGGTGACCATGACGCTTTCTCTGCCTGTGGCTTTCCTGGTCTGTGGAGCCCGGCATGGCTGGGGACAGTCTCAGCCTTCCTGCTTAGTGGAACTGTGGCCACTTCCTTCCCCTGGGCCAGTGCATCCAGAACCCTGGGGAGGGAGTGGGTCCAGAGGAGCCACTGCCCTTCGTAGCCCTGTCCTTGGGCCTGGCGAGTCCTGGCTGTGGGGCTGGGTCACACACCTCTGGGAGATACTTGGAGATGTCACCCAGCCCCCTGAGGTGTTTCCAGGGCTGGCACTGTTGCTGAGGTTCAGAGCCTGTTCCTTCTGCCTGTCTGGTGGGCTTCTGCAGGCTGCTGTACTTCATATGTAGCATACAAGGCCCTTGCTCAGTCAGGGCTGCATGGGAAGGCATGGAAGGAAGTTCACTTTCATTATCCCTTCCTGCGGTAGTGGACAGTGGTGACAGCTCTTCTCAGGGGCAGCTGATAGGGGTCAGTGCTGGCCTCTGCTGTCTGCAGGTGGAGGACCGGAAGCACCTGGACTGTTTTTCCTGAGTGGAAGGCTACACTGCCGATTTTCACGCTCACCTCCTCATGGCCACCACAGCCACTTGTATGTGAATGAGAATCTGAAGGTGACGGACACATGTGTGGGTCATGGTGGCTGCAGGCTGAAGTGGCTTTGCCGGGCACTGACCTGGCACATGGGCCCCACACTTTCCCCAGACCACTGGGAACCAGTTTTCTATCAGGTTCCCCTCAAGTCCCGAGCACACAGCCAGCCTTCAAGGCAATGCTGGTGAATCAGAGCTGACAGGAGGATGCGGCATGACAGGAACAGGCCAGGGCCATTGAAGCTAGATGCTTTTGCCACTTGCTCACATCTTTGGGACCTGATGCAGTCTGCTTCAGTGTAGACCACATTAACCCACTTCAGTTTGATGGCAGGATGTCCCTGTAGACCACTGACTTATTTACTTTTCTTATGGTGGAGACGAAATATCTGACATCCAAATTGAAAGAGGGAAAGATTTATTTAGCTCACAGTTTGTAGAGGTTTCAGTCTGTAGTCGGCTGGCTCCAAGGCAGGGTGGCATGGCAGATAGTCATTGCAGAGGAGAAACAGTTCATGGTGGGCAGAAGGCAGCAAAGCAAGCAAGGGAACAAACAAGTGACCGTAGCAGCTTCTCTCTGCCTCTTTTTATAGTCTGTCTAGGGTACCAGGATTAGAATAGTGCCAAACCAATCAGAGGACTGATTCAGTAATCAGACACCCTCAATCCCAGCATCATACTCTATATTCAGCATCCTCTGAAAAAGCCCCACCTATGACCACATGAGGCTTTGCGGGGACATCTAGACACAGCCATAACAACTGCTCTGATTGGTGAAGGAGTGCCCCATAGATGGCTCTGATTGGTGAAGGAGTACTTCGTAGATCGCTCTGATTGGTGAAGGAGTGCCCCGTAGATTGCTCTGATTGGTGGAGTGCCTTGTAGACCGCTCTGATTGGTGAAGGAGTGCCCCATAGACCACTCTGATTGGCGATGGTATGCTCCTCGATGCACCAAATAACCCACAGTTCATGTCAGGCAGCTCAGGTTGCATCCTGCCTTGGTGTCTCGTGGTGAAGTCTTCATCTCTGCTGGAGCTTCAGCAGCCGAAAGTACAATAGTGATCTTCAGAGGATGATGTAACTGTGCTTCGAAATCCCAGGGGTCTGCGAGAGCTTCACCTGCCCGAGCCTGCCAGAGGTACCCATCACCATCTGGAACAGCTGGGGTTTGATTAGAGGAGCAGAACCTCCATGATAAGGAGCAAGATCTTCTAGGGATTAGGCCTGGCACAGCCACGGGCCATTTCCAAACACGAGTCGCTCACTGCTCACTGCTCTGCACAGAACCCCGGTGGCCTTCCTTCCCACTCAGAAGTGAGAGCCACCGTCCTCACAGGGGAGCCCAGAGGAGCCTCTGCAGAATCGAGCTGTGCTCCCTCATGTGCTTGGCTTGGGCACATCGCCCCCGCAGGGCCCATCTCCCCCTAGGGTGTAAGAATAAAGCAGGTGAGTGTTTCCATGTTTGTGTCTGGCACAGAAGTGCTCAGTAAATACTTGAATTAATCCCTGGCTGGTTTTATGGCTCCTTAGCTTTGTTCTGTTGATTTGCCTGTGCAGTTATTTTCTTTTTTGTGTGTGTGCGGAACACCTAATCTGTGCCCATTTTTGGTGCTCAGAACTCTGAAATGCAAGAGCAAGGAAAGATATGTGTTAGTCACCTTCCTGTTACTGTAAGGAGATAGTTGAGCAATTAGCTTTTATACAGAGGAAAGGTTTATTTTGCCTGACAGTTCTGAGGTTCTAGTCCAACACAGAGGGGCCCTGTGCCCTGGGCCTGTGCCGAGGGCGGTGACTGCAGCAGGAGTGCATAGTGGAGCCAAACTTCTCACCCCAGGGCTGAGAAGCTGAGAGAGAGGGAGGCTGGGATCCCACAGTCCCCTCAAGGGCACGGCCCCAGTGACCCCGAGACCTCCCCGCAGGCCCCGCCTAAGGCTGCTGCCTGAGCCCACGACTTTTCTGCCGAGCCTGTTCCTTCTCTGAAAACTCAAGGTCAGACCCCAGAGAGACCTGGCGGGCAAGTCACACGTGCAGGGTCTCCCTGCTCCCGAGGGGCAGGCACGCAGACAGGGTGCCACGTTCACTCAGCGCTTAGCTCCGAGGGCAGCTTGTGGACTCTGAGGGTGCGTTCAGGACGGGTCCTGGGCTGTGTGTGAGGGGCGACCCTGGGCGGCGTGCATCACGGGCTTCCTGCGAGGGGGCTGCTCTGGTTTGCTGGATGTGCGTGCACTGTGTGCCATTGCATTTATGCTGGTTTTTTAAAAATCTGGAATAAATATTTCATAGTTAAAAATAACCGCTATTGGAGCATCCTGCCTGAAGTGGAACCCTTGGCGAGGGAGTCCAGGCTGTGCCGACTGATGGTGCTGGTCAGCGCCCTCTCCTCTGCCCCTGTGAGCCCCTTCAGCTGTGTCTGCACCCCAGCACTCATGGCAGCGTCAGAGGTGCTCTCGGTTCCTCCCTCCTCCCTCCTGCTGCTTCTCTGACTCTCCGGCGCTGTTCCTTTCCTCCTAATGTGACGACAAGCCCCAGCCCCCAGACAGGGGCTCCCTGGGGTCCCCACCCCCATTGGGTCTGAGACCCCATCTCTGTGCTGAGTGAACATGAGGGGCTCTGTTCTCTTTATTGGGCAACTGCCGAAGATGATTTTTGGCATTGATTTTTTTCTGAGGCCCTTTTGCTCCTGGCTGCTCTTGTTTCCTGTTAAGTTGGCCAAAGTTTTCTAGAGACGGCTCTGGCCTGCTGTCAGAGGAAGGCAGGACAGCGAGTGCTCTGTCTCTTCGCAGCTGTTGCCCTCAGCGGGTCCCCAGGATGAGAGGGGCTGCCAGGATGTCATTTGCCCTTTCTGTGTGAAATCAGCTGCCCTGGCTCCCGCCTCAGCCCTGGCCCTTAGGGCCGTGGTCTTGGCTGGGTGACTTCATCTTCAAGCCTGGCTCTCCCTTCGCTCTGAATGAGATTGCAGTGCTCGTCCTGCTCTAGCGGCCTCGTGAGAGCTGTTGCAAGCGCCCCAGCCTCTGTGTTTCCAGCTCTGTCCCTGCACTGGCACACGGACACCAGTGCCAGAGAGCGCTGCCCAGGCGTGGCGGGGCCCGGAGGAAGGGCTCTCACGGCTCATGGGTCTGTCCTCAGTCTTTCCTCCACTTGTCATGAAACACCTTTGGAGCTTGGTGTTCCAGGAAACAAGCTGAGCTCTGGGGGCTCCAAAGCAGAGGTGGAGGGGACCCTGAGTACCCTGCCCTCCCTCGGTACCGCTCCTGGTGTCCCTGAAGGCCCCACCCGGCCCCTGCACCAGTGTCCCAGGACCACTGCACCTGTACCCAGCAGGCACCTTGGCACTGGCCCCAAATCCTCCTCGGCTTCTTTTTGTCACTGAAGACCCTCTCAGGCTGATCATCTTTCTGCTCGCTGCTCTGTGGATTCTGGACTAGGAAACGGAGAGGCAAACACGGCCGCCCAGCACAATCAGAATGGTTTCCGGGTGCAAGGATCGAGAGCCCCACTGTGTGGCAGGTCTGCTGCTTCTGCAGCTTCTGGGTGGAGTGGGCCCTGCATGGGCCATCGCCGCTCCTTAACTGCCTCCTTCGTCATTGCCTCCATTTCTCAAACAGGCTTCAGACAGTGCCTGTGGATGGAGGGGAAGCAGAGGTGAATCGGACTCTGCCTCCAGCAGCTTGTCCTCCCAAGTGGCTGCAGGTGACAGTCCGCACATGTGCCGAGCACCTTGAGGGCTCATGGGACAGTTCTTCCTGCTGTTTGTGTACTCGCCACGGGGCAGGAACTCCAAGAGGTGCTGGCTGTCACACTCAGCAGCCAGTCTCCCTTCCACCGAGGCTCACGGGGCTCTGCGTGGCATCAGCAGTGTGACTGGAGGGCCTGTGAGGCACTGGGCGCACAGAGGAGGGAATCCGACCCAGCCTGTTCTTGGGCTCCCCTGCTATGACAGAGGTGCCCTTCTCCCCGCGTTGCAGGCTGGAGTCCCAGGTCCGACCGGTTCTGTGCCGGCCTCTGCTGGCCTGTGGGTGCTGCCGTGTCAGTGTGCCCACATGGCACAGTGGAGTGAGCCATGCCCTCTCTCGTAAGGCCACCAGTCCTATTGGGTTAGCAGCCAACCCTGGTGACCACTTTCAGCCTGAATTATCACCTCAAAGCCTCGTTTCCAGAGTCACAATAAAATGAAGCCTTGCACACGCGAGTGGTGGGGGCGCTCCGTGAGTGTGCAGCATGAGCATTGGTATTCAGAGAGGGTTGGAGGAGGTGTCGGGTACTGATGTCCCCGAGGGGCGCACTTACCCAGGCCAGGCCAAGAGGGAGCGGGTGTCACGGAAGCCTGGGTCCTGGCAGAGACCCCAGGAAATGGAGAGTGTAGCACGCGCTTCGGAAACTGAGCATTCTGTGCACAGCAGGGTGATCTCCTGGGAAGGTGACCAGGAGGAGAGAGGTGGCCTGGGCTGGGTCCTGAGTCCTTGGAAGGGTCTGGGCATGTGGTAGTGCCAGGAAGGGTGGGTGGTGCGGCTTAGGGCCTCCAGCAGTGAGGTGTGGCCATGGGGGAGCAGAGGGCCACGCGGCAGGAGTTGCAGGTGGTCACTGTGGGGCCTGGCTTGTGTCCACGGTGTAGGGTCCAGACAGTGCCCTGTGCACACGTCTGGAGGTGATTGGCGTAACAGTTGGGCTTCCCCTGCCCGAGCCTTTTAGAGGGGCTGGTGCTGCTCCATGGTGAATTCTATGGAGGCAGAAATGTGGCCACGAGGCCCAGAGCCTGCAGGTGAGCTTCAGGCTCAGCTCCCCTTACCCTGTCTGCTGTCTCTCCACAGATTATGACTCGGACGCCATGAGCAGCTCCTATGAGTCGTACGACGAGGAGGAGGAGGACGGGAAGGGGAAGAAGGCCCGGCACCAGTGGCCCTCGGAGGAGGCCTCCATGGACCTAGTGAAGGATGCCAAGATCTGTGCCTTCCTGCTGCGGAAGAAGCGCTTCGGCCAGTGGACCAAGCTGCTCTGCGTCATCAAGGACACCAAGCTGCTGGTAAGGGCCGGGCAGTGCAGGGCTGTGCGACCGCTCAGATGACCCGCCTCACAGGATGGGGCGCTGGGGCTCAGCAAGTGCTGTGCCCCTCAGGATCTGGATCCGGCCCAGGGTAAGCCGAGCCCACGCCGGTGCCCACCTGTCTTTCGGGGTGCTGGCATGACTTCCGGGATGCCTGCCCCCCAGCGAGCCAGCAGTGGGTATTGTTCCCGGGCTAGGCCTGCAGCTCTGGCCGTGGAAACGCAGTGCAGCTTGCCAGGAGTTTCAGATGGGTTTTCTCATTTGTAGTGAGTCAGTGAATTCCTCAAAGCCAGGTCATGGAAGTGGGAAGGCAGGCGGGGGAGGATGCAGGGCAGGAGGCCAGGAGGGGAAATTCTTTCGGAAAGCTTGAAGCCAAGTCTTTTTTTTCATGGAGAAGCAGAACAGGAAGATCAAGTAGCCAGAGGCTGGCTGGCCGAGCTGCTGTACTCCTCAGGCTCCCTGGAAGGAAGCGGGGCCTCTGGAGCTGCCATGACCTTGCCTGCCTCTACCCGCTCCTCCCCCGGCCTTCTCCCTTCAGAAATCATAGTTGAACTCAGAGTCATGAACTTTACAGTATTTTTTTTTGCCTTTTGTTTTTCTTTCAAATTAACCTGGGGGCGGGGGGATCACTCCAAGGTCTGCCAATAATCAGAAAACCCGAGAATTTGAGTTTCTGGACATCGTATTTTATTTTCATTTATCATTTATTTTCATTCATATCATTTTATTTTCATTTTTTATCATCGGGGATGAAATAGAAGAAGATAGTGGTTTTTTAAAAGCAAGTTTTATGTGTGAATTATGGGAGTTTTTATTTTCCTAGATTCTTAGGACACTACATTTTTTAATTAATGCTTTTGTTCAATTTTTGTAAACAGAGTGCATATTTTTTCCACATGTGTGGCCTGAATTTCTCCCAAATTTACAGTATGCCAAAACTGATGCCATGGGGAGTTTTAAAGCATGAAGAAAAGAGGGATTAATATGGTCCTTATTTATAATCTGACCTAATAGCTGCAAGATGTGGATACATTACATAAAGATTTTAAAAATACACAACTCTTTTTTTCCCTGCTCCCGGGTAGTTGGGGTCGAGCCCTAGGCTTTGCCCTGAGCTACATCTCCAGCCTTTAAAATTTTTTTTTATTTTGAGACAAGGTCTTGTTATGTTGCCCAAGCTGGCCTTGAACCTTGGAAACCTCCTGCTTCGGCCTCCTCGGTCTCTGGGATTACATGTAGACCATCATGCCTGGCTGGGCTATCAGTTCTTATTTAACAGAGAAGCTCTGCACAGTGTGGGCTCTCTTTCGGCCGTGGTGAGGTCAGCAGTTTGGGGTCCATGACTCTTGGCCTCTCTCCCTCACCCCTCTACCTGTCTCCTCCTCCTGTACCTTTTTTGCCTTTCCTAGAAGTCTCCCCTCTCCATAGCAGGAGGATAACTGCTTCCAGTTAGAGTAGCTGTAAATACTGAAGAAGAAGTTCGTGGAAAACTAGGCAAAGCCCTGGCTTTGATGAGCCCTGTCTAGTTATTTCTATTATGAAGCATTTTTTAAAGTTGAGAAGTAATCCAGGATTGAACCACCCCATGACCTCTGTCGACAGTGAAGAAGTCAACAGTGATAAAGCAAGAACTTTCTGGTCCAGAAGCTACAAGCAGAAGTGAACCCTTGGCCTCAGGGTTCCGCAGAACCACGGACTGAGCCCTCTGTGGAGCTGGTCCCCTCTGTGCCCGGGTGGCCGGGCGGGGGGGCCACTGTGATGCCGTCACCACAAGCACTTGCTGTGAGCCCAGTGTGGGTGAGAGGCCCTCGGCCCAGAGCTCCTGTCACCCCCACTCTCACAGTGCCTGCTGTGGGCCACTGGGCCTGAGTGCACGGGGCTCCTGAGCCTTTGGCTCAGATGTGCTGCTCCCGGCCTCTCTGCCCGGCCCTCTTCCTCCCCGCTGCAGGCCTGTCCTTGGGGCAGTGCAGGCAGGGTCCTGTGTTGGGGAAGCTTCCCTGGGCCTGGCTGCCTGGGTCTGCACATGGCATTTGTGGTTTTGCTAAGCACTCGAGCCCTGTGACCTGGGCTGTGAAGTCCCCTTCCCACCCCTGCTGCAGCGCTGTGGTTTCTGTCACCTCCCCTGCTATTCAAAATGCAAGAAATCTGGGAGGTGGTGAACATTCATAGTCATCTGAGCTTAGATGGCTTGGGAGTATTTTTTAGACAGGGCAACTGTCAGTCGGATTTTTGAGGTAGGTAACCCTGAGCTGGAACCGGGCACCGGGGGTGAAAGCTGTAAGGCAGGAAGGGCTCTAACAGATGGCACTGTGGCCGAGAATTTCATGTGATTCAAGTAATAAGAATAGCAACACACATTTTATTCATGAGGAAATGGGCTCAGAAAAGGAACTGCCTGGGACCCAGATTAGGTTAGTGGCAGAGCGAGGACCCAGATGTCTGCCTCCGGGCTGAGTCTTTCCTGTCAGAAGGAGCTTCCGGCTCCAGGTAAGAGTTAAACAAAGAGCGGTGGCAGCGGCTGCGGGCAGAGGGCTGGTTCTGCCCTGTGGTGAAGCAGGAACCCAGTGGGCCAGTCTCAGCAGTGAGTTAGTTGGGGGCTCCTCAGAGTGGTCACAGCGGCGTCCCTGAGCAGCAGGCTGTCGGGAAGCAAGGCTGTGTTGCTTCCATCCACCGGGCACTGGGATTTGTGCTCCTGATGAGAGTGCACATCTGCCCGCGAGGAGGGGTGTGCAGACGACAGGGCAGGTACCACACACTGTGGCTGTGGGGTCCTCACTCGTTACATTGTCTCCCCACGTTGGACTGTGTGGCCGGAACACGTGGAGCTGTGTGCTTTACACGCTGTGTTATTCACGCAAATGCAGGTAGGTCCTGTGTGCTTTTATTTGCGTGCGTATATTCCTGGAGTTTGCGGAGGGCGCTCTGGTTGAAGGGGAGCTTTGCTTCCCACTGAATCGCATCCTGGCTGCTCCAGGCCAGTGGCAGCGTGAGCAGGCGGGCACCTTCCCTGCATGGAAGCGGCGTGTGGGTGTGCAGGGGCCCTCCGTGTGTGGTGCCACCGTCGGGCGGGGCAGCACTCGAGGGCTTCCCTTGCCACGTGGACCTTCTGGGGCCCGTTCAGACCTCCTCACACGTGAACCCATCTGTTGTGTTGGTTGCAGTGCTACAAAAGTTCCAAGGACCAGCAGCCACAGATGGAGCTGCCGCTGCAGGGCTGTAGCATCATGTACATCCCGAAGGACAGCAAGAAGAAGAAGCACGAGTTGAAAATCACACAGCAAGGCACAGACCCACTGGTGCTGGCGGTGCAGAGCAAGGAGCAGGCGGAGCAGTGGCTGAAGGTAGGTGGTGCTGGGCCCTGCACCTCCTGTATTCTGCAGCAGCCCCTGGTGACCGGGACCCTGTGTCCGCCGCCCCTTTGGAGAGAGGTTGCCCCCGCTTGCAGCTGCCTCCAGACTTTCCCTTGTATTTCCTGTAGTTTTGCTTTATTGTCTGCACACGGATCTTTCTGGTTTATTCCACCTGGGGTGTATGGGCTTCTGGATTGTTATCTTTCTGTGTTTTAGGAAGAATTCTCAGCTGTTTTCTTCAAATACATCTTTGCCGCACTCCCTTTCCCTGAGATGGTGTTTCATTGGTAGACTTGCTCAGCTCTGCTTTGTATGCTCTTTGTATTTACTGTCCTTTTTTTAGCCTGGCTTATTTTTTCTTGCTGTCTTCTGGTTCCCCGTTTCTCTCTTCGGCTGTTTCTGATGTGCCGTTGCATTTGTTTTGTTCATTTGCGTTCTTAGTGGTGGTCATGGCAGTGGCCCTCGTCCGCTCACGGTGCTCTGACTGGGGGCTTGTAAACCACAAAACTTGTTCTCACAGTTTTCGAGGCTGGAGGTCGAAGGTCAGGGTTCCAGCAGGCTCAGCGTCTAAGGGCTGCTTTCTCCTCAGGAGTCCTCTCTGGGCTTCTCCCTATGTCCCCACCTCTGGGGCTCAGGGCTCACAGAGAGATTTCTTCACCTCCTGGAGGCCCTGCCTCCGAACGCCACTGCCCCAGGGTCCGGATTTCAGTGTACGAAATTGAGGCAACAGAGTTCGTTCATCCCGAGAGTTTTCAGGAGGTGATGAAAAACACTGACCCTAAATGACTCAGATTCACTCGGGAATGAAGATTTTCTTCTGATGTTGCACCTTTAAGTCTCTTGGAGGTTCAGAAGTGCTACAGATGGGCTTCAAATGTGCCTCCTCCGCTTAACTCTCTCTTCACCCTCAGAGGAAACGTTTACCCAGAATTTGGTTATTTTCACAGTGCTCCCCCTTGTGCCCAGTGTGCCATGAGCAGCACACTCTCTCGTATTTAAACTTTCCTGTGAGAGTGCCGTCCAGCTCTGTGGACCCTGGGGGGTTCCTGTCACCCGGCAGGCCTCACACCTGTCCTCGTGTGCACTGTCCTTGGCACATTCCCTTGCCATCAGGCGGACACGAAGCCAGGTGCAGCCTGTGCGTGTGTCCTGCTGGCCTCATGTGTCGCGGCCTCTCCGGGATGGGCGCTGCTGAGCTGAGGCTGTGCACCCCGTCAGCCTCACTCGGTCTTGCCCAGTTGCTTCCTAGGACTGTGCATTACACTTCGGCCAGTGGTGCGGGGAAGCCGCCTTTATTTTGGATGTGTCCATGCCTGTACAAGCAGGCAGAAAGGCTGGTTGAACTGTCCTCAGCCCCCAGTTTTTTACCTGAACAGAGTGTCTCGGGATTTTGCCCTGCCCAGAGCAGAGCCCTTCCCCTTCTCTGTTATAGCACACAGCAGCTCTTCTGTAGTGCACTGTAGTCTCAGATGGCTCCCACTCTCGGGCACGGCCTCAGTCTTTTCATACGACCCGCAGACTCCAGTGACCACTCCAGTGACCACTCCATGCAAGCACAGGCTAAATTCTCACGTGAAGGCTTTAGCGTCTATAATCTGATGTAGGTTCAGTTTTCTCTCCTACCAGCAGTGTATCAGAGTGGCCAGCAGTGTTAGCAAAGTTTTGAATTTTTTCCCCTTTCTTTCTTCTTTTTTTTCCCATCACAAACATAATATGCTGAGATCGTACCAGGGTTTGAGGGAGGCAATCTCACGCAGTGTCATGAAAACCCAGCCAAACACACAGGCTTAGATATCGAATGGTTTTTCTGATATGAGAAACCAAAACTGTAAATGAAAGAGCAAAATAAAAGGAAGTTAATGGGAAAGAAGGAGATAGATCTTTTTTTCTTATAAATGCATTTAAACTATGTGGGATTTTTTTGTTTTTGTTTTTGTTTTTGTACCAGGGATCGAACTCGGGACCTTGAGCTTGTGAGGCAGGCGGTGGAACCACTGAGCTAAATCCCCGGCCCAAAACTATGTTTTCTTGTAAGCATAGCCACGTCCTATGTTGTGTGCCTCTATTATCATTTGGTTTAGAATACTTTCTTTTTTTGGGGGGGGGTTTAGAATACTTTCTAATTGCTGTTTCTCCTATGGCTAATGGCTTATTTAGGAACATATCGCTGACTAAACAGCCAACAACTTTAGAAAATCATTTGTTTTTTAAAAATCTAGGGCCAGGGATTTAGCTCAGTGGTGCCACTGCCTGCCTTAAAAGTGGAAGGTCCTGAGTTCAATCTCTGGTACCACACAAAAAATAAATAAATAAAAATAAAAATCTCCATTTAACTCTATCACACTCACAGACTTCAGGTGAGTCAGTGTCCCAGAGCTGTCTGGACGTGACGCTCTGCTCGGCGGAGGTGGGCGTGGCGAGGGTCCTTTGCCCACGAGTAGAGGACCCGTGTTCTGCAGTTGTTTGCTGCTCAGGCCTGTACAGGTTTGTAGGTCACGGTCAGTGACTGTCAGGTGCCGACCTTCAGGTCCTTACTCATTTATTTGTTTGTGTTTTCAAAATAGCCTCAGACTCTGTAATGACAGTTGGATGGGAGTCAGTCAGTGCTGCCTTTGTGGCTCTCAGTCTCTCCTTGAAAAGGCCACGTACACCTTTAAGATCGAGGTAGGCTTTTTTCCTTTTTTTTTCCAAAGAACTACAGTCAAGAAAGAAACGGCCCCACCTGGGTGGAAGGTGCACCAGAGAGGCAGGCAGGCAGGCGGGCGAGTCCTGGAGCCGGAGCTGCCCGGAGCCCTTAACTCAGATGCTCGGGTCAGCCACTGCTCTCTGTCTGTCCAGTGGGAAGAGTGCTTATCAGGATCATCAAAAGGTAGAGCAAAAAATGATCTCAGGACACTCTTGGAACTATTATAAACAGTGTGTGTGCCTGTGTGCGTGTTTGTGCCTGTGTGTGTGTGTCCCTGTGTATGTGCCTGTGTGTGCATGTGTGTCCATGTGTGTCTGTGTGGGCCCGTTTGCATGTGTGCATGGGTGCCCGTGTGCGTGTGTGCTCACACATGCTGTAAGCATAAGCCGTTGTGCAGAGGTCGAACAGAAGACAAAGAGCAGAGATTCCCGGAAGCACAGTGGTCAGGTTTCCTTTAAAAATGTGCAGTGGCTGTGTTCTGGAGAGGAGGGCTTGAGTTAAAAACAAACAGAAATACCACAGAGTGCACAGCAGTGTGTTTTCGGAGGATCTGTGACTCAGGGTTTGGACGCAGAGCTCTGAAATGCACAGTGACCTTCTAGAACGTGCTTCCTAAACAGAAGCGCGTGAATGTAAAGAGCCGCCCGGGCCGGGTAAGGAGTCTGCAGTCCTTCCTTCCTTCTGAGGTCCCCTGCAGGCGTCTCCTGGTGTGAGATGAGGCCCGGGCAGAAGGACCTTGTGTGACATACCTGACTCGGCCCTGGGGGACACTGCCTGCCCAGGCGCGCTCTGCTCAGTGCCTCGCAGTGCCGGCATGCTGTCCATGTCCCGGCCAGAGTGCCTGGTGCTCCTCTCCTTCCCATGCGCTGTGGGTCGCATCGTGCAGACCCCTCTGCGGGGTATCTTACTGAAGCCTGGAGAGGCCCAGCTGTGCAGTGCCAGCCTGTGGAGATTTATCCCTGTGAAGATGCTGAGAGGGCTGCGGAAACTTTGTCACTAATTTTGCTGATGGCCTCGTTTCTCTCCTGATGTCTGTCATTTGTTCATTTCCTCCTCGTGGTGAGTCAAGTCTGGCTCACTCCCTTGCTCCTGGTCTTCTCTTGGCTTGGTCACACTGTGAGCAGGGCGTAGGGGCCGCAGACCCAAGCGAGTGCAGCCTCTGCTGTGACAGTCATTGGGGTGTGGCTGAGGCACAGCCCCTTCCTTCCCAGCTGCCCCCACCAGGCAGCCCTGGCCTCTGAATGTGTGCCGTGCGGGTGGCCGTGTGTGTGAGCAGCTCTCTGTCACTGTGACACAACACCCAGGGCCAACAGCTTCTAAGGAGGAGAGGCTCACTTGGCCCATAGGTCCAGAGCTTCTGGTCTGTGGTCTGTGGTCGAGGGCACTGTCGCTGTGGGCCTGGGACGAGGTAGCATGTCACGGCAGGGGCACGGGGTGCAGGGGACCTCTTGCCAGACAGGAAGCCAGAAAACAGAGACAGGAAGGGGCCGGGGTCCCACACACCCCAAGGGTGAGCTTGCTTCCCCACTGGGCCTCCCTGTACAGGATCCTGTCTCCTGACAGTCACAGGCTGGCCACCAGCCTTTCTGTGACAGTCCCTGTCTTTGGAGATGCAGCAGGAGCCCGGGGCTTGCTGCCTGCAGGTGTGAGTTGGAGCCCGAATCTTCAGTTCCCAAGGAGTGCACACCTCGTCCAAGGGAACCCCTACGTGCACCCCCAAAGGCCAGAGAAGAGGGGGAGCGGCTGAGAACAAAGAGGAGAGAGAAAGGCCCCATGTTGGTCAGGGAGACCAGCGGGATGCTGCTAGATTTCGTCACTGTCCGGTTTTCACACCGGCCCCTGTGCTGCTGTCAGCTGCGGAGCGTGACGCGCAGAGTAGGTTCTCAGCCTTGCATGTGTGGGGAGCCTGTGGGGAGCCGATGAGCTCAGCCCGGGCCATGGTGGGCACCAAAGCCGGGGCCTCCATGCTGTCCTGCTGCTTCCCTAGGGAAAGGACAAAGTCTTGTCCTTAAACCAAACCAAACTGGGCCCGGTTCATTGAAGATGCAATCATTGCGTGGGGGGAGGATGGACTGGGAAAGTGGAACCAGACGGAAGTGATGAACAGGAAGGGAGACGCCAGCCTCTGCCCTTGGCTACCTTGGGAAGGCACTGGTCACCAGACAGGACAGCATCGTGTGTGTCAGGCTTTCGCACCTCAGGATTCACAAGGAGGAAGCTGCTGGCGTGAGCCCCCCTGTCTGCTCCCTTCCTTGGCTTCTTTTGCCCCTCATCCCGGATGTGGACACCGCTCTGTTGCTTTTCTGTGAAACAGCTGAGCAGCGAAATGGCTGGAAACACGATCCGGGCCTCCTCAGTTCTTGGATGGAGTCCCAGCGCCAGTCACGCCCAGCGGCCAGCGTACTTGGAGCCTGCTGAGATCAGGCTGCGGGGCCGCTCGGATATCTGGAGCTTGGGCCAGGAGCTCGGGTTTGACCCAGATTGCAGCCTGGCTCCAGGAAGGGTAGATGGCGTTCTGAAAGTTTTGCCTCCCGACTGCGGGGAGGCGAGTGTCAGCCCTGCAGCGTGGGACCTGTCTGCCCCGTGCACTGTGTCCCCATGAGCAGGCAAGCCTGCACCTCTGCCAGCTCTGTAGTGATGAAGGAATGAGCTGGGGTGGCGTGCAGCGTGGGGGCCCATGCTGGCCTTCTGAGATCCTGGCGTAGGTGGCATTGGTGTTAGTGGTCTTGGTGGCGCCCACACTTGGAAGGTGTCGATGCCAGGCACTGGCTCAGGCGTGTTGGCCATGGGGCCTCACTTTCCCTTGGCCCTCTTTCTGCAAGACAAACCCTAGTGACTCCTGCCTTTGCTAGCGAGGAAACAGACTCAGAGAGGTGCAGTCCTTTCCTCCGAGGCGGCACAGTGAGGAAGTGATGTGCTTCCTTGTGGTTCATGGAGAAAGTGGACAGCCATCCGGGAGGGCTCCCAGAGCCCAGCATGAGAGCCCTTTCTGCCCTGCACCCTGCTGGTGTTCTGCTGGTGAAGCCCCGAGTGTGAACAGGCGCATGGAAAGTCCCTTCCCATGTGCGCCCCTTCGCTGTGGCCACTTCCCTGGGCTGCCCTCTGCTTCCTTATGCAGAACCCTCTCCCAGGGCCAGCGGTGCGGGTCTCTTCCTGCTCCCTTCTCCCCGCTGCCCTCTGCCCTGTGTCCGTGTCTGCACCGCTGCGCCCCATCCCAGCTTCTCACTGCTTTCTCCTCTTTGTCCACCCTTCAGGGCCGGGGGCGCTGGGGCCTTGGTCTCCCCAGCCGACCACTCCGGGCCATGGCAGTGGGCGCTGCCCTCTGGCCCGTGACCCCCACTTTATTCCTAGCTGTGACAGGAGATCTGCAGGTTCTTCACCTTCTGCATCTGCACACACAGCACCACTGCGCGCTGAGAAAACTGGGCCTGGGGCTGATCCGATCCCAGCAGACCTGACGCTGCTTCCTCCGGACACCTCCTTACCTGCGTCCGTCTCTCTCCTTGCTGCATCCTCTCTTCTCAGCTGCTGCACAAGCCTGCTTTCCCTGCCCTCTTTTCTTTTGCTCCTGTGTAGTTCTTTCTTCCCGCAACAACCACAGAGCTGTCTCCAGGCTTATAATAATCGAATGTGCGCTGTGTTAAGCATTTAGGTGTCCCAGTGCCCAATTGCTGCTATGGCAGTTTATAAATAATAGACGTTCATTCCACACAATTCTAGGGCCCGGGAAGTCCGAGGCCAAGGTTCAGGAGACTGGGGACTGGGCACGGCTTGCTCTCTGCTCCATAGATGCGGCCTTGTCACTTTGCCTGCATGTTGGAAGGGCAAAAAAGAGACAAATAGAACCCTCAGTGCTTTTCCAGGGCTATGATCCCGTTTGTGAAGACGGAACCCTCCTGTCCCAGCCGCCTGCTCAAGGCCTGGCTTCCTGCTGTTGCCCAGGGAGTCACCTGAGCATGACATCTGCAAGGACAGAAGCTTTCAGACCGCTGTGCCAGGGGCCTGTGTAAGCCCCTCCCATCCACCACCTGGCCTTTGCACCAGCTGTCCCTCTGTCCCTCTTTCTGTCAGCCAGAAGGCCAGAGCCTTTTGCACCCAGCACCATCATGAGTCACCCGAGAAGGGGTCCAGGTCTCTTGGTCTTACTAGGAAGCCGCCCTCCTCCTCGGGAAAGCACTGCCTTTACCTTTGCAGCTCTTCAGGCTGCCGCTGTGCTTTTGAAAGCTCTTACTGTTTATGATGAGACCCAAATGATAGGGGGTGAAGGGTACGGGAGCAGCAGCCTCGAAGGCGCTGCTCTGCTCTGTCTCCCACTGCCAGAGGGCATGGTCAGTGAAAGAAGGGACAGTCCCCCGCTGGTTCATGTGCTAGGGCCCTGCACCCCGAGTGCCAGCCTGCCCGCTCCTGGTCTGGCTCTCCCGCGCGGCCTCTGCCTCCGGTGGACTCAGTCGGTGTCTCTGCCCCCCACAGGTGATCAAGGAGGCCTACAGCGGCTGCAGCGGCCCTTCAGAGCTGGAGTGCCCACCCCCGGCCAGCGCCCCGCTGCAGAAGGCGGAGCTGGAGAAGGTAACAGGCGGGAGCTTCCACAAGTGGGACCTGTGGCCGGGCTGGGGCTCGCTCAGAGTGTTCTGAGATTTGCAGATGGATTTTTACCTTTGGCGGAGGCATGCGCGGCAACTACCTTCTTGTGGGGTACAGCGCGACCTGTCAATGCACTGCAGTAATGACCGGGTCAGGGCACTCGGCATATCCACCACCAGACGTTTATCATTTCCATCGTGTTGGGAACGTTCAGAATCAGCCAGTTTTAATAGCACTCCCAGAGAATTTAGCATTTCTAGGTGAAAAACAGTGTAGCCCTGCTTTCTGTCCGCTGAAATGCCTCCTTGGGCTAACTGGGCGGCCGCTTCTTAGGCCGTGGTTCGTGTGGCTCTTCCCAGCAGCAGGTGAGGATGCAGGGTTGCAGTGTGGAGGGCCTGGGGCAGATCGCCCACTGCAGGAGAAGGGCCGAGCGGGGCTGACTCCTTGGGCCCAGAGGCTCTTCCTAAACCAGCCTCCCGGCAGGCCAGGACCCAACTGTGGCCCTGGATCGCCCTCTGCCTCCCGTAAGGCAGAGGAGCCCCCAGTCTGTACGCGATGGCAGCCTGTCGCCTGCTCGCCCCACCTTCCAGAATGCATGGCGCCTGGTGAGGCCACACCACGTGCCGTCGGCCTGTGCTTTGTACACAGTTGATGCCGTTTCCATGGAGACCCATGGCTTCCTGCCCTGACGTCTTCTGCTGGCGGCTCGCGCCTCAGGAACTTTCTGAGGCCTCTCTCTTCAGCACCCCGGCCAGGGGACAAACAGATCCTTTTTCATCAGTCCTTGTGTTCGTTGGAGCTCCCCAGAGAAGCAGGCCGGATGGACGTGTGTAGGGAGGGGAGGCGACTCTTCAGAGGAGTTGGCTCACACAGCCACAGCAGGTGCAAGTCCACATCTGCAATGTGGGCGGCAGGCAGAGACCCGGGAAGCCCCAGAGCCTCTGCTGGAAAATCCCCTCCCCCAGAGAGGCGGGTCTTCCTGTTCTTTTATTAAGGCCTTCACCTGATTGGACGAGGCCCACCCACACCACAGAGGGCCCCGCCCAGAATCCACTGTTTTAAATGCTCTAGAAACACCCCCAAAGCTCACACTCAGAATTCACCATCTGATGTTTTGACAGGACAACCTTTTTTCTCCCTGGCAATAAAACGAATTCCTGCTCTTTGTAGAAAATGCAGAAAGTTTGGAGAAACAAACGGGGTGAAAAGTCCCTCGAAGGTCTGTCCCATAGAGAGGGCGCCCCCTCTTCAATGCCCTCCTTTTCCTAATCAGCCTTTTCTTGTTCCTGTCTTCTTGCTCTTACAGTTTGGATAATTTTATGCAGTAAAATTCCTTATGCTGCTTTTTTCCCACATCATCACAAGCAACAAGCATTTTTGCATTTTCCACAGCAGCATGACATTCGCATGACTGTTCACAGGTGCCTGCCCTGCCCTCACTCTATTATATTGTTCTCTGTTCAGCTGTTTAAAATGACCCAGTGGTTGATATTTTTTGCATAAACCTTTGTGGCATCTCTGCCTGTTGCCCGAGAAGATTTCTCCGATTTTGACTCATGTTGTTCATCAGGGTGCTGTTCCAAAAGCTCAGCCTGGTTTCGTTTCCCCCACTGCCCTCGGGACCAGTGTTCGCCTTTCCATATTTTGGTTTCTGAGGCCACAGGGCTAGCAGGTGCCCTCCACACCTGGCTCTTTGACCGACCGTGGCTCTCACAGGGTCACAGGCTCCTGTCTCCTCGGCCAGCACCGCCTGGCCCTGCCTTGTGAGCCGAGCCTGTGTGTCCCCATGTCCCGGGAATCACCCACATTTCCTTCATGTCGGCTCCAGGGTGAGGATCCGATCCAAGGGGCACCATCAAATGCCGTTCCCCGCCCACGGCTCCACAGGCTGTGGGTAGGAACGGCGGGGTCAGTGGGAAGCCCGCATCTCAGTCACGTGCCGACAGAGTCCTGATCATGCCCATTCAATCCAGGAACTGGGTGGAAGTGGTCAGGGACCCCGCCTCTTTGGAAGTTTCGGTAGGGACTTGTCCCTCGCTCTGAGTGTCCCAAACAGATGCTGGACACTCACCCACTATCAGTGAGTGGCAGGAGGAAATTAAGTGGATGGTGGGATGGATATTAATTTATGCAAGGATGATATGGCTCCATGAGGGGTTTTTTGTAATCCTAACATGTTCTCAGAATCGTTTGTAAGAAAGTTACTCGAATGAAGTGGGCATGACCCTATCTGAGTGTTGGGGTCATTCAGTCACAGGCAGCCTCAGGAGCAAAGGCTATGCAGGAGTAAAGCCCAGGACTCCGTGCAGCGCTGCGGCTTGGGCCCACGTTCCCTTCACGCACGGGTGAGCCTCCCCGTGCCCCAGGCCCGCAGCTGTGGTGTTGGAGTAACCCAGCCCTTGTGTGCTTGCAGAAGCTGTCTTCAGAGAGACCCAGCTCGGACGGGGAGGGGGCCATGGAAAACGGAGTCTCGTGCAACGGGAAGGAGCAAGGTGAGCCCCACTTGAGCCCGGTGTGCGCACTGGCGCACAGCTGTGGGGTGTGGCATGTGTGAGCAGGACCGGGGGGAGCCCCGGCCGCCATCCCCTGGTCCCTCTCGTCCCCAGTGCCACCCTGCAGGCCACAGTCTGGGCTTGTGCCTCAGGCGCCACACTGTGAACTCGGCCGGCCCTTCCCGCCTTGAGTGACCTCGGAGGCAGCCGGGGCTCTCGTGGGGCGTGGCCGGCGCCTCTCTGGGGGCCTGGTGTCCGGGAAGAGAGCTCTGAGTAGGGAGACGGGAACCCGATTTCCCCTCCAAGCTGGCGCTGCTTGGCATATGGTCCTGCACAGGCTCTCTGTGGATGAGCCTCAGCTTACCCCTCTTCGAAGGAAGAGGCCAAGCTCGCAGATTTCTGAAAACTTAAAAAAAAGATCGTCTGAAAATGTCTTTATTTTACTCGTATTTAATTTTAAAATTTTTTCAATTTAAAAAAACTTATGCCAAAATACTCTTATGATAAATTCACCTTCTTGACCCTCTTCAAGTGTCCCGTGCAGTGGCCTCAAACACATTCTCATTGTGTAGCTGTCGCCCCACCCACCGCCAGAGCGTGTCCGTCTTCCCACACGGAAACCCCATAACCCGGTCCCCATCTCCACCCACTGCTCTCAGTCCAGGACCTTGTGGAAGGCCCCAGAAGGCTTGTCCCTTTGTCCTGGCTTATTCACTTACACCATGGCTTCAGAATTCATCCACCTTGCAGTGGGTGTTAGAATTTCTCTCCTTTTCAGGACCGAGTAATAGTCCACTATACATGTTCACCACATTTTCCTCCTCCGTTGACCTGTAGCGGACACTCCATTAGCTACGCCTGCCTCTCTGGGCTGTGGTGAGCTCGTTGTCAGGGCAGTGCATCCACCGGCCTCCCACGTCACAGTGGGGACCAGCAGTGGCCCTTTCCTGCTGCCGAGCAGGATTCTGCCTGTGGTAGACACAGTGGTGCATCCGGGCACCGCCGTAGGACGATTGGGTGATCATGTGTGAAGCTGTCCGGACACCACCGGGCAGACTCGGGTGGACACGAGTTTCCCTGTCACGTGCATACGTGTCCAGCGTGGCGCTGCTGGGTCTCTCGGGTTCCACCCACCTGGGTCTCGCACTTCTGCCTTTAGAAGATAACCTTCCTAGCCATCTTTGCTGGCATGTGGTGTGGTGGCTCCCTCAGCGCTTGGCAGCGATGCGAGTCCTCACTCACTCCTTGCCAGTCCTCCAGGGTGAGATGCCCGTCCTCCGCCCACGTTTTTACCTGCTGGTCTGTTCTGATGGAGCGTGGAGGTCCTCCGCACATTCTGAGTGCGAACCCTGTGTCAGTGTGTTCCGCACAGGCCTTCTCTGGGTCTGCAGCCGGACTTTCGCTTCCGAGGCCAGCGCTGCAAAGAGTGGGTGGTGGAGGAAGCCAGACCTCTGTGCTCCTAGAGCCCGTGCCCTTGGCTGTGGAGGTGACAGATCCAACCCCAGCCACCGCCCTCCTTGGCCAGCAGGAAAGAGCATGAAGTCCTCCCGTGCCCAGACAGTGAGGCCATCACCACACAGGGGTCACGCCGGGAGGCCAAGCCGTCTGCTCCCCGTACGTGGTTTCCCAGTTTGGTCTGAGTATAATTTTAGTCCTGTCGGAGGCCGTTAGTGAGATGTTTTGTCTGTGTCTTCCCCGGGACACTAATTATGTGCAGTCCAGACCTGCAAAGCTATCTTTAAATTTTTCCCTGAAGCAAAATAACATCTCCATGTCCTGCTTCACTGTTTTTGTTTGTTTTCATTGTTTTGTTTGCTTTTGTCTTGAGATGCGGTCCCACTCTGGTCCCACGCTGGTCTCAAAGTCATAGGTTCAAGCCATCCTCCCGCCTCAGCCTTCCGAGTGCTGGGTTGACAGGTGTGCACCACGCCTGCCCCTCCTGTGCTGCTGAGCTGTGAGAGACACTGGCTGCCCCTGTTCTTTGCTGTAGGCTCTTCCCCCAAGGCGCCTGTGTGACGGGGGTCCCTGTGTAGTAGCGGATCTGTCCCCGGCAGGTATAGGTGAATACGTCAGTGTCTGACACCCTCATGTTTGCACCAGCCAGGGCAGCCTCTGTCCTCGGGATGGAAGACAACCTGGCCTGGGCATGGTCTTCTGCCTGGTGTGGTGCTTTGCTTGTGGCGGGCACTAAAGTCGCCCGAGGAGCCTGGTGGCTCAGGGGCATCCTAACCTCCTGTCTCCTCTCGCTCCCGGCTACCTGCCGTGGAGAGATTTCAGCTTGGCTCCTTTTCCCCACCGTGCTGTGACTCATGCAGCTCTCCCTGCTGGCCCAGGCGTCCACAGTGCTGTGGCCAGAACCAGGAGAGTGGCCCTGAGGCTCCTGCTTCTTCCTCTGAGGTGGAGTCCCTCGGGTTCAAGACACCAGTGCAGTGTGAGCCAGGCTTGGAGACACACAGGCAGTCCCAGCACTCTGGGAGGCTGAGGCAGGAGGATCATAAGTTCAAGTTCAGCCTGGGCAGCTTAGCAACCTAGTGGGACTCAAAAAGTGAGAAAGGCTTGGAATATACCTGTGCGTGGGCCCTGGCCCCAACCCCCAGTACTGCTTGAACTCGCATGGCCCCGACGGGGAGCCATTTGGGGGAGCAGTAAACATCCACCGATGCTGAGGCGACGTCAGGGCAGGGGAGGGTGAGGGCCTGGCCCCAGCCCCGCGGGGTGGCGGCACCTCTGGCACTGCACACCCCATGCTGAGGCTGGGGCCTGCGGGCGCGTGCTGAGCAGGCTCGGGGCCGGCCCCACACTTTCCTCCCACAGCCCAGGAGGAACGCTCTCGATTCCCGTTTCTCCAGATGGGGCTCTGATATTTATGGCTTTATAAACTGAGCAGAGCTTGCTTTGCCTTGCTTGTCTCTGTCACTCTTGTCCCCAGCCCGCCCGGGCCCTTGGACGCTTCTGTCCTCTGCCTGGCGCAGGCCCCTGGGGGCTCCGAGTTCAGGCTATCATTTCCAGTTCTGGGACATGCACTTGATTCTGCCTTGCGCTTGCCAGTACCCCAGGAAGGTCCTGATGATTTCCTTCCCACGTCTGTACATACTTCGGCTTTTTCTCCTGAGCCCAGTGCAGGAGAGCTGAGAGGAGACCTCACAGTCCAGCCTGGGGGCCCAGCAGGGTGACTGGCTGCCATGTGTGGGGGGGTGCTAGCTGGACACTGCTGTCCTCGGCCGCAGCGCTGGGCAGAGCTTAGCTGGATGGGGGAGGTAGAAGACACCCTGCAGGCGCTTTGCCAACAGTGGGGCATGGCCGCCGCAGGTGCTATCCCTGTTGGTGGGGTAGAGCAGCAGTCAGAGCCACCAAGCCGGCCCTACCCTGGATGCCAGTCTGATGGTGATGGGGCTGCGCCTTCAGCTGGGGCGCTGAACGGTTCTCGGTGCTTTCCGGGTGTGCACCAGACAGGGGAGAGGGCAGGGTGTCATTCCTGTAGGCGTCATTCCTGAGATCACATGAGGGTTTAATCTGATTTATGTAAAATAGCACATGATTGCTAGGACTGTGTTGTATTGGCCAGCTCAGGCTGCCAGAGCAGAATGCCTGAGGCCCTGGGTGGGCCACAGATGCCCGCTCTCTGGCTGCCTTCTCTTCAGAGGTGCCGCAGGGCTGGTCTCCAGCGGGGCCACTGCTCCTGGCTGCAGGCTGCAGCCTCAGTGACTCCTCACCTGGACTCTCTGTGCACACAGCCTCTTCTTACAGGGACACTGGGCGTGAGCTGCAGTGAGAAAGGGGGCACATCCAGTCGGTGATTGTAGGTGTAACCTAAAAGTCAGTGTGGCTCCTCTCTTAACTATAGCCTCCCTCAGGCATGGGGCCTGTCAGCAGTTCCAGGGCAGAGAGGGAGCAGAACTGAGGCCCTGGAGGGCAGGTGGCAGCCGGGGGTGCAGCTGGTGCCCCAGGGCACTGTCCCTGTGGGCTGGAGGGGTGGCCGAAGGGAGATGGAGAGAGGATGGGGCAGGGCATGAACAAGTGTCCAGAGCAGGGCCTAGGCGCACCCTGGCAGTGCCGGAGGTGTTCTTTGTGGTGTGTGTGTGTTCTGTTCCTCCGCAGGCCCTAAAAGGGTGTGTGAGGCCCCGACTGGGCAGTGCGCTCGGCCTCGACAGCCCCATACCTCTTGGTGTGGGGCCCGGGGCCCCGGCTGCAACACCTGGGCAGGGACGGGGCCACCTCAGTTCTGGGGCTGCCCTCTGACCTGTGGACCTGTGTTGCACCTCACCGATTCCTTGCCTGGTCCCCGGGGTCACAGACAGCCAGCGGTAGGAGAGGAGCTGAGAGGTGGAGCTGTGGCAGGGAGCCAGGGGGCGTGGAGCCGCTCTGCACTGGGGCCCCGGGAGCTGCCTTGTCCCCTCGGGCTCCATGAGTGGTGACCCTGCGTGGACTCACACGTGTGTCCACCTGTGAGTAGGTCCAGGCTCAGCTGACCCTCCACTTTTCAGGGGAAGCTGGAAACCCTTCCTGTGCAGGGTTGGGGTTTATGTGTTGAGCCTCAGTTCATAACTGAGCACAGCATTATGGGCAGGAAGGCAGTGCGGGTCTCAGAGTCCCCTGTGGGGCAGAGTGGGGCCCAGCAGATGGGAGGGGAGGGGGACCCAGCGCCCCATTTGCGGCAGACCCCACTGAGGGCCTGGCTGTGGCTGCACCCCTTCCTCCGCTCCTCAGACGGCGGGCTTCGCAGCAGCAGGCCCTCGGCTCCTGGAGGGCTCTCCCTGTAGGACCAGCAGCCCGGGCAGGCACTCCGACCCTCAGTGCCACTCACCACACAACCCTGTGTGATCTGCACACGGTGCTGCCGCCACTGTCCATCCCGTGTGCGTGTGTGTGTTGTTTGTGACACATGGACATGTGCCTGCGTGCACCTGTGCAGTGCTGCTTGTGCATGTGCAGTGTGTGGGAGCATGTGTTGGCTGTGGTGCACAGGTGTGTGTCTGTGTGCACGTGTCAGTGCCGCTTGCGCATCGCGTGTGGGTTTTGCTTGTGACAATGCAGGTGTGTGCCTGCACTGCGTGTGCAGTGTGTGTTGCGTGTGGAGGGTGGATGTGCGGGCTGTGGGGCCCAGTGCCCGAGAGCAGCCCTGTGTCGTGCTTTGGCCCCTGAGTCCGGACCGCAGCCGCCGACCGCGGAGGTGCTCAGGCTGCGCAGGAGGTGGACGCTGGAGGAGCAGGGCTGCGTGGTGCTTTGTGTGTCATTTTTCTCATTTCACATCTGGTTTTGCTGCTGCTGTTGGCAGTGAAGAGGAAGAAGAGCTCCAAAGCAGAGGCCAAGGGGACGGTGCCTAAAGTCGCCGGGAAGAGGATCACCAAGATCATCGGGCTGGGGAAGAAGAAGCCGTCCACCGAGGAGCAGACCTCGTCCGCCGAGGAGGACGTGCCCACCTGTGGTGAGACAGTGCCCGTGGCCGCCTCCGCGGACCCTGGGCTGCGCGGGAGGGGTCCCAGCAGGGCAGCCAGCCTCAGCGGGGGCCTCGCAGAGCTGCGGGCCTCGGGGTCCTGGGAGACGCAGGTTCTCTGCTCTCATGCGCGGTTCCTGGGCCTGGGGGCGCTCCCGGCTTCTCTCCCAGGGCCTCCGTGGGCCCCACCTGGGAGCAGGAAGTACAGGTGCTGGTGAGGGGAGGAGGGGCAGAGGGCAGCGGAGGTGCGGGATGGAGACGGTGAGCCCTGGGCCTGCAGTGAGACCTGAGCCTCCTCCACGGTTACAGCTCCAGCTAGGCGCAGCTGCTGGGCTTCCCAGTCAGTCTCCACCACCTCCTGTCCCCGGCAGCTGCGTATCCCGGGCCGTGTGGCGCTTGTGGTGCCAGCTGTGACCAGAATGGCCCTGCCCTCCCGGGACCCGCTCTAGACAGGTGCAGAACAGGGAGTCGCAGAACAAACACTTGTCCCACCCTGGTTGGAACCGAGGGAGCGAGAGGCGGTGGGTGTCCCGGGGACCTGAGTCGGCCCGGGCAGCCTCCAGGAAGGGCTGAGGTTTCCTGTATTTCTCAGCACCAGGTTTAGAAGCTCTCGTTGCTGCTTTAAGGAGGGAAGCTGTAAACTATAGGACGGATGTCCAGCTTGGTTTCTTTGATGGGGTTGGGATCGAGCCCAGGGTCTCCCCGTGCGAGACACGTGCCGACCCCACTCACACCCGTCACTCCGTCCCTTTTCAAAACATGACTGTCCATCCAGCATCCCTGAGGCATAAACCCAAGACTCCATTTGTTCCTTCTCTCCTCCCTCCCGCTCAGCTGTCACAGGTGGCTGTGGTGTAACGCCCATCTCTCGTGGACAGTGAAGCCCCAAGGGAGCACTGTGGTGCCGGGCTTGGGGTTGAAGCCACCCCTTGGAGACCGGCAGGGTGGCCACCTGCAGGTTGGGTTGGCACTGAGCTGGGAGCTGGGGTCTGGGTGAACCTGTCCTTGACTGAGGGCATCGGGGGGCAGAGATGGGAGCTGAGTCTGCCCTCTTCTCCGGGTCCTCTCCTGAGCAGGGAACTCGGCTGAGGGCCGGCCTCATGGGGCAGGAGGGTGTGGGGATGCTGCGCGCTGTGCCCTGTTGACGTGACACGCCCCGTGAGGGGACTTCCGTGGATTTGGGGAAGTTACACACTGCACTCTGGGTCCCGGCCAGCTCCCCACAGTCGGGTGCCAGCTGGGCAGAGGGACGCTGTCCCAGGCCCGGAGCCCATGTCCGGTGCCTGCATCCTGCACGCCCATGCCGGCTGGGACGTGACAGCCTAGAGGGTCAGAGGCAGCGCTGTGGTCTGGGCCTGGCACTTGGTAAGGCGCCTGGTGCCTCCTGGACGCCCTGTGGGCGCAGCCTCTCACGGACGAGTCCTTACACTGCGCTCCTGCCTGCATTTTTTTTTTTTTTGGTACTGGGGATCGAACTCAGGTCCTTGCACTTGTGCAGCATCCTGCCTGCATTTTAGTCACAGGAGACCAAAGCAGGGTCCCTCTCGGAGGGCCCTGTCCCCCTCCCTGCCTTCCTCCTGCTGCTGTCTGAATTCTGCCCTGGGACCAGAGACACCAGGCATGGGACAGCTACTGTGGGAGGGCTTGTGTCTGCACTGCAGCCTATACTTTTTATTTAGTTTGTGCCCATGAATTAAATTTGTGGGGGGAGGGGAGTGCGTTACTGGAAATTGAACCCAGGGCCTTCACATTGAGTACATCTCCAGAGCTTTTTTTTGAGATGGGGTCTCTCTAAGTCACTAAGTGGCCAGGGCTGGGTTTGAACTTGTGACTCCTGCAACGGCCTCCCAGAGTGCTGAGATGACGGGTGCGTGCAGCATGCCTGGCATGTAAAGTTAATTTCACAGTTCTAAGGAAGCCTTCTGCTGTACCCCTGCCATGGTGCTGAAAAAGATTTCCCGCTTTGGAATTTGGAGAAATAATCTCAATCCATTGAGCTGACATTTCCTATTTTAAAGATCCAGGAGCACCCAACCACGATAGAAATAGGATCAAAAAACCCCAAAGCCAGCACAGCTAAGAGCAGACCACAAGGACCGGCTGGCTGTGCGGCTCCTTAAAGCCACAGCCCCCAGCTCTGCGGGGCCCAGGCCCCAGGCAGATGCCTGCCGGCGCACGGACCCTGGGGGTGATGATGGGGCCCCAGCCGCCTGGGCCCATCAGTGGGCCGGGTGTGGGCCGGAAGGACGCGGACTCACTTCTCGCCCCAGGCCCTCTGTGGGTGCCCTGCGGTTCCCCTGCCTGCTGCGCCCTTCCCACCCAGAAAAGGGAGCTCGGGCCCCTTCGTGAGAGCGTGGGGGCCTGGTCCGCGTGGCCTCGTTGCTTCCTGGTTACATCAGCAGGCCTGCTATCCAGGCCACTGTCTGTTTTTATTTTTCCCTTTTTGGAACCCTAAATAAACCTAAGGAAGACACTGGAATATGGTCATGTCCCGTGAAGTCATGCTCTAAATGCAGTGTGGCTCTTACATATAATCATTCCTTTTGTGGCTGCAGTGTCAGGAAAGTCACAGCTTCGGGGCCCTGGGCTGCCTCCTGTCTGGGAGGGATGGATGCACGGCCAGAGTGTGTGCCTCACGGATGGCGGGCAGCTTGTGGTGTCCGCTGCCCCTGACCTGCAGGACTGCGCGTGGAGCCAGCGGGTGCCCCGAGGGACCCTAACGTCGGGGTCGTGTGGGTTCCCAAGGGAGCGCTGGCTGTCTCTTCTGTGGAGCAGGCACCACGGCAGCCTCCTGCTGGCCGCCTAAGCCCCCGACAGAGCCGCTCTGCCCTGCTCCCGGCCTGGGTCCCCTCCGGCATCTCGGCCAGCCTCCCACTCCGCCTGTGTCCTGGCTCCCATCCTTCGGTCTCTGGAGGGTCCCTGTCTCCTCCCCTCTGCATCCTTCCCTGCTGGGTGCTCGGGCTATGCCACAGCGGCCCCACGGCCTGCACTGCTGCCTGACAGTCGCTCTGCGTGTGGGAACATAGCACCCACGCGGTTGGGGACCGCAGGGGACCTGGCCTCGTGGTTCTTAGGAACACCGTCCCGTGTGTCAGCTTGTCCCCAGGAGACTAACTCAGACTCCACACAGGTAGCAGGCAGTTCGTGAAAGTCCCCACGTGGGTTTATGGACCTCGTCAAAGCTGTCACAGACAGCAAACACCGTGACAGCGATGCCCAGGTGTTCAGGCCCCAGGGTGCACTCCACGCATATGGGCAGGGCTTTCCTTTCAAACAGTAGCCACGTCTGACTGTGCGAAGATCATCCTGTGAGGCCCGTGGCTGTGTGCGGAGTGACGGCTCTTCCTGCCTCCTTTAGTACCCTATGGCAGCAGGTCTGGCTGTACCGAGGGGCTCCCTCCGCCTCCCTCGGGCCTTGGAGACACTGTCCCTGCAGTCGACCCTAACTATGTAAAGCACTCGAGGATCTCGGCCAACTTGGACCTGTTCTGTGCACACCATGGGTGCCGTCCCGGCCCCTGGGCCCAGGCTGGTGTCTCACTGTCTTTCTTTATCCCAGGGTGGCAGTGAGCACATGCTCAGCCAAATGGAGACCTAGACTTTGCATGTGGCCAGTAGATTTATTGAGCAAATATCTTGCAAATATTTATAAATAATAGACAAAGCCGCATTCTGGGTCCTGAACATACCATATATATATTTTTTTGGGGGGCTACCAGGGATTGAACTCAGGACCTTACACTTTCAAGGCAGGTGTGGTGCCACTGAGCTACATCCCCAGCCCTCATTTTGTTTTGTTTTTATGGTGTTGCCAACTGCAGTGAAGTGTGGAAGACTTGCCACATATGAGTCTAAAAAGCATTCTCTCGATTCCTTTGGAAAACCTTTCTGAAGACCAGGATTTTGTTTGCTTTTCTTAACATTTATTAGCCGCGTGTGCACGTGTGTACATGGATTGAAAGAGGTTGAACGACGTGCATGCCACATGCATGTCCAGCTCCCTTCTGGTCTCCGAGGAGGGCGGCCCTGTGCTGGGCTGTGGAGTGGCTGGCGCTTGCAGCCACCTGTCCACCCATCTCTCGCCTTATTTCTGGAGCCTGCATTTTGTGCTCGTACACCTGAGAATGTCCCATTTCCTGAATTTGAGGCATTCCCCTTTTTGGAAGTCAGGATGGTTCTTTAGTTCTGCCATTTGTGGCAGTGTCTCTGCAGTACACCGAGGGCACCGTGCCCCGCCTGGGACAGCACTGCCAAGGCCCACAGAGCTCAGTGTGCGTGGGCAGCCGCGCCAGTGGGCCTGACCTCCCATCGGTGCCAAGGTCTAGTGTGAGGCTGCGGGGGTGCCCTTGGCCTCTGCGTGGGAACTCAGGCCAAGGCTTCCTCCTTTGCTGGTCACCCCCAGGCCTGGGGACGTCATCCCTCCTCCCTCAGCTGTCTATTTCTTGCAAAGCTTCCATTTTCAGATTTCTTTTTTCAAAGAAAAAATTGGCCATTGGGCCAAATCCACTTTGCCATGACTTGTGTGTACTTGGCAGCATTGTGGCTTCTCAGAATCAGTCCGAGCCCTTTCAACGAGTCCCCTTTGGCTCCTGGACGGCAGCTGTCACCCCCCCACACCCCCCTGCTGTCCTCACCCACACTCGGTGACAGCCACCTTCTCCAGGCTGCACCCATTAGGCACCTGGAACGTTCTGAGCACATGTGATAGGGGGCTCTGGACGTGACCTCTGCCATGTCGGGAAGAGCCCCGGGCCCTGCTGGCATGGAGTCCAGTGTGGTAGCGACTCTGGTTTATGTGAATTGGCCTGAGGGATGGGATTGCTGTCTGTGTGCCGCTTTCCCTGGGGTCTTCATGAGGTGACACCGCAGGGCCCAGGGCGTCTCCCCAGCTTGCCTCTCCTGGCGGCCAGGGCTGAGCTCGTCCATCTCCTTGCAGGCTACCTGAACGTGCTCTCCAACAACCGCTGGCGGGAGCGCTGGTGCAGGGTAAAGGACAACAAGCTCATCTTCCACAAGGACAGGGCTGACCTGAAGACGCACATCGTCTCCATCCCACTCCGCGGCTGCGAGGTCATCCCGGGCCTGGATTCCAAGCACCCCCTGACCTTCCGGCTGCTCCGAAATGGACAGGAGGTGGCCGTGCTCGAGGTACAGGGTTTTCACGGCCGCTTCCTCCCCGCCAGCGCCCCCTCCGCCTGGCCGTTGGCACTGCTTTGGAGCGTCCTGTGGTGTCCCTTGGCCTTGGCATTGCCAGGTTCCTCACTCTGCGTTTTGCTTCCCATTGCGTTGGCTGGACATGGAACCCACACCTCCTGAGGGTTTCGTGTCCCAGGTGCCCGGGAGGTGTGAATCCCCGTGGGAACAGCACCCTGGCCTGTGCTGCCTCGGAGCGATGCGAATGAGTCCTGACCCATCCTTCGGGTCGATCTTGGCTTCTTTCTTGAGGGTACGCATATGGGGACCACCAGTGGCCCTGTAGACGGCAAGCCAGGGGCGCCTCTGCATTCTGGACCTTTGGCTTCCACGCATTTTATTTATTTTGTTTGCAGAAAAGGGCAATTGAAACCAATAGCTATGACTCCAAACTTTAATTTTGGAAAATTGTCCTTTTCATCTTGTTACATTAGCTTATTTTCCATCCAGTGTTAGTGGGGGTGACTTTTCCCTTTGTCTCCCCCTCCTAGCGTCACACACACACACCTGTACCCACATAGTCACAGCTGGCACGGCTGCAGAATTCCCAGAGCACATGTGTGTTTCAGCCGTGTGAGCTTCCGGGCAGTGGCTGGTGCGCGATCCCAGTCAGTCAGACCAGAACCAGACCTCAGTGCTAGTGGGGTACGGGGCGTAGCCAGCATCAAGGTGCCCAGATAGGCAGGCTACAGGGTCTTGAATCCCCAAGCGACCTTTTATTTGGGGGCAGGCTGGGGCCCAGAGCAGGTGAAGATTAGAACAGCATCTCGTTCCAGGGCTGAAGCCAGGCCCCTCAGGAGCGGGCCAGGGGGCCGACTGCACCCCCTAGTGGTCTCTGTGTAGCCGTGCGCTCCTGCAGAAGGATCCACTTGGGGACCCCTCAGGAGAGCCGCGTGTGTGAGCCCTGTCCAGCCCCGGTCACAGAGGAGTCCTCTGGCTTCTGTGTCCTCCAGCACCACACCCACACCGGGCTGCAGTCAGTGTCCATGGTAGACATTTACGTGGTCTGGGAAGTGTAGGGTTGGTGGCCTTGCCCTGTGACGTAAGGCCTTGCAGGGGCTCCAGGAGAGTGGCCAGAGGTGGGAGTGGGGGTGGCACGCGCTTAGTCAGGGCACACAGGGGTGACACCGGGGCTGGTTGGCGTGTGCAGGAGAGCGGCCCACCCACCTGGAGGGTCACGGCACCCAGAGGAGCCAGGTGCCCAAGGGTGACAGATAGCAGATTTGGTTCACCGAGTGACAGCAAATTCTGGAGCTAATCAGTGTCCCTCTGAAAGACAATTGAGTTAAAAGTGACATGAACCAAGAAAAGCCACAGCATTTTATGATAAGTGCAGAAGTCTGCCCTAATTAGCACCAAAATGCAGTGAGCCAGCTGAAAGTTGTGGTTGGTACTCCTCCTAAGACCGCTCTCACCTTTGTTTTGGGGTATTTCCGGAGACATGTTACGGGACTGGTATAAAGAGTGCCTGTAGACCCTTCACCCGTGGTCCCTAAACAGTGACATTTTCCCAAGTTGGGTCTCTTGCCAGCTTCCCCGTCCCTCCATATGCATGTAAAAAGTGTCCCAGAATCTTCTACGACATTTCCCTGTATCCCCAGCACTCCCCGTGTATTGCTGGGAAAAGGGCAGATGCCCGAGCCAAAGCATAACTGTCAGGACCTTGAAGTTCCCGCCCTGCCCCTCTATGGTTCCTCCGCCTTGCTCAGACTTCCCGGGTTTTTCCAGCCCCGTCCTTTTTGAGCAGAAGGAAGCCCTTGCTCACATGTTGGCCCTGGCTGCCAGGTGTCTGTCACCTCCCCTGCCTGTCAGGTTTCATGCTGCTGACCCTTTCCAAAGCACAGGCCGGTTCCTTACCGGCAGGGGTGCTGTTTGCTCGCGATGGAATCTGGAAGGCCCTCACCATATTTTATAGCTCCCTATCAGGGATGCGGATGTCCGTGCATCCCCATCCTAGTGGCGCTAACTAAGGCCCCTGGTTGCTGCGGTGCCCTTTACCAGGCACATGTGGGAAGGTCCACTGACCTGGCGCCACGAGTGACCCGCCCAGAACAATCACTGTGAGCGCAGTGCCGACGGGTGACCGTCTAGGCCGTTGTCCCCTCTGTGTCTGTTGTTAACACTGCGGTGAGGAAGACTGGCCCTTCCTCCCTCCTCGTTAGCTGTGCACCCACTTATGTGTGCGCGTGCATCCATGGTGGTTCCTAATCCTCTGTTACCGTGATCTTTTTCCGTCGAAGTCCTTTGCAGCTGGTCCCCGTGGCCCCTGCTGTGTCCCTGGCAATCTTCAAGTGCTTTGGATGCTCCAGGCACAGTGAGGGGCTCCGGGCCACGCTGGTCCCCTCCCTGCCCCAGCCTCACTTAGCTCTTTCCCGGAGCGCACAGTGCCTCAGTGCAGAGCAGCGTGCAGAAGCTGGCTCTGAGTGGGCGGGCCGGGCGCCCTGCCTGGGCCGACACTGCTTTAGGCCTTCTCAGTGGACACACCCAGGAAGTAAGCAGCGTGTATGTGCACATGTGAGGCACACACTTTCTCATGCATGTTTATGTGTTGTGCATATAGTGCATGTCTGTAAGTCAGTACACACGTCCGCACCCCACCCACAGTTGAGTTTCTGTGTCTGCTCATAACTGGAAGTCCCGGGGTGGCTGCTGGTCCGTCCCAGTCCAGCACCACAGGGCGGCTTCCAGAAGCTGCGAGGACTGTTCACAAAGTGAAGCGTGAGGAGAGAAAAGCACCCTTCCACCCCAGGTGTCATGTCAAGACACGACTTCCAAAGACGCCTCCATGAGGCAGCTAGAGAGACACACAGGCAAGGGCTTTGTCGATGCTGCTCTCATGGAAACCAAGTGTGTGCCGGCCGGGCGCCTGCTCCACCTGGGGGCTCAGCCCCACTCCTGGCCGAGATGTTTGCTGGAGGAAGGACTACACGCCTGGCTCTCCCTGGCATAGAATATAATCATAAACCCAATTCTCCCTAAGCCTTTAAGCACTACCTCTATTTCTTTATTTAAAAAATGTATAATTATTGCCAGGTGTGGTGGTGCATGCCTATAATCCTAGCACTTGGGAGGCTGAGGCAGGAGGATCGATGCAAGTTTGAGGTCAGCTTGAGCTACATAGTGAGACCCTGTCTCAAGAAACAAACAACAACAAGAATTTATAATTTTTTTATTCATTAATTTTATTGATACATTTTAGGTATACAGTATGCTGTATTATTCATTATTGGGAATTTGTACCTTTACATAATCTCTCTTGATTCTTATTTTTTTCCCATTCCCCTGCCCTCCCTTCAACCCCTCTGCCTATTTACAGAGATTTTGCTTCCATTTTTTCTTTTTCTCATATTTATTCCTTTCCCTTCTTTTCTTTCCCCTACTCCTCTCACTTCCCCTTTGGACCTTTTCTTCCTATTGCACATTATCTAGTATACCTTTTGATCCTTATTTACGCTTTGTTTCTCACACCAGAGAAACCATTTGGTACTACAGCTCTCTGAAAACAGAGATCAAAGAGGATATCAGAAAATGGACAGACATCCCTTGCTCCTGGGTAGGAAGGATTAATATAGTGAAAATGGCCAGACTTCCAAAACTGCTATATAGATTTAATGCAATTCCAATTGAGATCCCAGCAGCATACTTCACAGACCTTGAGAAAATAATCCAAAAATTCATTTGGAACAAGAAGAGACCCAAAATAGCAATTCTAGGCAACATAGACAAGGTAGGGAGTATCACAATCCCCAACTTGAAAATATATTACAAAGCTACTGTGATAAAAATTTATAATTTTTATAAAAATAAAATTTGTTTTTCCTTCAACATTCAATCTGTTCATACATCTGATGGCCCAATTTCCCCTAAACTTTGAACACTGTTGACATTTTGATTTGTCACATATATTTAGACCTTTTGCATGCCATTGTATAATGTAACATCCCTGGTTTTCCAAGTCATCTCACAAGGATAGTTTAGAACTCGGTGCTGATAACCCTAGGGATGGATTTTGATGTGCAGCGGAAGCAGATCGCCTTGCGGGGTGGCCTGGTGACCCTGAGCAGTGGCTCACCTTTGGGCAGTGGGTTCAGGGTGTGCTGTCCTGGCTGTCAGAGTGGCCTGCAGCCTGGAGCGGTGCTGAGCTGTCCGGGTCCTTCCGGGGCTGCACTCTGCCCTAGAGTGCTGGGCTCTCAGAGCCGCTGCCTTCACTGGTGTGGAGCTGCCAGCGTTCCCACCCTGTCACACCCACACCTCCACCCTGCTTCCCGGCCTGCTTCTGCCCTTGGCATCACTGCTCCAACACCCGCTGGAACCCGTCACACCTAGGCCGGGTCCTTGTCACACCTTCGCCTTTCACTGCCTCTCCCGGCGCGGTCCGTGGCCCCTTCTGGGCAGTCTTCGAGAGCAGAACCCTTGATCTTGAGTTAGACAGATGCCCGCCTCTCCCTCACAGGCCTCCTCTTCAGAAGACATGGGCAGGTGGATCGGGATCCTGCTGGCAGAGACGGGGTCGTCCACAGACCCGGGCGCCCTGCACTACGACTACATAGATGTGGAGATGTCGGCCAACGTCATCCAGACCGCCAAGCAGACCTTCTGGTAAGCCGGGTACCCACCGCCTCACCCCCAGGACGCCTCCCTCAGCTTCGGTGTAAGTGTGGGCAAAACGAACCGACCCGAAAGACCTTCTTGTTTGTATTACTCTAATCCTCATTTTGCCCAAATACTTTTTATCATTTCAACTCTCTGGCTCTCAGAGCAGAGATTGGCAATCTTGTGTAAAGGACCAGGTAGCAAATATGCTTGGCTTTGTGGGCTGGATGTTCCCTCTGCTAACCACTCAGTGCTGTCGTGGTTGTAGAAGACAATGTTTAAGGGAATGGTGTGCCAATAAAACTTTATTTGCAAACAGGCAGTGGCCAGATTTGGCCTGGGAGCTGCAGTTTGCCCATTCTTGTATCCTGTGCAGCAGAAATGACTGCATATCGCTATAGGGAGGACTGAGATGGTTAAGCCATCAGTCCAGTACTTTATTTTAAATTGTGATTTTTAACATAATGCTATTCTGTGTAAAAACATTCTTTTGAACCCTAAATATTTCCTTCCTATCATGATGGCAAAGTACCAGCCATAGTTCTCTGCATTCAAGACCCTTTCCAGCAGGTCCCAAAGTCTTGACACTTGTGTGCCTGACGCAGAGGCGACGTGGCCAGTAGGCTGGCACCTTGACGTGAACGTGGCTGCCAAGTGTGCTCACAAGTATTGTTCCTAAATGAGTGCTTCCAAATGCAGTAGCAGTGGGCAGGAAGCCTTGCTGGGTCCTGGTGGTGCAGTCACACGCCAAGGACAGGGTGTGTTCTGGTGAGTGCGCTGTGGCCTCACGGGCGGGGTCAGTCCCTGGGCACCGGGCCTGGGTGCCCTCAGGATGCATGGGAAACGAGAGCCGTGGGAGGCTGCTGTGCGTGGGACGTGGCACAGGGTTCACAGTAAACTGCTTCACACAAGTAGCCGGGCACACTCTGAAATGCCGATTGGAAGCATGGTACAGCGAGTGTGTGCACCAGAACGCTCAGGCATTGTCGGCAGCAAGAACCCTGAGCTGGAGATGTAGCTCCAAGGTACAGCGCTTGCCTAGTGAGTGTGAGGCCCTGGCTTCAATCCTGGGACCACCATAAAAAGAAGAGTGGCATCCAGCACAGGCATGTGTGCTACGTTCTTCCTTCCCTGGGTGCTGGGACCCACGGGGGGCCAGCTAGAGCACCGCTGTTGGCCTGGCTTCCGCTGCATCTGGGCAGACGCTGCCGCCAAGCCACACCCACCCGTGTGCCGTCCTCCCATGGGACCAGCAGTCCCACAGGTCTGTTCACACCACGTCACCACAGCCACAGGGAGACATCGTGGACCCACCAGGCCGTGGAGATCCGAGGCCCTGCTGTGACTCTTGGGACCATGGTGCGTGCATCCTGTCTGTGCCCCTATTTAGTGACCCCATCTGGTGAGCAGTTACAAGGGTCCTGACCACTAAGGCTGAGCCGTGCGTGAAGCACACTTAAGTGGCCTTCTACGAAGTGCAGTACCACAAACCTGGTTCTGCCGTGTACACAGCTGGTTCCACACAGAAGCTTGTGTGTGGTTGTTCACTGTCCTCCTCCTGAGTCCACCAGCAACTTCAGCTCCAGCCAACAAACCTCAGAGAAACGGAATACAATTATTTCCCCCAGAACCCAGCTTAGCCTTTACTTTCCGAATTGGTAGGACATTAACCTAAACCAAGTGTGAGACGGTCACGGTTTTAGAGAAAGAAATGCAGATTACAGTATCAAAAAATCAATCATTAAAAGATCCATGCACTGAGTTATGGCTGCAAGAAACTTGTTTGCCTCATTAAAATCTTTGTAGGAGATGTCAGCCAGCAATGAAGTAGTTTCACTCTTAGTTTTCTAGGCAAACATTCCTGTGAAATGTCACAGAAGAGATTTAACAAAGAAACACATTCAGGATATGTGCCGTGGCAGTGTGATAAATATTCTAAGATGGAGTCCAGTTTTTTGCTTTTTTGTAGATTGGCAGCCAAATAATGAATCTTTTTGAGGTTGTGAAGAGGATTATCTGAGGGATACTGAGTATTGCCTGAGGAAGGAAGGACAGTGATATACTTTGGAAAGCAATAATGCAGATTCTCCCAGGAAATGCAGTGTACAGAGGGCTGCTAATGATGGTACAGTTGCAGCTTATTTCCCTGAGAGGTTGTTTCTACCTGATCTACATGGAGTGTATGAGAAGAGAGAGACCAAGATGCTTTCCTGGGTCCCTCTCTCTGTGGCGCCTGTAGCAGACCCACTGGAAGCTCAGCGGCAGCGTGGGAGGGACAGTGGCGGGCATCCCGGTCACCCTCTCGTGACCGTGGGTCCTCGTGCATTGGCTGAAGCTCATTTCCGCCTTCGCTGCCTGCAGTGCTGCTGTGGAGAGCAGAGGGCCAAAGACGGGAGGCCCCGTGCTACCCGGCACCCCGAGCCTCCTGGGCCCGGAGAGGGGTCCTCCTCATCGGCCGGGCCCGCTGTCCCCATTGGGGTGCCCTGGCCACACTCTGCGTGTGTCCTGTGTATTCAGAGCCCATGAGCCTCACCGGGGACACTGCTGGCCCCTCGCGTGTCTGTCCCAGCCATCCCCGTCCTGGCGTCTGACTCGAGCCTGCTGAGGTCCGGGACTGTCTCTGGTGCGAGGAGGGAAAGACATGCACACACGAGTGTGTCCGAGCCGAGTGTGCTGCGCACACAGCCAGCCCCGTGTCCCTGTGGATGGCTTCGTCCCGCCCCGCACAGCCGCGTGACATAGCTGCCCCGGCCTGGCCTCCAGGAGACACCTCGGTCAGAAAGCAGAGGGTGCACTTGAAAGTCCCGGCCTTCTTCACCGCGGGGCTCTTTGCTGTCTTTCCCCTGCGCCCTTCTCCACACGTCTTCTTTTCCTGCATTCGCTGGTCTGTGCTGTAAGTGTGGAATGTGCTGGTCATGTCCCTCAGGCGGAGGACTGCTCCCGAATGAAAGGCCGGGTGTTAGAGGGATGCTCTAACACCTCTCTCGGCCAGCAGGGGCGGCAGCGCTGCAGGAGCCCGGGGGGCCTGAGCTGCGGGAAGCCCCTCTCGGGACCCTCTCCTCTCAGCCCTGTTTCCCGTTCAGTTTTTCACTCCTTTTTATTCTTCTGGTGGCCTTAGAAATGCAAGAGCCTGTGCAGAGACAAAACTGCGGGGCGGGGGTGGTCCTTTAAAAAACTCCAGGCAATTTTAGTTCCCCACTTGGACCATGTGCCACCGAGGTTGTTTTGTGCGGGGCATCTGCATGTCTCCTGGAACAACGTCGCTTTCTTCAGAGCCGGGCCTGGTCCTCGCCTGGCACATCAGGGCAGACGTCGTGCTGGACTGTGATGGGCAGCCCGAGGGACAAGCTGGGTCCCCACAGTGGGCACTCTAATGGGGAGAGACAGACAGCGTGTACAAACGCGCGTGCGCACACACACGCACACACAACCACGACAGTAGGGTGGGGCCCTGAGCTGGGGAAGGAGGGCCAGGAGGGACAGTGATGCGGAGGTAGGAGCTGGGCCGGCCTTGCACAGGCCTGGCAGCGGGGGGTGAGGTGCTCGCTCCCTCTCCCCCTCTCTCTGTCATCCCCCTCCGCCCCTGCAGCACGTTGGCTGTTTCTTGGATGAATCTGGAAGCTGCAGGGTGGTGCTGCAGCCCACTGGCGTGGCCTGGCCCTGCGGAGGAACGGGCACCTGTCCCTTCTCTGAACCCACGGCATTCCTGCCCTCGCCTGTGCACCAGATGTGGGGCCTCCCTGCCCCAGGCATCCTCCCGTTAACTCAGTGCCGATGCCAGGACCGGCGCCAGGCCTGCAGGCAAGGGGCTCTGAGCATGAGCTGCCCGGCTCAGGGTTGCTCACAAGTACAGGCTTCCCCTGTGCAGTGGACCGGGGACACTAATTGGCCAGGGTGGGGCAGCCAGCGGGGCACTGGGGCACCAGCCCGGGTGTGACCCTCGCAGCAGCTCTGCAGTCCCTGTCATGGTGCGGTGGCTCCGGCACACGCCCGTCCCATCCTCTGATACCACACAGCGCGTCACCGAGGCTGGCAGCTGCCTCCCAGCAAGTCTTCTCCACAGTAGTGGGCTGGCGCAGGCACCTGTGATGGGGCAGTGACAGAGGCCGATGCTCTGTGCTGACCGCACCATGTGCAGGAGTCACTGTGTGCTGGGGCATGTGGCGTCCCCATGCCGGCTGCCCTCTGCAGGGTGGGCCTGCTGTGCGTCTTCTCTCTCTGGGGCTCGGCGGCAGCCCTGAGATGTCAGCTCCCCAGGACACACCATCGGCTGGCCTTGACGCCCCTTCTCTCTTGCCCCCAGCTTCATGAACCGACGCGGGTTGTCCACCAGCCCCTACCTGGGGAGTGCCGCCAATGGCTATTCGCACCCCAGTGGAACAGCGCTGCACTACGACGACGTCCCCTGCATCAACGGCTCGGTGAGTGCCTGCACGGCTCCCGCCTCCACCCAGCTGGGGGCTCTCGGGTTGCTGCCCCCCGGGAACACTGGGACCTGGGGACCTGAGCAGCTGGTCCCTACTTGGCGGCAGTGTCATCAGCTAAACATCCCTGCATGCAGCAAGCTGAGGCTGGGGGACCGTGCATGCCATGCCCTGGTTGGGGCAGGGCTGGTGCCAGGCAGGGTCAGTCGGCCACAGGCAGCTGCTTCCCAACATAGGAGGGTGCCCGGTGGTCACTGTCGGTGCCACTCGGGCTGCCCCACCCCTGGCCCTGCCTCCCATGGCACTGCCCACGACGTCCAACAGCTTCCTGGGGACTGGGTGTCCCCGTGTGTGATGTCCGCTCCTCTGTAGCTGTAGGGGTCTGGTGCTCCACTCCGTGTGACCAGCGGAGTCCTCTGTGGTCCCGGCCCTGGCCACTCGGTGGTTGTCTGGCAGCCGCAAGGAGCGTCCTCTCCGGCCACCCCTCCACATGCCCAGCCCAGGCCGACTTCCTCATGGCCCGGCTCAGGTGCTCGGTCACGCTTTTGCAGATTGTTTGCCTGACCACAGGACCTTTTTTTTTTTTTTTTTTGGTGTACTAAGGATTGGATAGAGCACTTTTACAATGAGCCTTTTTATTTTTTGAGACAGAGTCTCACTAAATTGCTAAATTACCTGGGATGGGCTGGAGCTTACAGTCCTCCTGCCTCAGCCTCTCAGAGTGCTGGGCTACAGAAACTTTTAAGACAAAACCCTGAGGGCCTGTGTGTGGCCATCTTGCATCCTGAGGCTTCTCCTCGGTCTTCCTCTACCCTGCTTTCCTGAGTGCTGGCCCATAGACCAGGTGACTACCTTTTCGGAGGGCTTCATTGCTAGTTTTGTGAAGTTTACATTTTATGGCCTGGTCCTTGACATTAGTGGTATCTCAGCTTCCGCGATTCTTACTCATTTAGCTTCCTGGATGTTTAAACCAAGATGAAAGTACACATTTCTAATCAAGAAACTTTTTTTTTTTTTTTTTTTGAGACAGGGTCTTACTATGTAGTTCAACCTGGCATTGAACTCACTATGTAGCCCAGGTTGGCCTTGAACACAAGGTGATCCTCCTGCCTCAGCCTCCCTAATTCTGGGATTATAGGCATGCAACACCACACTTGACACTAATGTGGGTTTCTGTCACTGTTTCCTACATCTTCCATGTGACTCAGTCCTTGGTATTTTAGGAAAATCATAGTCTGGTCAAGACCATTTTAATAACTCTGGACAAATGTGCTCTAGGCTGGCAGTGTGAAGCACTCACCTCCGAGTTTGTGTCGGTTGGATGGCAGGACGGTCCCCAGCCCCACTGAAGGAGCCTTGAAATGACTGCAGTTTAATCTTTTCTATTTTTATAACAAAAGGCTATAATCACTGTCTGGCCCAGGGGGACCATGCAAGAAGAATAGGATAAAGAATAGGATAAAAGGAGCAGAATGTATGAATTATTGTTTCCTTTTTTAATGCAAGGCAATTCATTAAGACCTTAAAACTGAAAAGGGCCTGTCACGGTTGCGGTTTGGGGTTTTATTTATGCACGGACGCGACCCCACGCCAGAAGTCCCAAAGTGGCCTGCGGTTCTCTCAGCTCTTTCTCCAGGGTTTTCCCTAAGCAACGCCAGTGTCTCCCTTAGGTTTCGAGGTGTCCGTATTCCGAGCTGGGGCCATTTCCTTCTTTAACAGACTGTGCCTTGCTTGGTGGTGGCACTTGATTCAGGGGTCAGAGAGTGGGGAACGCGGGCGAGTTGACTATGACCATGAACTGGCCCATTGGCTAGCATGGAAGACCCAAAAGTAAAGGGGCCCGGGTGAGCCAGTCCCCTGCTCGGCGTGGGGAACTTGTGCGCATGTGTGGTGTGCACATTGAGGCGGCGCCCCGGGGTCTCCGTACTCGAGCGCTGGGCACTGCTAACCCCTGGCTTGCTAACCTGCTCTCTCCCTGTCTGCACGACGCAGGGCTGTGCGCTGCAGTGGGACTCGGAGGACGGCGGCCGTCCCACCTGCTGCGGCCGGGGCCCGGGAGAAGAGGTGCTGTACGATAACGCGGGCCTCTACGATAACTTGCCATCTCCGAAAGTCTTTGCTCGCCCCTCTCCTGCCGACAGGAAGGCTTCGAGGCTGTCCTCTAACCACTACAAGTCCCCCACCTCAGGCCTGCCCTGCCTCCCATCTGTCACTAACACCTCTTCTGTGGGGAGGGCATCTCTCGGGCCGCACCCCCAGGTACAGAATCGCTTCCGGGGTGCCGGAGCCACCCGGGATCCCTGCCTGCTGGGGCTCCGCAGCCATGGGGTGTTCATGGGGTACAGAAACACACACCCGGGCAAAGTGCAACTCTTCCCTGACCAGAAAACCCCAGGGACAGCCCTGGCTGCCGGCTGCCTTCCCACTCTGGGGAAATCCCTTCCCTAGTGGGACGGGCACCTCTGGGGAACAGCCAGCCTGAGGCAGAGCTGTTCCCACCCCACCCTCTCCCTGGCCACAGACGCTAACTGTGTCTTCCTGAATTTCTAACCTGAGAATTTCTTACGCTTTGCCTGGACATCTGAGCGCCTTGCTTAAAAACCCTCTGCTGGCGTAAAGCAGCGGATGTGCTTTGCATTTCCCTCCCTTCCCCGCTAACCTTGAGACACAGGGAGCACCCGGCAAGGCCCTCGCGTCCCGTAGAGCAGCCTCCGGAGGGGTCAGAGCTTGTTGGGAGATTCTAACTCCAGGAGCCCCAGGGGCCAGACAGCCATGTGGCCGGGCGTGGGCACTGCTGGCCTCGACTGTTGTCACGAGAACCTCTACCCAAACCTGGCCGTTGTTTCATTTCTCATTGAGCACCGTCTGTCCACACTCATCTGTCTTTTTGCTGGCATTAGAGCTGCCCGGCCCCTCCGTGCTGGCCCCAGGTTGGCTGGGAGTCCCTGGATGCATGGCTGATGCGTGATCTTTGTTACTGCCGCTTATCTGCTTTTTCGTTTCCGGTAGGAGGCACATTTACAGGTTGGATTTTAGCTTCCCGTCCTCTTGTGGCCACTTCATGGGGCCTGCCGTGCGACAGGGAGACCGTGCCGTCTGCTGTGGGTGGCCGTGGTGGCCGTCACCCTGTAGGAGCCCCGAGCGGAGACTGGTGGCTTGCTGTTCCCTTAGAGGAGCAGACAGAGGCTCAGTTTTCCCAGCTTGCTCTGTGGCTACTAAAGGCACAGGATGAGGATGAGACGTCAAGCTGTCCCCCTCCGCAGCCCAGTCGAGTAGGACAGTGTCAGGCAGCACCTGGGGTTGGGGCTACATCTGCATCGAGCCTGCCGAGTCCCCAGCGAGGGTCCTGGTGGAGTCGCTGATGCCCAGCACCACCTGCGGGCTTCTGACAGTCGAGGCAGCAGGAGAGCTGTTGACCACCCAGGACCAGCACAGCACCAGGGTCTGGGCCGAACTGGTTTCCTCCCTCATTCTGTTTCCTGGCCACCGAAGTTCTACTTAACAGAGACTGAAGGAAATTATTGAAGGGGGTTAAGGTGTTTTTTGCCTGTTTTGTTGCTAATTTTCTACATCTGTTCCAACAGCTCAAGGGGAAGAAGCCCCCAGCAGCATCTAACGGGGTTCCGGGGAAAGGGAAGACTCTGAGCAGCCAGCAGAAAAAGGCAGATTCCACAGCCGGCATGAAGCGGACCCCTTCCAGTGAGTTTCCACCCGGCGCCTGCCTCCTGCTTCCAGGTCGAGGGCAGCTGAGCTGCTCAGCTGTGTGTGGGTGTGGGGGTCCGTGGGTGGTGGTGTCCCCTCTGCTGAGTTGGAAGGTGGGAGGACGCCTGTCTGACTCTGCCGCTGTGCCTGGAAAGGAGACCACACTGGCTGAAGACACTCATGTTGGCACCTGCCAGGGCAGCTGCGGCGCCCCTGGACATTGGTCCTGTGACCCGCGTTGTGTCCCCGACGTTTGTGAGAAGTCACACAAACTCCCAGAGCGCCTCTTCTTGTCAGGAGGGGCACACCGCTGACTGCAGTGGCTGCAGCCGATGAGCAGGAGCGAGGCTGTGGGAAAGCTCAGGATGCCCAGGATGTGAGAGTCCTGCTGGGCCCACGGGGTCCACAGCCAGCCACTGTGACCTGGCCCCGTGGGTTCCCCCAGCCTCGGGCCTGGGTAGTGTTGGCATCCACCTCTCTGCACAGTGAGGGATGCTGCCTCGAGGTGTCGGCCCTGCAGGGGGTCACATGGGGCAGATCACAGAGCCAGGGCAGGGACCGGCATCCAGGCCTCAGGGCCAGTGGAAGCAGATGGGGCAGAGAGATGGAGCTCAGCTCTGCTTTTACCTCCAAGTGGAGAAGCTAGAGGGCCGCTGTCCCCAGGTTTCTGCTTGCGGCCTCCTGTCACTGGGTGTCTGGACTGTGGCCAACCTAGAGGAGCAGGGCCAGGGCTGCACCTCAGCCAAGGAAGCCCTCCTGTGACTCCTGGCAGTGTCCCTGGCCACTGGGTCCCCGTACTTTGAAGGATGAGGCAGCCACCTCCCAGGCAGCTGCAGCCTGGCGGGAAGAATTGGCCACACACCTTCCAGGGCTGCCATCCACGGGCTCTGTGATGCAGATTCAGAGGCAGGAGGTGAGGAAGGGGCGAGGAGGGCCAGGGGCACACGAGGCTGGGGCTGCCGCCATCTGGGGGAGTCCTGTGCACCCCACGAGCCTGTCTACACCCCCATTCCCCTTGGCTTTCGCTCCAGTTGGCAGGGCGGACACAGCCCCACCCTCACACAGCCTTGAGTGTGCTAGCTTCCCTGGCCCTGTCTCCCCAGCGAACCTCGCCTCCCTGGTGTGCTGGCGGCCGAGGTTTATGGTGCTGGGGGTTGGGAGAGGCAGCGCTGGAGAAGGGCCACGTCTGCCCTGAGAAGCTCTGTTAAGCGAGCTCTGAGTTGCGCGGCATCTCTCAGCTTGGCGTTCCTCCTGGCACTGAGGTACTTTTTAGTTTCTAGGCAATTTATGCGTTTATTTTGTGACATTTTCTGTAGGGGATTTTCATTAACTTTGGTGACATCTTATGGTGACAAAAGACAGAAAGCAGTCGCACTGTGTGTTTTTGCCAGTAAATTCAGCCACCCTCATCACAGATTGCATGGAGTTTATTGCACAGGGACCAGAAGATGGGGACATTTATAGGTTATTATCTCTGAGTCTATTTGTGGACACGGTAGTGTGGACACAAGTGAGTAGAGTTTAAACTTGGTCTGTATGTAAAATGTACCGTCGCCTTGGCAATGGGTGGCAGCAGGTTGGACAGATGTGACTGGATGGTGTCCTGGGCTGCCGGTCCCTGCAGTGCTGGTCTGTGGGCTCTCTCTGGGGAGGGACATTGCTGGACAGGCATGACTGCCCCCATGTTTCCTTGAACCATGGCAGCCTGCGCTGTGAGGCCTGCGAGCCCAGCACCCGGGCAGGCACTGCCGTGGCCCTGCTGTCCTGGAGACAGGGCTGCGGGGCTGTCGCTTGCAAGGCAGCACCATCCTCTCTGCTCTGTGGACCGGAAGCTAAGGCGGGGAGATGACGCTGTGCAGAATCTCAGGCAGGAAGGGGCCTGGGTGGGCTGCACCCCTCGGGGCAGGCCCCTGGGCTTCTGCCCAGCCGACCCTGGAGGTGGAGCCACAGAGGCCTCTGAGTACGCTGAGAAGAGCTGAGCCTCACAGCTGCAGCCCTCAGTCTTTTCGCTGGAAGCTGCGTCTCCAGTGTGTTTTTCCAAAGAGGCTTTTCCTAGGCCACCAGTATGGAAGGCCAGCGCAGGAAGGGGTCAGTGCCCTGCTGCCTGGGTGAGCTGTCAGCTGGCTATGAACACTCCCTAAGTCTGCTTTTCCCTCGGCTCGTTCTTGCTGCATTTGATAAGCACGTGTGTAGGGCTCTGTGGAGGGTGCTGTGTGGACACTGACCAGGCCCCTCAACCCTGTGAGCTCCTGCCCTCACCACCCCACTTCACAGACGAGGGCAGAGACACCAAGACGTTGCTCAGGGTCACACAGCTCCAGGCGCCATGCTGGGCCAGGTGCACCCCGAGCGGCCCCTTCACCTCCTCCTGCCGTGGGGTCAGAGCAGGGCCGGTGGGGAGCAGCAGAGCAGGCAGTGCTGGGGGCGGGGCCTGGGCCCTGAGCGAGAGTCAGCAGTGACCCCGATGGTGACAGACTCCAGGGTCCAGGTTACAGGGCCCAGGCGAGCCCACTGCAGATGGGTGAAGGGCTCCCGGGCTCCATTTTGTTGTGCAACCCCGCGTCCGGGAGCCTTGGCGCCTTGGAATGGCCACTTTCCCTCGGTCCGGCCCAGCCTTGTTTTGCGGAGCGACTGGCGCTCTGGGCTCTGAGTGCCGCCTCCCGCCTGCTCCTGACTCCCGTGCTGCGCCCTTAGATGCCGACCAGTACAAATACGGCAAGAACCGGGTGGAGGCGGATGCCAAGCGCCTACAGACCAAAGAGGAGGAGCTGCTGCAGAGGAAGGAGGCGCTGCGGAACAGGCTGGCGCAGCTGCGGAAGGAGAGGAGAGACCTGCGGGCCGCCATCGAGGTGAACGCAGGTAGGGAGGCCTCTGCCCGTGGCTCCCTGCTCCGCCCACGGCTGTGGTGTGGCAGGAATGGGGGGGGCAGTGCCTCTGGGCTGGGCTGCTGCAGATGGGCCCTGGCCCTGCACCAGTGTGATTGTACCGTGCACCCGAGGCAGAGGCCAGGCCCTCTCCCTGGGCTGCTCAGTCTGCTCAGTCACCAGACTCCAGCTTGGGTCAGGACAACAGAGGTGGTCAGGAGGGCGAGGCCTGCGTCAGGTCCAGGTCCAATGAAGGCTTTCAAGCCAGCAGCACTTTCTTAAGTAAGAAGCTGAGGCCCGGAGCGGGAGGCCTGCAGCGTGAGGGTCAGACCAGTGCCAGGTCCCTCCCCAGCTCAGCAAAGCCAGGGCCTAGGCTGGGTGGTGGGGACGTCTACGCGCTGCTGAGACTTCAGTGCCACCGGTGCTCACAGGCAGGAAGACCCAGGTGGTGCTGGAGGAGAAACTGAGGAAGCTGGAGGAGGAATGCAAGCAGAGGGAGGCGGAGCGCGTGAGCCTGGAGCTGGAGCTGACCGAGGTGAAGGAGAGCCTGAAGAAAGCCCTGGCTGGCGGCGTCACCCTGGGGCTGGCCATCGAGCCCAAGTCGGGGACATCGAGCCCACAGGTGAGCATCCTGCCCACAGAGGAGCAGGGGCCGTGGGCAGCGTGCATGGACCCCAGGCACTGCCATCCGGCCTGCTGGCTCAGCCTCAGTGTGCGCAGGCATTAGCTGAGCTGTGGCATGGTGTCCTCGGCGACCTCGTGTCTGTCACAAGCCGGAGGCTGAGGCTGTGCCGCACAGGACACACACACCTGTGTCCCAGAGCCCTCGGCTTGGTTCCGTGACAGTGGGGACTGTGCCAAGGCCCTGCCTGCCCCCAAGGGTCCTGCTGGGTCTTCAGCCCCCTCTGCTTCCTCCTTAGCATTAGTCTCCAGCTTGCTCCATCTTGAACACAGTCCTCCTCAGCCTGCATCCCCTCCAGTTGCTGCCTGGTGTCCTGCGCGTCTCCCTGCCCTGCCCCATAGACTCGGGGACAGTAGTCCTTCCTCTCAGCGTCCAGGCCACCCACTCCCTGCCCACCCTGGGTCTGCCCTGCCAGGCGACTCCGGGGCCCTGACCCAGTGGGCGCTTCCGGCTCTCTGCTCCTGAACTCCAGGAGCCTTTTGCCTGGCTCCTGCTGGCTCCTCCTGCAGTGACCCCAAGCTCCCAGGTCCCTGTCCCCCTAGAGTCCCCCTGCATCAACCCCTCCTGCTCACCGTACACCTTTCTGGCCCTGGGTGCTGGCTGTCCTTAAGGCCTGGGCTGCTGTGCTGGCTTTGCAGGCTCCTGTCCTCCACAGGCCTCTCCGTGGGCATGGTCACTGCCCTCTCTGGACGCTGGTGACAGCATGTCCTCAGAGGAGTGGCCTGCTGGGTGGACGTTCTCCAGTGCCAGTGGTGTGCTGGAGATGGGTCATCTGTCTTTGTTCTGATGTGGCACCTGCTCCCCCCAGTCCTCCGTGCCCTTGGAAGTGTTTCCTAGGGAAGCTCAGTTGGAGCTGAGGAGAGATGTGCTTGGGGACCCTGCTCAGGGAGCCCCACGGAGGACAGGAGCTCTGTTCCAGTGGGACATGGGGCACTGTTCTGACCGCACGGTGGGTGTGTTTATCCCTATGATGGGAGTTCCTGCAGGGAGGGTTCAGTCCTCGGAGGCTCCACCAGGGGGTGCTGCAGGCTGCCAGGACCATTTCTGAGTCTGTGATCCCTCCAAAAGCCACAGGTAGGGGCATGGTGGCCCAGGGCCCGGGCTGTTCTGCTCCAAGCCCTCCAGAGCCTGGCAGTGCCCGGGGGACAACAGTGGCAGGTACCCCCAGTGTCTGGTACCCGAACTGTGCACTGTGACCTGGTCCCCGAACTGATGCAGGGTGCATTAGTCAAGTTTCCTGCAGCTAGGACAGAATACCCGACACCCACAATTTAAAGCAGCAGAGGTTTGGCTTGCCTCACCCTAGAGGGTTCAGTCCATGGTCGGCTGGCTCCAAAGCAGAAGCAGCATGGTCAGGGGAGTGGGTGGAGGAAGCTGCTCACATCAGGCATCCAGGAAGCAGAGAGAGAAGGAAGGAGCTGGGGACAAGAATTCACCCCTCCGGGCCACACCCAGAGACTACCTCCCACCGGGCCCCACCTCCTACAGCTCTCCAGAGCTGCCTCTCCCTCCCACCCACAGTCCCCTGTGTTCCGGCATCGGACTCTGGAGAACTCGCCAGTCTCCAGCTGTGACACGAGTGACGCCGAGGGGCCCCTGCCTGTGAACAGTGCCACGGTCCTGAGGAAGAGCCCGCCGGCCATGGGAAGCTCGCGCTGCCGGGGCCACGTGCTTCGGAAGGCCAAGGTGAGGCCCCGTCCCGGCCAGGGCGCCTCCCGTGCGGTGTGAGAGTGTTCACTGGGTCCCCACCGTGCCAGGCCATCTTTCAGGACTGGGGCTCAGGGGCCTCCTGTCCCTGGGCTGGTCTTCTCAGCAGAGTGGACATTGGGCCAGGTGGCCCACGGTCCTTTCCACTGCTTAAGAGCTGTGATTCTTCTGAAAAGAAAGAAAAGCTAAGGAATGGCCTTTTCTCCCCACCCAACCCCTGTACCCGGCCCCACATGCCTGACCCCTGGGTCACCATCGGGACCCTGCCAGCTCTACCCTTGGGTGCCTCCCTGAGACCCACCAGCAGTCCTTGATGGCAAGCCAAGGCATCTCAGCCCTGTTGGCCACACGAGCTCTGGCTTCTCTGAGCAGGCAGCTCTCAGCTGTGTCACCAGCAGCTAGCTGCAGGGAGACACGGCTCAGGAGGGAGATGGCCGCCCCTAGGAGGTCCCAGAAGCCTGGGGCAGCCATCTTGCCCCATAGATGGGCTCTGACGCTCAGCCTCACAGAGAGTGAGCTTGAGCAGGCATCCAGATTTCTGGGAACAGGGACAGGGACCTGGCCTTCGACCCTGAAACATCAGTGTGCTGCAGGCCCATCACACTCTGTTCCTCTAGGGTACTCCTGGGCCGAGTTCTAGCCTTGTCTCTGGGTGGGGTGAATACCGGAAGTGGGGCTGCCAGGGCCCCGGTGCCCGGTGCTGGAGGCTCCCCCGTCCTGCCTTCCATGGGGGACCAGTGCCCCCGGGACCCTTTTTGGTCCTGAGCACCCATGGATTACAATGCTGCCCCGCCTGCCAGGCTTGGCCCTTGGGATTTACACAGCTCTCCTTTCTCCAGGAGTGGGAACTGAAGAACGGGACCTAGGAAGGGAGGCGGCCCCAGGCAGAGACTGCATCCCGCTGGCTGCCCATCTGCGACGCGGTGCTCCCTGGGTGGCCCATACAAGACGTCCGAGGCTCTGAGGCCAAGCCCTGCCCTGCCACCTTCGCCCGCCTGCCCGAGTGTCCTTCCTACTGTAGGATGGTGCCCTTCTGAAGAGTTTACTTGTAAGACTTTAGCTTCCAGTTTTTCTTGTTAAAAAAAACCAACAAGAACCAGAAACAGAAAGGAATGATGAGTGTTGTGAAAGATTCTTAGGCCGATGGACAAGCTGCCTCTCTCCAACCAGCTGAATGACTGCTTGGACCAGGTCCAGCCCCACCCCAGCTGACAGGCAGCAGACGGCCGGCCGGACAGACCCTGGTCCCTGCCTGTGCCTGGCTGGACCTGAAGCGGCTCCCAGGCCCTGCCTCCCCCTCTCGGGTGTCCCAGCTCGGGCATGCAGTGTCAGGATTGCCCTTGGCCATGCAAAGGTTGGGGTTCTGTAGCTGAGGTGGGGCTGGCGTGGGCACTGTCCAGCACCCTGTCCACTTTAGCACCCTTGAGAGGCGAAGGCACAAGAACCTTGTGCTGTGAAGCCATTTCTACCTTCTAATTCTTTCTTCCTTTTGGATGGACACTTTTGTCTCCGGGCCACGAACAGGTGCCATTGTTTTTTAAAATGTCCCTTTTTGCCATATGTTTCACTGAGTTCTAGAGTCTTCAGAGCCGAGTCCTATTTTGTTGATTATCTGCACTGCTGGTGATAGGCAGCAGGCGCTTTATTTGGCTAGTGCGCCCCGGCCTGGGCCCCAGCCCTCCCACTGTGCACAGCGGTGATGCTGCTCAGGTCCAGCCCCTCACACGCCTCGATGCTGCTGGCTGAGTCCCTCTGCAGGATGTCCGTGGGCCAGCGGGAGGCAGTTTCTGGGCTTGTAGGGCTGGGACCTGTGGAACCTGGGAGCCAGAGCCACCCCTCTGTCCACTAAGGCTGGCACCGCTGCCCTCTGTGTGGTGCCCCTGCAGCGTCCAGGTGCAGGGAACGAGATGGGCAGCACCTCGGCTCACTTCCGCCTGGTCTGCAGGGGCGCCATCGGGGAAGATGGCCCCGACCATGAGGAGGGGACAGCACCGCACCCCACCCGCCGCACGCCTTTTGTCCCCGGCCCAGAGCACTCTACCGCTGGCACAAAGCGCCTCCCGTGCTGTCCCCAGAGCCGCCCTGGGGTGTCGGGAGTCTGCCCCACCATTCCCAGGCCTCGGACTGGGGTCCGTTCTCTGCATCACACCCTGAGCCGGAGGGGCTGTCGGATTTACTTGTTGAGTGGGAAAGTCACCTGGGACAGGAGAAAGTGTCCCAGCGAGGATTAGCAGCTGCTCCCCTGGTCCCCTGGAACCACCTGAAGCCATCTGCGAGTGTGAGTCGCCCAGTCCTCGGTTACACCAGTGTCCAGCCGTTCCCTCCAGCAGGCCGCCAGGCAGGCAGCGGGGGAGGAGCCCTCCCTCAGGGCTGGTTTCCCACTGTCGCAGGGAGCTTTATTCCATAGGAAACTACATTTTTGTAAAGGGAAAGATTTATAGACCAGAAATTTTTGCTGTTGTTGGATCTAATAAAATCCACGAAGCCAGGCTTGTGGGCCATTCTGAGTGGCAGCCACCTGGCCAAGGGGGTGCTGCTGGTTTCGGGTTGCTCCTGAGAGGAGGGAGGCACCAGCCTCAGGCCTGGGTGGATGCCCACGATCCACAGCAGACGTGCAGCAGGTGTCCGTGCCAGCAGCCCCCTCTGCACACACACCACTCACTGTGGTTTGTCATCCACTCTTGTTACCAGAACGCTTTGAAGGAGGCAGCAAAGGTTCTGGGGTGTCTGCAGTGGCCCTGAGGAAAGCAAGCTCCCGACACAGGTCCTGGGCCCTATGGGCCCTGACATTCTCAGATTGGACCAGAAAGTTAGTTTAAAGCATTTGCTTCCAAGTTATTTATTTGTATATGTCCCGTAAGTGTAGCTTTAATTTATGCCTGTACATATTAGACACACAGATACCCGTCCAAGTCTGAGGGTGGTGTCATTTGGTCACCCTCCCAAAGCATGTCCCAGCATGACCCCGGCCGGGGGATGGCACAGGCACCCCTGGTCCTAGGCACCGAGGCTGGGGCCAGGTGCTGCGGGGTGCAGGGCAGGCTGCCCGGGTCCAGTGTCTAACGCGTCACCTGCCACCTTCACAGGCAGCTGTGCTCGCAGAGTGAGGCCCACAGAGAGGGGCCGGCCTGGGACAGGTCAGGGAGGCCCGGCCCTGCGCCTCGGCCCTTCCCGCCACCGTGAGGCACTGGGTCCCTCCCTGGGTGCTGCTCCTGGCGCAGTTGGGTGAAATGGCACCGCCTGCAGAGCCCCTCTGTCGTGTTCCTGGATCGACCCCTGCATAGAGACAGCCACGCTGCCACAGGGCACTGTCGCACCCACCTTGACACAAGTGTTGGCCTTGCTGTCACTCGCCTCAAGAGTCAGCACCCTGCAGGCAGCCAGGGGCCAGGATGGCCATCCAGAACCTTCGAGAACCTTCCCTGGCGGGCTGCTTGGGTGATTCTAATAGCCACACCCACCCGGCAGGGTGCGGGTCCCACTGGAGGAGCCTTCACAGAGCGAGTCCGGGCCCTGACCCCCGGGTACAGGGGACAGTGTTGCTCCCCGGCCGGCTCTGCGTGTCCCCGGGTGCGCCCATCAGCGGCTCCCCTGCACACCAGCACGCTCCCACCAAGGTTGTGGCAGCACTGCAGTGACAAACGACTCCCTTCCTCCTTTTTTTCTACAATAATTTTTAACAGGAAAACTAATTTCAAGTGCAGGATGTGATTTTTCAGGAGGTCACTCAGTGTCGGGGTCCTGCTGTTGCTGTCTTTTTATCAACCCCACGGTGGGCTGGGTTCATACTGTGAAATAAACTGCAAATAAAAGACCGTGTGCATTTGGGGTGCACACAGTGCAGCCCTGGGGAGGCCCAGAGAGGCTGTCTGCGGGTGGGCCCCCAGCCCCCCAGCCCCCCAGCCCCAGCTGCAGCTCCAGCCCTGCAAGGCTTCCTTGCTGCGTCTGCCGCTGCGCTCACAGTGGCCCAGAAAGGCCGCCTCGTATGTAGCGCTCCACCCCAGGAGTCTTCCTCACGGGATCCTCAGATCACAACTCTTAGGGACCAAAGGTGTTTTTAATAAGATCATCCTCTAATTGATTTTCTAACAAGGAAGGAAATACATGTTACATTTACATTTTAACATCAACTTTTGCATTCTAGATATCCAGGATGAACTGCCCATGGCCATACGTTGTAAAATGTTTTCATATTAAGAATGTAATTATTGCCTTATTGTATTTTTTAAAAACTGAAGTCATATTTAAAATTCTCTTTGAAAGAAACAGGCAAAGAAACAGGAAAGCTTTTTTAAAAATTAAATATGTTGTCCGTGCCCATTTGGAATGACTAAATGTCTTCACTGTCTGTATTTAAATCATAAAGTAGGGAAAAAAAACTTTTGGAAAGAGACTTATAGTGGAAACCCACGTTTCAGCCACGGACCCCATTTTGTATCAGCTTCACTTGAATCCTCCGCTTTTGGACTGAGTTTCCGGCTTTCCTCCGCGGCGGGGTAGACTGGCGCCTGCGGCGCGACGCACGCTTATTGTTAATAAAACGTTCGACCGGGCCTGGTGTCCTGCAGCCCTGGCTTGCGCTGCGCACGGAAGTCGGAAGCCGCTGCGGGATGGCGTCGGGGTCACGGGGTGGGGCGCTCGCCCTGGAGGGGCCGTAACAGTTCAAGCGCTTTTTATCCTGCGACTCCAGAAACGTCTGCACCTGCCACGGGCTTACCCGGAAGACTGACTGATAGATCGCCCACGGGAGGACGGCCGGTGACTTCCGGGATGGTAGGCGAGGGAGCAGCTGGCTTTGAGGCCACTGGGTAGGGTTTGCAGCATGGTGGGGGTAATTTGAGCCAGGCTGTGGGGTTTAGATAGGAGTTCAACAAGGAGAGAGGCAGGGGAAGACATCCCAGTCCCAGGAAACAGCAGGCGCGGGGGAGGGGGGCTGCTTGGGCAAAGGTGGGCCACGCATACGGCTGGAAGGGCGAAGGGAGAGGCAGGAAGCTGAGTCCGAAGCTGCGGAGGGACTTGGGAGAGGGGAGGGTGCTGCACTCCCGCCCCGGTGTGGCCTGGGCCTCCTCGGCCTGGCGCGCTCCGCCCTCTTCCCCCTGCCGGGGCTGCGTGGCTGGAGGCTGCTGCTCACCATGTGGGCCCGGGGAGGGGGGCGCCCTGGTCAGAGGACTCTGCTGTCCCGGAGCCGGCTCCCTCTCCCGGTGAGCAGCCCGCCCTGTGCCACCTTCCAGCCGCGCCTTCTGCCAGCCCGGCTCCCCTGGGACCCGAGTGACATTTTCTGAAGGGCGCGGGGCAGCATCTCTTTCCCCTCCCCTCCCCGGCTCCCTGTGGCCTCCCTCACCTCGGGCCCTTGCCCCTGGGCCACCAGCTCACAGCCAGGGACGCCCTGGTGTCAAGGGCGGGGACTGAGGCTCCTTGCGGCTGGTGCTGAGTCCTGGCTCCTGTTTTCCCTTCCCCGCCTGGGCTAGGCCCTCGGCCAGCATAGTTATGGAGGTGGCGGTGCCCCGTCGGACTGGCACTCGGCAGCCCGGACAGCCTTCCTCCCCACAGCCCCCAGCTGGCAGGCGTGGCCTGGGCATCCGCATAGCTGGTGGGCTCCGGCTGTCTTGTCAGGGTCTGAGGGTTGGCAGGGCGGCTGCCAGCGCCTGCAGAGGCAGGAGGGTGCACCTCGCAGATGCAACCGGAACAGAGCAAGTGGTCTGGGCTGCACCTCGACGCTCTGCCCAAGCAGGTGGGGTGGTCGCTGGCTCCTGGGGACCCTGGAGCCTAGTTACAGGTGTGAGAAAGGCCCAACGCAGGTGGTCAGGAGGCAGCTGGGCCCGGGTGGCTGAGTCACCTGTCGAAGGTGGCCACCGGGCCCCTGGGCACAGCCTGTGTCACCAACCGTGGCGGGTGGTTTTGGTTTTCTGTAACAGTGGCCCTGGCAGGGATGAGAACCGTGGTGCTGAAGGAGGGCATTGTCCTCAGGGTGACCTGTCCGTGACCAGGAACCTTCTGTCCCTTTCTTGACATCGATTGCCACCTGCACCGCTTTGGGCCCCAGGCGGGGGTCCCTGGGCCTTTGGGGCATGGCTAGAGCCCTGGAGCAGTCTGGGTTTCAGTTAAAAGCTTTCCGTGCACTTGGGGACACCACGGCCAGGCACGTGGTGGCGTGCGGTACTGCAGAGCCCACGACAGTGTCTGTCACTGTCTCCTACAAGGGGTTCTGCACCCCTGCGTCATCTTCGGGGCCCTGCTGTCTGGCCAGGTCACCAGGCAGAGGCTCCAGAAGGAGGATAGTGGTGCTTCCGAGCACCGTGTCACACCCAGGAGGAGACGCCCCCCCCACCAAGGCCGGGCACCCAGGGGCAGGGACGTCGTCAGACGGGGCTCCGCCTTCCTCCTCCATCCTGGAAGCAGAGCAGGAGCTGCAAGGCCCTTTCCCTGCTCATACATGTGCACGCCCTCTGCCCACGCCCCAGCCTGGTGTCCCCAGCCCGGGGTCCTGTGCATGTCCTCTCCCTCCCCCTGCAGGGCTAGTGCCAACTCCACCTCCACTGCACAAATTTCAGGCCTCTGGCACCAGGCTGGGTCGGGGCCCCTGCTGGGCCTGTGTGGCCACTGCCTGCCTCCCCTGGTCTGGGGCCTCCTTCGAGGTCAAGAGCTCTGAGTCATCCACAGGTCACGGCCTGGGGGCTGCCCAGGGTCCCGCTCAAGTTGAAAGGCTCCTGGGCTGCCAGGCTATTCTGAGCTGCTGACGTTGCACACCACGAGTGAGTTCTGGCACAGAGTGGAGGTGCACGTGTGAGCATGTGTGTGTGCGTTGTCACTCAAACCCACCTCCTTTCATCCACCCCACTGGCGACCTGCCTTGGGGTTCCCCAGAGTCTCTGCATGGTAGGGTGTGCGGAGGAAGACGCAGAAGAGACCTTCCTGAGAAGGCAGAAGCTGATCATATTCGTTTAATCTTTGTTAAAAGCATCACAAATGATTTACTGATCTTTAAAAAGGAAAAATAAGAAAGCCTGCATTGCCTCTGTTATGCCAAGTGGGTGACCCCGCCGGTGGGGACACGCTGGCCACCACCGGGGTCAGCGCCCTCCCCTGGTGCCCGAGTTCCTGCCTGTGCCCCGGGCACACGCCCCTTGCTGACCACCTGCGAGGCCCGAGTATGTATGGATTGCCTCTACGGACACGGAGATGGGGATGGCAGGGTTACGGCAGGTCGCCTTGCTCCCGGGGTCCTGGGCCACACACTCAAGATGTTCTGGTCAGAAATCGTAACATAAAATACAAGGGAACACAAGTACCTCAGGGAGACCCGACCTGCACGGCTGAGCAGGTGGGACTGAGTGGCGGGGAGGGCCAGGCCGGTGCTGGCACCACAGGCGCCGGGAGCTGGGCTGCTCCTCGCTGGCCGAGCCTAGACTGTGCTCAGGGGTCCCATGCGCGGGTGGGACACGTGGGGTGGCAGCCGGAGGCAGGTCCCCGGCAGGGGCTACAGAGAGGTGGGCGGCCGCGGCGGCGGAGTCGCGGAGTCACGGCCTCTCCTGGCTCTGGTCCCTGTCCCCAGCCCCTCCCCAGGGAAGACGCCCGCAGGGAGGACGTCCAGGGTGGGCAGCGGCGGGCAGGCGTCAGTGCAGCCGGGCTGCCTCCCCCACCAGCTGAGTGCCCGCTGTCCCTGAGTCCCACCCGTGACCTGGCCTGGGTACCAGGGGGCCCCACAAGGCAAAGACGGAGTGCCCAGGCACTGCCCGGTGTGAGAAGGTGGCCCCAGGCACCCACTAACAGGCCAGGCCTCTTCCTCGGGAAAATGGTGCCAGCCCGGTACCAGCCTGGGCCCTGGCATGGCTTCCAGAGACCCTGGCTGGAGAGGGGGTCACAAGGAGGCAGGGGAGAAGGAAGAAAAGGAGAAGAAAGGGGGAGGGGACGCGGAAGATGCTGAGTCCAAGGCAAAAGGTGAAGATCCTGCTGTCTGCGTCCCTGCCCGGCAGCCTGAGCGGCTGAGCAGCCTGCTTGGGGGGCAGAGGGCTGGTTCTGGGGCCACCCTTGCTACCATCTTGCCATGTCTTCACCAAGAGGGGCCTGCTCCTGGGGGCCCCCAGCTCTGCCCCCATCCTAGCTGGGCTCCACGGGCACCCCAGCTGTGAGCTGTGCAGAGAACTGGGTGCAGAGGGGGCGCTCACCCCTTTCTGGGTTGGCTGGTTCTTTCCAGAGCTCAGGCTGGGCAGCCAGGCTTTGGGAGGGCACCGCCTGCTGGTGGGAGCGGGAACTGCAGGCAGGGGTCCTTTTGCGGAGCCCCCAACCCGCAGCGGAAACTAGGGTGAACACCAGAGGGGAGCGCTGGGTGCTCTGGAAGCGGGGTTCTCGACGTGGCTGACAGAGCCACCCAGAGGGTGACTGCCTGGCCATACAAACAAAGATAAAGCCCCAGTGCGAACCGCCGCCTAGAGAGGAATATACATGACCTATACAGAGAGGGACAGAGGCAGGGGTGGGAGATGGCCCAGCCCACGGCTGCTGGGGTTCGGGTTGGGGGCAGGAGGGAGGGGCCAGGGCAGCTGTGTGCGCCCAGCCGGAGAGGGCGGGTCCCGGGCGGGGCGGACCTGTGGGGGGTCGGCTCCCTGAGCGTCAGTGGCCTGGGTGGGCGTGGGCTGAGGGGGGGCGTCTGTCCTGTGGGGAGCCCGGAGGTGGCTCTGGGCAGGTCTGGGACTCACTCCAGCTGCAGGAGTGGGCTGCGCCCCTGGGGGCGGCGGCAGAGAGCAGAGCGCGCGGGGCATCAGCTCACCAGGTAGCCGTGCATCTCCCGGGAGTTGATGCTCAGGACCACGCCCGAGTGGTTGCCTAGGAGCAGAGAGGTGCGGGCTATGAGCACGAGCCCCTGGGCTGGGGACGGGGTGGTGGCCTCCGCCGCGCTTCGAGCCAGCCGTGTGTGGTGGGCACCCGCGGGTCCCTGTGGTGGGGCTCGATTGCACAGGTGACTGAACGGGGTGTGCCCAGTGCCCACACAAGCAGTGGACCCGAGGGAGGGCTGACCAGTGAGGCCCGCAGCAGGGGCCGTGGGAGGGGCTGCGTCTCCGCCCCCTCCTGGCAGGCGCAGCTGTGGGACAGAGGGTGGCCAGGCCCCTTCAGAGACTGGGCACCTGGGCCGCCTGGCAGAGGCTGCACTGTGAGCCCAAGCACAGGGAGCACCCGGGACCGGAGCTGCTCTGCAGGGCGCGGCCCCACCCCAGCTGTGGACGGAGGCCCAGTGCCTGGCATGGCTGGGTCAGAGAGGAGCCGAGCTGTCCGAGCGTCCCCGGCAAGGCCCTCATCCCCTGCCCCCGTGCCACATCTGGAACAGCAGGCTCACGTGGAGGCCCTCGGAAGGCCCATCAGGGCCGATGCCTGGTGCACACGACGGGGGCTTTGAATATGGTTAGGCTGTTGTTATTTTAGGGGCTTAAAAGCCAAGCTCCCACTTCCTGGACCCCCATGGGCTTCCCTGGCGGGGCTATGACCCTGCCTGCAGGAGGTGGGGCCGCTACCTGGGGCCAAAGCCACCTCCATCCTGGGCAGAGTCCCCTAGGGTCTCCGAGGTGCACAGGACGCTCGTAGGCCTGCAGGAGGTGCACACCCAGATCTCTCAAGCCCAAGCCTGTTTGCCCACTTGTTGGGAGGCCGAGGTGGGCTGCCAGCCTGGTCAGCGTCACGCTCCAGCGAGGGGCAGAGCCTGTGTCCCTCCCCTGGGGTGGAATTCGGGGCACCTCGGTCCACCAGCAAGACGTGGGTTTGGGCTGTGACCCTGAAGCAGGGTCCTGCAGAGGCCACTTCCCCAGCTGCTCAGACCTCGCTGGCTGTGCTGCGGGGACCCAGCCACAGGGCGTCCAGGTCCAGGTGGTGGGCACAGGATGGGTGAGGCCCAGCTGCCCGCCTGTGCTCACTGCGGGGCACAGAGGCTTCGAGCCACTGTGGGCGAGCGCGGGTGACAACGTCCTGCCCCAGAAAGGCGAGGAGCTGGGAGAGGGTGAGTGGCCCCTCCGTGTGGTCTGACGGTGCTGTCTCCCGGGCAGGGCCAGGATGGGGAGGGATGGGCAGGTGTGAGCTGTGAGTGTTGTGCTGTGCGTGCATGTGCGACACACACGTGTGGACACAGTGCCCTGGGACCCAGAGGGCCTCTGCAGGGCCGAGCGAGTGCCCCGTCCCCGGCTCACCCTGCATGGCGGTGCCCTGGGCGTCCTCGCTGCGGCTCACGGGGCTTGTCATCTCCTGCTCCTTCTCGTTGTGCATCTGCGCGTACACCGTCCTGCCGGGGCGTTTCCTGCGGGCACAGGGCACTCGGGTCTGCGCCTCTCTCCCCGGAAGCCCTCCGTCCTGCACCCGACCCTGATCCCCTGGCCACGCTGCTGCTCCTCTACCTCCTGCAGCCGGCAGCTTGAGGACAGCGACCCGGGCACCTCGGGAGGGCTCGGAGCCACCCGGGGGGCTGCCAGACAGCAGTGGGAGCCCTGCCCCGGGCCTCCCCAGCCCCTTTCAGATGCGGAACCCGAGGCTCAGATGTGGACACTGGCCTCCTGCAGGCTGCACCCGGTGGTCCAGGTGTGGCAGTGGGGGGCAGAGACTCGGGGGCCTAGGAGCAAGGGGTCCTGGGGGCTCCCCGCCCCTGGAGGCCTTCAATCACTGGGACCTGCGAATCTAGGTGGGCTTTAGGGGCCTGAGGCCCGCCAGCCTCCCTAGTGTAGGGCACAGTGCAGGCCCCACCAGCTGGCCCAGTGTGGACTCAGGACCAGAGGCCTGGGCTCTGACATCCCACCTCCCACTGCCCTGGGCATCACTTGATGTCATTGTGGCTGAGGGAGGGAGCAGATGGGAGAGGCATTTCTGGCTGGGCACTTGGTAGAGGGCTGTGGCCTTCACTCAGGAGGGGCTTTGTGGGGTGATTTGATTTGAGGTGCCGGCAGGATACCCAGGTAGGTCTATTGGGAAGCCAGGGCCTCAAGAAAGGCCACAGCCTGGATCCTGCTGCAGTCCCTCTATGTAGCAAACTCCTATGCATCCTTCAGGATCCCACTGAGAAATCCCCTCTTTGCGGAAGCCCTCTGGATCCTCCAGCCCAGCTGAGGCCCTGTGATGTACTCAGCATCTCGGGCCACCTCTGTGGCTGGAGCCAAGTCAGAAGGGAGGTGACAGGCTGTGGGGGTGCTCTTGGGTGAAGCTGAGTCAGCACTGTGTCCCAGCAGTCGGCCCAGCATCTCGCATGGCGGGCACATGCATCGCTACAGCAACCAGGACCAGAGGTGCACAGGGGGCAGGCGAGGACCCAGGGTCTAGGAGAGGGGTTGTTGGCAGACTGGCACACAGAGAGGGTCCCCCACAGGGGACCCGGGTGGGGTGACTGATGGGGGCCTGCAGGTGGCTCAGCAGCAGGGGCAGCAGGGGGCAGGGACCCTTCCTGGGCCCAGTCCAGGAGAGGTCGGCAGGACCCATGCTCCAGTGACCTGTCACGGGGTCCCCTCCTACGATCTTCGGGGTCCCAGTCTGAGCAGGAGGCCCACCTGGAGTGCCCACTGCCCACAGCTGGGCCCGGAGCCACTGTAGGAGGAGGCGCAGCTGTGCAGCGCGCACACAGGCCCAGGTCCTGAGCGGCCTCCCTGCAGCAGCCCCTCCCCCAGGAGCGCGGCGGCCTTGCCTTTTGAACTTGTAGAGGACGATCGCGCCCACCGCGAAGACCCCCACGACGAAGAGGACCACCACAGCCCAGTAGCCGCTGCCGCCTCCCAGCCGCTGTGACTCTGCGAACAAAGCAGCCAGGGGCCCCTGGGACCGGCCTGTCCCCACCCCGACCCGCACAGGGGCCACGGGGGTGGGGTACCAGGGACAGTGTGTGCTGCCCAGGCCCTGGGATCCCAGCCGCTGCCCATCGACTCGGTGCGGGGACAGTGCTGTGCGGGCCCTGTCCTGCGAGGGGACACGGCCATCCCCTGGGGAGCCGCCTCCCTCCTACAGGGGCGGTGTGTGCCCCAAGGGGGAGACGCAAATGGGCAGAGGACCGGGACCCTGAGCCGGGTGGGAATGGAGACAAGAGCTCCGCCTGTGACCCTGGAGGGGCACTGAGGCCCAGGGCTGCTGGCCTGGCGATGGGGCTCAGCACAGACGAGGACAGGACAGGGGCCACTCACCTGTGTCTGTGTCCCTCAGGGCCACTAGGACGCGCAGCCCGCCCTGCAGCAGGAAGCTGATCTTCTGAGCGCTCAGCACCTGCCGGACGGCTGTGAGTCTCTGCAAGCGGAGGAAGAGGAGCCTGACCCAGGACCTCACCTGTGAGCCCACAGTCAGCGGCCAGCCAGGGCCCCCAGGAACCTCGGCCACGGAGGGGCAGAGACAGGACCAGGCTGCCGGGGGAGGCCGGGCCCCGCAGCGGGCACGGAAGGCTTCTCGGGACGGAAGAGCAAGAGGAGGCGGAGGCAGGGCAGGTGGGAGACTCGGGGGGGCCCCGGGTGGGCTGAGGGGAGGGCTGGAGAGGCGGCAGCCAGACGCCGGCCAGGGGCGGCCCCAGGAGCCTCCTCGGATCCCAGCGACACGGCACACCCTGGCCACCTCTGCTGACCCCCGTTTCTGCATTTCTAGGTCCTCCTGGAGGACCTCACAGCCCTCGGGGACTGTGACGGGCACAGCGGGGGACCGCCCGGCCTGCCAGCTTTGGGCTTGGGGAGAAGGAGCCGGGCCTCGCCCACCCCATATGCCCACCAGGGTGCGCCTGTGCCCGCCTCGGTGCCTGCTGAGTCCCATTGTCAGGAGGGCGCTGTCCTGACACTCAGCCAGGACCACAGCCGGGGACGCCTGAGGGCTCATCCCTTCTCTGGAGTGCACAGTGTGGGGACAGGCGGGGCTGCTGTCAATGGCTGTCCCCAAGCGCCCTCTGCCCGGGACACCTCGGGAGGACAGCCATGACTCTGCTTCCGCCGGTCGGGTGCAGCCGCCTGGACGAGCCACGGGATTCCCAGGCCGGTTCCCGCTCGGGGTGAATGGGGTCCTGGGCCTGGGGCTTGGGGTGAGCACTTTCCAGAGCAGTGGGGAGCGCTGCTCTGCACAGGGCATGTCCCATGCTGGGCCCAAGGCGCGGGCTGGCATCTCGTCATGACTTTGATTTGCACGTCCCTGCTGAGCGGGCACCGAGCCTTTTCGGGGCCCCTCTGGCCACGGCCTCCTGCATCTCCCCTGCAGCAGCATCTGTATGGCCTGTGCCCACCTCCGCACTGGTTGCCTGTTCTGCGGTGTTGAGGTGTTTGAGCTCCCTACGGGCTGTGGGCATCGCCCCTCGACTGGCGTTCGGCTGGCGCAGGGTTCCTCCCGCCCTGTGGCCACCGCTCCCCTCCATGTCCCCGCGGCTGTGCAGAAAGGCCTGGTCCAGGAAACCCGCGCCTGCAGCTCTGCAGCCTGCACTCGCTCAGACCAAGGTGTCCCTGCCACCGGGCGGCCCCTTTCGTCCAAGATGGCTTTGGGTGCCCTGGCTCTTCAGTGGCTCCATGTGACTTCAGGATCCTTTTTGCTATTTCTGCGGAAGATGCCACTGACTCTTCCTCGGGCTGGCGAATCAGCCGATGGCTGTGGATGGTGCAAGCTTCCACCCACAAACACCAGGGCTCTTTCCAGAGGTCTGCGCCGTCTTCCTTCTCTTCTGCGACGTCTCACTGTTGCCAGGCGCAGGACATTGGCCTCCTCGGTCAAGTTTACTCTCGAGTGTGTTACTCGGCCGCCGGCACCGAATGGGGTTGCAGTCTTGGTTCCTCTCTTCCATGTTGCGTACGGTGCCGCCGCCGAGGGCCCTCGCTGCTGCTCCCGCCCCAGTCTGCACTTAGGACTGGCACCCACTGGGTGCCGGGTCTGAGTGCTCCCTGTCTAGGCGCTGCCCACTCCAGGCCCTCCAGGTCCCTTGCACACGAGTGTCACGGGGACCCGTGTGAGACATCTGCTCACTGCAGCCTGCGCCAGCCCCGCGTTCTCTGCACAGCCTGGCGCATGGGCCAGGACCACCGACAACTCCCGACGCTTCATCACCTCCGAAAGAGCCCCGGCTCCAGCAGTAACCCCGTTCTCCCTGCCCCCGGCTGCCCCACCCCACTCCCGTCCCTGTGGATCTGCATCTCTGGACGAAGCCGTGGCTGCAGCTCCTGCTGGGCCCGCTTCAGCACATGTACCTGGGCGTCACTTCTCCTCAGGGCTGGAGGAGGCCCGTCCTCCTGCAGATGGGCCGCTCTGCACGTATCCGCCACAGCCACTTGGCTGGTTTGCATCGTGGGCCACGAGGAATGTCGCTGTTCAGGTCCTCGCCTGTGCGTGACTGTGTGTCTGACTCTTCTTGAGCGAACACTAGAGGTGGAGTCGCCAGGCCATGGGGCCTCGGGTTTAACCTTCTGAGGAACTGCCGGGCTGCCTTCACCCTCCAGGGTGAGGGTCCATCTCTCCTTGTCAACACTGGATTGTGTGCATTTTTTTTAGCCACCTCTGTGAGCGCAGAGGGACTGGATTCACCTTGGAGTTCCTTTCCTCACCCGTCATGCGGCAGGACTTCCGTCCCTGCCAGGGGCTCTTGCTCGGCCCTTGTCCTATGTAGTGAGATGCTTGCTATCTGCATGGAGGTTGAGCTGCGCTGTTCGGAGTCCCTGCTGCCAGGTGTCTCCTGGACCCCGGTATCTCCCAGCATCCCTTGCAGCTAGGCTGAAGCCATGTGACCAGCTCCAGCCAATGATATGGGAGAGGAAGCAAGATAATCCCTGATGCAGTGGTCCAGCCCTGATACCCCTCTGCTCAGTGACCTAAAAGGCCAAATGACCTTCAGAGGGTGGAGCCCCAAGGTGCAGGACAGCACCGTGAATCAGACTGACAGCAAGAAAGAAGCCTTTACGGGATGCAGTCGGAGGTGACCCCAACTGGGCACGCGGCCGCCAGCCTTTGGCAATGCAGGGTGACTGGGCGTCCGGGGCCATGGCCATACCTTGTCACTCGAGAGGCTCCTCTTCCTCGTGGGCCTGGGAGGCGGCAGCAGCACATACAGGTCAGCCACGGTGGGCAGCCCTGGTCTCACCACGGTCACCAGCAGCTCCTCGGGGACACTGGTCTCCTGTGGAGAGGGACACTTGTATCCTCCTCCTCCCTGTCCCCTGCCACAGCCCAGACCCTGGGGACACCTGCTCTCCCCCTGTGTAGGTTGGATCACCATTCCTGCCCCTGCAGCTGCATGGTGGCCTGGAGTCCACTGCACCCTGCGCTGCTTCCTGCCCCTGTCCCCTGCCCTCAGCCCCTGCGTGGCCCTGCTGCCTCCCCAGGCCCGGCCACAGCCCATGAAGCTCTGCTGCTGTGTGCTCTCTGCCTCCTGGGAATCCTCCTCCACACACTGCTGTCTGGTGAACTCCTCTTTACCCTTCAACACCCAGGACAATTCTACCAGCGTTATTCACAGGATGAGGGGAAGAATGGTCAGGATGGCCTCAACCCGTGATCCTCTCCCTCGGGGGTGTCCCGCGCCCACCCAGATAGCTACTTCTGCTTCCTGTGAGCCCCAACCACAGCAGCCACATCTGGTTCCCCCTCTCTGAGTCCAGCTCAGGAGAGAAACTCGGTTAGCGATGAGACCCCTTGGCAGAGACCCCGGACCCCAGGACGCACGCACACAGCTGGACCCCAGGTGTGGAGGACACCGCATTCCCATCCCTCCCCTCAAGGTGACACCCAGCCTGATGCCGCCCCCGCTGGCCCTGTGCTGCCCAGGTCACCTTGGAGAGCAGCCGGGTGACCACCAGGCCCACGTCCTCCCTCCACTCAGGTGTGTTGGGGTTGAGGGCGTCCAGCTCCCGGGAGAAGCACAGAGGCACCAGCTGGAACTGGTCTGTGGACAGCAGAGACAGGGGCAGTCAGAGCTGGACGTAGTACGGGCCTGGGAGGTGGCACATGCCTGGCCACTGTCCCCGACCTTCTGAGGCAGGCCAGAGAGTGTCCTGCTTCTGCCTCGGAAACACAAGGGCCTCCTTGGGAGCCAGCAGGGCCATGCTCTGGCAGCTATGTACAACAGGTCTGATGATGACAATGACGATGGCCATGACAGAGGCCTGGGAGGGAGGCTTGGTGTGGTGTAAGCTGTCCTGTGAGATTCGCCCCTGCGCTCACAAGAGTGTATACGCTGTCATTCCTGACAGATCCTTGGGCTCTGACTGGTCCCCCGACCAGATTAAGAGTCCCTTGGAGCAAAGGTCGCTCCTCCTGTGTTTCCCAGGCTCCAAGCCTCAGAGCGCTCTCTAGAGTCCCCAGAAGCCCACAGCCAAGCGTCATCTGTCCCCTGACTTCCAGGCCTCAGGTGGGAGGAAGCCTTGCAGGGCTGAGGGCTCGGGGCCAAGTGTATTGTGAGCTGAGCCAGCGTCCTGTAGCGAGGGTGGCAATGACCCCCGCTGAGCTCCCAGCTGGGCCATGAGGAGGCCTGGCTGGCAGCGGCCTCCTCCGGGTATGCGGGCTCCGCTGGGCAGCCTGCCCTCCACACGCTGTGCGCACACGTCTAGCTGATGGCTGCGGTCTGTCGGGGCCCCTGCTTTACAGCAGGTGAGACGGCCCTCAGCCAGGCCGTGGAGGCACCCAGACCGGGTCCAGGCCTGGGCTTCTGCTGGGGGCCTCAGGGGCCACCAAGCAGCATCCTCCCCCACGTCTGTGCTTCCCATGTGCCACGAGGCGTGGTGCTTATTTTACAGCCGGGGAAACTGAGGCCAGGGCCGCCGGGGGACTCACCCAGCACGCGGACCACCCTGGAGTCCTGTAGCACTGAGCTCCCGCAGGCCGCCTGCACCGACACGCGCACATCCCCCGGGGCCGCAAAGCGCGTGGTCACCGAGTTGTCCAGGGAGAGGAGGGGCTGCGGGCAGAGCGGGGCTCAGGCCAGCCACAGCTGCTATGGGGGCAGCTGTTTGCTGAATGACTGTCAGATGCCCACGGTGGGGGTCTCAAGGCCCAGCTTGAGCACAGGCAGCGACGCCCCCTCCGGGCATTCCACTGATGCAGCTGAGTCCTACTAAGAACTATCCATGGCTCCCCAGTGCTTACAGGGTGAGGCTTCTGAGATCTTGTCCACTCAGGGACATTCCCTGCCACGAAGCCCGACCACCCCACTGGAAATGGCCTTCCCGCCCCCTCCAGTGGGCCGAGCACGAGCCCAGGGCTGGGGCCTCTCAATGGCGTCAGGAGGGGCCCGGGGCGGGGGAGCGGTCCTACCCTGGCCCTGCTGCTGACACCTAGGCAGCGCCTGCCGACTCTGCACCCCAGATGGGAGCCTGCGGGGAGGCGGGAGGGGCTGGGCCAGCGCACCTGCAGGCTGTGGCCGATCCACCAGTAGAAGACAGTGAGATTGGGGTTCGGGGGCAGCAGCACAGCTGTGAGGTTCATGTCCTGGTTGATGCCAACGACAGGAGCCACTTCCAGGTAGAGGGCTTGCAAGGGAGCTGCAGGGGGCCAAAAGGCCAGGTTACAGAACAGCAGGGCGTGGGGCGTTACAGAGGCTGCTGATAGTTCAGCTTTCACTTTCAGCTTCATTGTTGCCTCCAACACCATCACCATCAGCATCAGCTCAGCCCCGAGGTCCTCCCTGTTTCCCCGACAACCAGGTCCTCTGTCACAGAAGTGTCTCTGGGCCTCACAGGGGTGACAGACTTACAGTTGACCTGGACGAAGAGCACGGCCTCGTCATGGCCTGCCACGTTCTCTGCTCTGACAGACACGCGGTAGACGCCGGGGCTCTCGTAGCGGTGCCGGATGGGCTCAGCAGTCAGCGTGAGGTTCACGTACATGGCCTTGAAGCCATCCCCCAGGTCCACCTGGTACTTGGTGGTCAGGATGTCACCCTGCAGGGAAGCACCACAAGGCCACTCAGCAGTGGGGCCATGGGGACCAGGCCCGGTTCTATCCTGGCCTCCGTAGAGGCAGGGGCACGGCCAGTGGTGCAGGTCAGCACGGCCCAGCTTCGGAGCCTCACGGAGGCTGTCTGGGGGCTGGCATGGCCAGGAGACCCCTGAGGCTGAGCCTGGCCATTGGGAAGCACTCTCACACCAGAAGGCTGCAGCAGTGCGACAGGAAGACCCCTCTGCAGCTCACAGCAAGGGAAGCCCCCGTCCCTCTTCGGAACTGCTGGAACATCCTCGGCAGAGACTGGAAGGAGCATGGCTGCTGTGGGGACACAGGCGAACGCCCAGCCCCCGGCAGAGGTGAGGATGCCAGGAGGACTCAGTCCCTGCTCCATGCCAGGTGGGTGCCCTCGGCCATGTCCCTCCCCACGCGGTGACCAGGCAGCCTTCCCATGCTCACAGGGGCAGCGGCTCCTCGTACAGTCTCCCGACTCCCCCTGCGTGTTTGGCCTGTGGCTGCTGCAGTCCCAGTTTCTCTGCACAGACGGGAGCTGGGGCCCTGGCCCGTGTGGCCAGGAGACATCCCTCCCTCCGGCGCGCAGGAAGCCCGGTACCCCTGCCGGCCCACGGCGGAAGTGTCCCTGGCCACGCCCAGCTTGGCGCCTGGTGCTCCCAGGTTGTGCGCTGTGCCGGCTGGGGGGCTCCTTGCTGTGCCTTGAGCGCTTTCTCCCACGCTTCAACTGTGCACAGCTTTCCATTTTCCACGTAAGCGCGGGACGCATTAGCGTCTGGTCCTTGTCAGTGAGGAGGTCCGGGTGACACGCAGCAAGCTGTTCCCCAACCCCACCCAGCACTCTGCCTGTGAAGTCAGGGTCCCGTGCATGCGTGTGCCAGGAGCATGTCACACCCTACCCCAGTGCTTCGGCAGCTGCAGGCGTGGCCTGTGGGTGAGTGGGCGTGGGACTGTGTTTTCATGCGTGCACAAATGTGTGTCCAAGAGTGTAGGGGAGCATGAGTGTGTGCTGCGTGTGTGAGCTGGTGTGTGTGGGCCCGGACCCCACCCTACTCTCCTGCACCCCCTTCCCAAGGAAGCCAGTGCCTCTCCCGGGCCTGGGAGCCTAGGGAGCCCCTCTCCGCTCTCCCCTCCCCGGCCCCAGCCCGGCCCCAGCCCGGCCCCAGTGCACAGCCAGGGGTGCGGCGGGTCCCCTGAATGGGCCCAGAAAGTGGCCTTGAGGCCAGGGCTGGGCTCAGGATCCAGGTAGGCTGTGGGGATGTGGTGCAGTTTCAGGCTCTGGGCTCTAGGAGGCAGTAGATGCCCGCGTTTCTGGAAGTCTGCCTGGAACTTGGAGCACCACAGGGCCACTCTGAGGGGACAGGGGCTCTGTCCTCCTGCCACCCACCAGGCTGCTGTGAAGAGAAACCCCAGGCCCATCCGACAGCTTGATCCCTGCCTCATCTACAAGGGGACCTGGGGCGGATGGGAAGCCGAGTGGGGGGCTCGGGGGGCCATGGACTTGGTCTCCCGCACTCAGAGTCCCCGCTCTGGGACCTGACACCACATGGTACGGCATGGCTTGGGCAGAGTGCCTTCAGCTTCCCCGCCTGTACAGCAGGCTGGCCAGGGTGCCCGGCACAAGCATGGAGGAGTAAAGGATATGGGTCCCTAAAGCGCTCGGCGAGGGCCGTGTGTCCTCTGCAGCCTCAGTTTCCCTGTTTGCACTAGGCCAAGGTTGTGGGCCCTCTGTCACCAGCCCGCCACCTGCCGCGGCCTGGGTTCTGAAGGACTTCTGACTGAAGCCACACGTGAGGCGCTCGCCGCATTTCTCAGCTGGGGATCCGCACACCCAGCAGCCTGGACCCGGGGGACCCGGGGTCCCTGGGCCAGGCGGGAAGCGGGTGGCTCTGAGTCTCCTGGGTTCTTTGCCGTGGCTCTGAATTTTCCACACATCTGTAAGTTTTCCTAATCCTACTTCCAAATTTCTGACAATGAGCATTAGTAATTTCTACAGTCAAAAACATAAGCCTGCTCTTTATTCATTTAAAAAAACTAGAAAGAAATGTAAAAATCAATAGCTTCCTTGGGGAAGCAGGATTTTAGGTGATATGTATGTTCTTGATTTCTCTTTACATAGTTTCCAATATTCTACAATGAATATATATATATATTCTTTTTAAAATCAGAAGGAAACAAAATGTTTGTTCTAAGGTAAAAATAGTAAGAGTGGGAGATTGGGAGGAGATTTCTGTGTTATATTTGGATGTGTGTATTTATAAAATCTATATTTAAACCTATATCCACCCAGAGACACACACAGGATTCATCTTCGGTTGTGTCACTGTAAAAAATAGATTTTTTTAAAAAAAGATCTCTCTGCTTTTGTTCGGGTCCTAAATTAACTAAATCTGTACTATAATTAGAAGTTTACTTTTCTTTCTTTTTTTTGGTACTGGGGGTCAAACTCAGGTCCTTCCGCTTGCGAGGCAGGTGGCAGAACCACTGAGCTACATCCCCGGCCCCTAGGGTTACTTTTCTGACCCCCAGGCATGCATGCATTTTGCCTCCTAGACCAGGACAGGCTCCCCGACACCCGGCGAGGGGACCCCGGCCCTCAGACGCTCTGGGGCCCGGCACCTCCCTCCCTGGCTGTGTCATCTCCCGGCTCGGCGTGGACATGGTCACTTCTGGCTCTGGTCCCTCCGCAGCTCTGCGGGTGGCCTCTGTGGCGACGCCCCTGCCAGTACAGGGTCCCCTCACCCCATCCCGAGGCGGTCACCACGGCCACTCACCTGCTCCTGCCGCACCACGAACAGCACGTCCTCTCCGGGCCGCACGGCCACTGCCTCACCGAGGATGCTCACCCGCAGGCCCCGGGGCCGCGTGAGGGGACACTGCAGTGGCCCTGGGCCCCGCCACAGGTCCACGCCACCCTCACACACGTTGGACACCACCTTCCGGTACCTGGTGGGCGAGGGGGTCAGGGTCACATCTCACAGTGGGGGCTCCGTGGTTGGGCAGGGCTGTGCTTGTCAACTGGGGTGGCTCCGCCTGCCATCCCTCCTGCCTACTCCGCCCGATTGCTGGTGCTCCCCTGCTGGAGAAGAGAGCTCTGTGGTTTCGGGGGGCACCAGGACTGGGGCGGCCTGGTCCTGCCGTAATAATCATGCTGCTGCTGCTGCGTCTGAGTTTCCCTGGTCTTGCTGAGAAATGTGGAGGACAGAGTGCCCGACAGGCCTGGCCCTGGCTCCCTGGGCAACACGCCCTCCTCCTGGGCTCTGCTGCCCAGCTGCCCAGACAGAGCACAGGTCGAGGTGCCTGGTCCATTAACCCCTCCGTGGGACCTGTTTACTACTGGACGTTTTTAAACACGGGGCCTGGGAAGGAGGTGGCTGCACGCACCCCTGCCCTGGTGGAGCAGACCGTCCACATCAGTGGGGAACTGTGGTGGTAACGGTGCTGGGAGAGGTGGCACCTGGGGACCCGCTCCTGAGGACGAGGGTTTCCGCTGAGCCTGGGAGGTGAGCAGGAGGAGTGTCACGGGCAAAGGCCCTGTGGTAGCTGTCTGGTGCTCAGCAGAGGGAGCAGGGAGGACTAGGCTAGCAGGGCTGTGGGGTGGAGGCTGAAGGGCCCTGGGACACTTCTCAGAGATGCTGGGAAGCGGCTGCGTGGGTGGCATCACAGCGCGCACAGCTCCCTCGGGCTTCCAGAATGCAGAGTCTGGTAAGCCGGTCTTGCTCGACAGTGCTCGGGGCCTGTGTCCCTTAGGGCTGGGTGCTCTCGGGTGGCTTGGACACTGAGTGACGTCAGAAGTTTATCACACAAAGCCCCGTGTGAGGAGTGCTTAACAGAGGACGCGCTTCCTGAAGGGGTGCCCACTCACAGCTCCCTGCCGCTCAGTGTGCACCATGGCATGAGGTCCTCTGCCCTCAACACGGGCCCTGGCTCTGATGCTTGCGACAGGCCCTGCTGGCCAAGCCTGGGTGTGTGGCCAGCCCCGCCGCTGTTGGGCAGAGGACGGGTGGGGTGATGATGGATGGATGGATGGATGGATGGATGGAAAAATGATTAGAAGAGAGGCCAAGAAGATATGTAGATGGTGGGAGAGTGGGTGGATGGTGGATGACTGTGTGGGTGGAGGGAGTGATAGGATGGGTGGAAAGACAGGCGGATAGATGTTGGACAAGTGGCTGGGTAGTGGGCGGACGGATGGACAGATGGGTGCAAGGGTTGCTGGCTAGCAGGGTGGGCAGATGGATTGGCAGACAGTGATGGATGGCAGATGAATGGTTGGAAGGATAGATGAATAGATTGATGGAGTGTGGGGGAGTGGGTAGATGGATGAGTGAATGGGGGATGGATGGGTGGAAAATGGAGGAGTGGACCTTGGATAGCCAGATGGGTGGGTGGGTGGATGAGCGTATGGATAGACAGATGGCTAGGACGATAGATGGATGCTAGATAATGATTCGGAGGATGTATGCATGAATAGATGGATAAGCTAGCCGGATGGGTGGGTAGTTAGATGGATGGGTGGATGAATGGATGGATAGTCAGGTGGGTGAAGGGTTGTTGGGTGGATAGATGGAGGGATGGAGGGATAAATGGATGGATAGTAGATGAGTAGTTAGAAGGATGTCCGGGTGGATGTGTGAATGGGTAGACGGATGGCAACATATATACTACTGAGACCAACGGCTGCCACTTCTGGTCCTGCTTCCTGTTTCCTCCAGCTGCACAGAGGATTTCCCATGAGCCCTGGGCCCTTTTCTCCCCTCTCTGAAGACCTCCCCATGGAGGATGGGAGACACGGGGCCTTTCCACGGGGTGTGCCCAGGGCTTGCAGCTCTTATACAGCCAACACCTGTATATGAAGCGAACACTTCAGAAGCAGGGCTCAGCCCAGTGGGGCCAGTGTCATCACGGGCCCATCTGCAGGGCACCAGGCCTCCCGCCAGCCTGTGTCACACGCCCAGCTAGGGGCACCCACAGTCCAGCAGGGAGCACAGCAAGACGACGGCTGTGCTCCCTGCTGGAGCTTGTGGCACGAGGGTGGAGAGGCGTCGGGAAGTCTTCCTGGAGGAGGCGCCACTCCAGCCAGCAGAGACCCACAGGCTGGGACAGGTGCCTGCAGCACCCTCAGGGCCTGGCTCCGGAGCCTGGGGAGTGGGAGGCCCTGCAGCCACAGCACACGCGCTGGGGCGGGGAGCCTCATCGGGCAGCCTTCTTCCTGCAGCAGGCGGGGGCCGTGCATGGGGACCCTCCCGTCCCCACTGGCCCTGTGGGTACAGTGGACCCTGCTGTGCTGTGGCCAGGGCCAAAGTCACGGCTAAGCCTGGCGACTCCAGGGCCCACAGCAGGATGGGCCTCGGGCTGGGGAGGGCGGGAGCCACACTCACCCCAGGCTGCTGGTGTAGGTCTGGCCCACGGCGCAGTCGTCTGGAGGGGCCAGGGGGTTGAACCAGAAGTTGGCTACACACTTGGTGCCCGGCTCCAAGGAGGGCGTGCGCTCGAACCCATAGTCGCTGGGAGAGGGGAGAACAGTGTCAGGCACAGGAGGGTGAGGCTGGGAAGGCGCCCTCAGGCCAAGGCCCACCTGTCCTGGAGGGAGAGGTGGGCGGTGACAGTCATGGTGATGGAGAGGCTCAGGGAGCTGTGTGCCCGGGAGGGCTTCCTGGAGGGGGAGGGGAGTCCCAGGATGCACAGGAGCCACGCAGGAGCAGCCACGCCAGGGCTGGAGGCCGGGGTCCAGGGGCAGGATGGGAGGGGACAGGGCAGTGGTGGCCCAGAGGCCTGAGAGCCGCACTGTCCTGGAGGCAAGCAGCCATGGGCTTCTTTTTTTCCAGTACTGGGAAGTGAACCCAGGGCCTTTGCACAGAACTACTTACAACCCAGACCTTGTTTTATTTTTTATTTTGAGACAGGGTCTTCCTGAGTTCCTATGTAGCACAGGCTGGGTTCATACTCGATCCTTCTGCCTCAGCCTCCCAGAGAGCTGGAACACAGGTGTGTGATGCCATACCCGGCCCACAGGCACTTCTGAGAGGGCCAGGAGAGTGGTGCGTGGTTCTGGGCAGAGGCCCCGGTGGAGGACAGGGGCTGCCCCAGGGTGCCCTCTGGCCCAGTTCTCCTCCCACCCGAGAGAGGCTGCAGGGCAGTTCGGCAAACTCCTCCAGGAGTTCGCTAACATTTCAGTCCCGAGGGCAAGGGGACCTGACACGTAAGGCTCAGGTGGCAGCCTGTGACCTGGGGACTGGGCCAGAAACATCAGAGTCCTCTGGGGACCCTGGGGGACACGGGGGAGCGGTGGGCACTCACCAGAGGAAGTCCGAGTCCCGGCACTGGCACACACGCGCTGTGAGCGCCGAGGTGAAGCTCCTGCCCTGGACGCACCAGGACGCCGGCTTCCTCTTCCGGAAGCTCCTCTGCTGGCCCATGATGCAGCGGTCGCCCTGTGGCAGGGACACGGGGTGAGGGGCCACCAGGAGGGGTCAGCTGTCCATCCTGCAGGTCCACGGGCAGCAGCTGGGGCAGGGTCCGCCACTAACAGACGGGGAAACTGAGGCCACGCTGCGACAGCCTCTCCCTCCGGCCTTCCCGGCACAGGGTGGGGTCGGGAGAGGCCCACCTGGAGGCTGGTGAGGTCCCAGGAGCTGTAGTCGTTCTCGCCACACGGCCTGGAGAAGGAGGGCCGGAAGTCCACCTTGACCAGCTCCCAGTCGGAGCGGAAGCTGATGTGGCCAAAGACCCTGGGGACGGGCGGGGCCAGCACCTTACAGCCTGGCCAGCTCTGGCGCGGCTGTCCCCACTATGGAACCGGCGGGCCCTGGGTGCCCCAGCTCCTGCACCGTTGAAGGCTTCAGAAGGAGCCGGCGGCGCTGTGGCCTTGGGGTCCTGGGTAGGGGACAGCGGGGGCCCCAGCCTGGCTCCCGGCACTGCACTGCTGGCTCTCAGGCCTCTCTGCACCCTGTGGCTGGGGAGCCTGCCGGGCACCTGCTGGTTCCCAGTGGCCCCGAGAGGCACGGTGGGGCCCAGGGGGGCCGGCTCCAGCTGCCCAGCCAGTGCCCTGGGCAGGGCGACGTCCCGAGGGAGCAGAGGCTCCTGCCCACCCCAGGCCCGAGAGGGACGGCGGGACGAGCGCTGCCCCGGACGCAGACGTCCCCAAGGCCCAGGCGCTGCACGGCCGCCCACGCTCACGTCATGACCAGCGTCTCGTCTCCCGGCTCGCTCAGCAGCCCGTCCACGAACACCGAGGTGCTGGTGAAGTTGTGCGTGCTCCACGTGACGCCTCCGTCCACGCTGAACCTGCGGGAGGGGCCTCAGCGTCCCACGGGGCCGCGGGCACACCTCGGTCCTCCTCTGGGGCCGCAGCGCGGGCCCCGGGCCCGTTTCCCCGCTGCTACCTGCCACCGCGCACCCCGAGCGGCAGGGGCCGCCCGGCCTTGGGCCTTGGGAACGTCCACCCGCCCCGGCCGGCCGGCGCCAGGCTGCAGTGCAGACAGCGCTTGCTTCTTGGACTGGAGCGGCGCTGGCTCCCTCCCAGCCGTCCGGCTCTGCCTCTGTCCTCCCTCGGCCCCGGCCCCGGCCCCTAGGCCGCCCTCAGCCCGCAGAGCTGCAACCCGCTGTGGGGCGCTCGCGGTGGGCGTGGCCCTGTGCTGCCTGCCCTTGCCAGCTCCTCGGAGGCCTCGCTCTCTCTCTCTCTCCCTCTCTCTCTGCACTCTCGGCCCCGCCTCTCCCGCACCCTGGGAGGCCTGGTGGCGCCCACTGCCGCCCGGCCCCGCCCACAGCTGCTCTGGGCGGCCTCTGCCCCCCCCCCCGCCCGGCCGCATCCCGCACCCACTTGAGGATCTTCAGGGGGATGGAGGTGTCCTTGATGGCCACGATCACGCCGCCGTGGTCCAGGTAGAGGATGTGATGCTCCTCCTCGAACACCTGCGGGACAGCGCGTGATGGGCGGGGCCAGACGGAGGCTGGGGAAGCGGGCGTGAGGCCAGGACAGCACAGACCCCCCCCCCCTGCCCACCATGGCCCTGTAGTCGGTGCCAATCCTTCTATGGCCTGAGGACCCTGCAGGTGGGGCCCTGACCACTCTTCTCCATCCTCCACCACCAGCCACTGGGGCTGCTTCCCTGAATGTACCCCAGGACCTTTGCACATGCCATCTCCCTGCCTGCCAACCCCAGGACCTTTGCACATGCTGTCTCCCCGCCTGCCAAGCTCTTCCCTGGACAATTCCACCTTGTTAGCAGCCTCACTGGGACACCCTACTGCTCACGGGAACTCTCCTGTGCGCATATTTGGCTGAATAAAGAAGACAGGTCCCTTAGAATGGGGCAGAGCCAGGGGATGAGTCCCAGGGTCCTTCTCTCTCCCTCCCTTCCTGTTTATTGGGGAGGGGTCTTCAGGTCAGGCCTAATGTCATAAGCAGAGCCATGAGAACAAGCCATGGTTGAGCCCCGCCCTGTGGGCCTGGCAGGGAAAGGCGGCCGTGGGACCCTATGGGCCCCCCCGAGAGAGCTGTGGAGAGCCCACCCTGCAGCTGTACCCAGGGCAGCAGGACGGGGCTGTTCCTCAGGACCCGGCTGCTCCGGGCACCCTGGTGGTGGTCGTATATGGACCAGCACAGGGCCTGGCACTGTGCCTGCCACCCTGCCTCGGCTTGGGGGTCCCAGCCGGTGAGCGGGGGAGCTGCACCCCAGAGCCTGGGCAGCCGGGGAGGGTGCGGGGCGTGGGTGCGGGGCTCTGTGCCCAGGGCACGTTCCAGAAGCTTCCTCGCGCAGGAGGAGCTGGGAGCTTGTGGCAGGACTCGGGGTGGTGAGGGGTCGGGGCCAGCTGCCTCTCCCACCCGGCCGGAGCAGGGCTCCCTTCCCAAGGGCCTGAGTGGGACTCGGGCAGCGTGGCTGGCCCTGCCTGTCCCGTCCCGAGGGTGGCCCTCACAGGGGCCTAACCTGCTCTCTCGGGGTCCCCCAAGGGTGACGGGGCTGCGGGAGGCACAGCTGGGGCTCCAAGTGGGGCCCTCGGCCCCTGCGTCCCTCCCCGGGACAGCGTGGAGGGTTTGGGTCACAGCCACGGTGGGAGGACGGAAGGGGCCCCGCCGAGCCTTCCCACGGACCCCGAAGAACATGGCTCTGGCTAGCTTGGGGTCTCTGGAAAAGGGGCCCGGACTGTGGCCCTGCCAGTACCCACGGCAGTGACTCTCTGAGCCTCGATGGCCCCAGCACCAGGGCCCTTCCCCGAGCCAACTTGTCCCCTGTCCCCGGCCCGAGTCCCGCGGGCCCTGAGGGCTCACGGGCTCCCAGCTCCCACTGTCCTGGGTCACGGGGCGGAGGCATAAAGGCCCCGTCCACTCCCTGAGGCGCCGGGCACTGTCCCGCCCACCCTGCCCTGTTCTCTAGGTGCCACGCGGCCCCATGTGGGTGCTGCATGTCCTGCTGTGCTCTGCGCCTCCCTGCTGCCTGCTGCCGGGCTGCTCTTCCTCCTCGTCCTCTTGGTGAACGCCAGGCCCAGCGTAAGTCTCCCTCCCTGGCACACGCGTGTGCACGCACACATGCACACACACACTGGCTGGCTCGCGTGAGCGCCCCGCCCCTCCCTGCACCCCCAGCTCTGTCGTCCCCAAGACTGGAACCTGAACAAGCCAACAGCCCCAGCGCGCCTCACCCCATTCGTAAAGCCAGACTCTGCCCAGGGGCCGCCAGCCACGGACAGGCGCTGACCTTTAAGAGATGTGGACACCTCTCACAGGTTCAGTGAAATAGAAATATTATCATACCATAAATCGCTTTTGCCCTTTTCAAAATTCCTTGTTCCTTGCACGTGATTAAAAAGGACGAGGCCTTAAGCCTAGGCGGCGGGTGGACCTTTCCTGTCAGGGATGACTGTGTTTGTCCAGACCAGTGCCACCGTCCCCGAGAGGGGCCGCCCCTGGCTGCCACCTGGGCTGGGCTGGGCCGGCCGCTCCAGGAAGCCCCATGCCCATCCGCACCCCCAAAAAGTCAGCGGCTGAGGCGAGGCAGGGGCTGTGCTGGTCACATGGGGGTCCCGGAGCTGCCACGGCTGCCCAGGGCGGGCTGGGCCGACCCTTCCTCCCTTGGCTGTGCCGTCCCACTCAGGAAGGCTGAGGGCAGCGGCGCTGGTCTGTGACTCCGACTTTGCCCGGGCTCCAGGTGGGGTTCCCACACACAGCCTCCCTCCCTCCTTGTCTCGGCCACGCTGTGACTTTGGGTCCCACCCCTGATGTCCCCCAGAGCCCAACCCAGACTCCCCTTGGCCCCCAGACCTGCTCTTCTCCCCTCTTCCTCTACCCACACGCCCTGTCCACCCAGCTACCGCCCGCAGGAGCCATCACCGGGGAGCCCCACCTGCAGGCCCCATGGCACCAGTCTTGGGCCGCAGAGGTCACAGGGCCCGGGTGCTCTGGGGCCACTCAGCTGGGCCAGGCAGGTGACCGGACAGGCCATCTCCCGGGAGCGCGGGCTCGGGGAGGGACTGGGTGGGCACTGCCTTACCTGCCGCCAGGTGCGCCCGCAGTCTGCCGTGATGTACATCTCCTCCTTGTACTCCACCAGCTGCGAGCCCAGGTTACCTGGCCACAGGGAAAGGGGGCATTGCTCTTGGGGTCCCCTGCTTCCCCCTGCATCCGGGATGGAGCCAGGCAGTGTGGCCCTCCATCCTCTCCCACTGTGGGCCTGCTGTGGCTCCTGAGCTCAGGCCCAGGTCCCCTCCGTGCAGTGAAGGCCCAGTCCTGCCCAAAGCCCTGAAGTCAGGTGGCTCAGCCAGTGCCCAGGTGTGGACAGAGCTCAGACCCCTCAGAGGACCCACAGGTGTGGCTCAAGAAGAAGAAGTACGGCCTTCTGTTGGGGTACACACCTGGCGTCTGAGCACCCTGGGAGGCTCAGGCAAGAGGACACCAAGTTAGAGCCAGCCCAGCCTGGGCAACTTAGCAACTTCGTGAGACCCTGTCTCAGAATTTTAAAAAATTAAAGGGGCCAGGGATGTGGCTCACAGTGAAGGCCCTGAGCTCAAGCTCTAGTAAAGCTAAAAAAAAAAAGGAACAAAAGTATGGCCAGGGACAGGCTGCAGGGACCAGAGGCAGGCATGGGGAGAGACACCACCGAAGGGCCGGCAGGCGGCACACATGGCACGCGTGGGCACCTGAGGAGGGGACTGGGGCTCCGCTCAAGTGAACCTGTTCCCACGTCACCCACCCAGGTGGCCACAGCGAGGGGCTGGGATGTGACTGTGGAGCGGGGTCACAGGGCACACGGGGATGCGGCTGTGGCAGGAGATGCTCTTAGGGCAGCCTCCACCGTGCCCTGGTCCCGACAGGAGCAGATCCTCGGCTCCGGAACAAGGTCCTGATGCCACTGAAGCCACCGGGACTCCCTGGAGCCCAGAGCCCCTGGGTGACCTGTACATCACTTGCCCTGGTTTTATTCCTGTACTGGGGACGTCCCTGGCCATTTGAAGCCTTATCCATATGACACTCTCAGAAGTGTTTTATTCAGTTCATATTCAGGCATTGTTGGAAAACTCGAAGGGCGATGGACTGTCCTCAAAGAGATGAGTTCGAGTCCTAAGCAGAGGGTATGCTTGTCTTTCCTGAAGTTCATCTTTTATAAGGCTATTATCCTTCCACCCACCCATCCGTCCACACTTTTACTTCTTCATTCCTCCACTCAGGCACCCGTTCCTGAGGTACCCAGCATATCCTGAGCTCTCTGCCCCACCCTGTGCTGAGCTCCGGGAGACTGATCCGTGAGCCCTGCTCTGTTCCTCCCTGACCTCTCTCCACCAGTGGGGGTGAAGGTGGTCGTGCAGTCGCATGCAGAGCCGGGACAGTGGATCTGCGAGGACAGTGGCCAAGGAGGGACTGAGGCAGGACGTGACCTCCCGCTGAGCCTGGAGAGACAACTGTGAGCTGGTGGCGGGTGAAGGCGGCAGGGAAAGGGGGCGAAAGTGTGTCTGCAGATGGAAGGCTGGGCAGAGGGCAGGCACTGGCTCTGGGCACTGCTATCCCAGCCCCTGGCCGTGGCCTCGCTGTGTGTCATGTCTGCTTGGCCCCAGCAGGACAGAGAGGAGGAAGCTGGTGCTGCTCAGGGAGGCCCTCTCACCTCCCTTCCTCCCACAGCCTCAGGCTGGCCAGGAAGATGTAAGCAAAGGGTGGGTGCCTGGCCAGGAGGAGGAAAGGCGCAGTGAGGTACGGACGCAGCATCCTGGCCAGGGAGGGCTGCATCAAGGCCTCACAGCAGGTGAACAGTGCCAACTCCCTCCCTGCGTGGCCCATATGCGTGTCACGGATGCCAGAGCCTTTTGGGGGCTGGAACACTCACTTCCAGCTTTAAAGGCCTTCAAGGAGGGGTGATGCTGGTGCCGTGCCTGTGGTATTTTGGTTAAGAATTTGGGCTCCAGCCAATCACGACAGCACACTGTAAATGCAGTCCCAGTATGGTTTATATCTGGATGACCCCCTTAAGCCTCATGTGCTCAGAGGTGGGGCTTGCAGAGGGTATCTGGGTTATGGGGCCGGAAGCTGGTGCGGGGTAGAGGTGGGGCCTGGTGGGGAGAAGCGGTCACCGGGCGTGGCCTGGAAGGCTCCATCTCCCTCCTGGCTCCTCCCTTCTCGCTGCTTCCTGTCCCCAGTGAGGTTAGCAGCTCTCCTCCACTGGGCCCTCCCACTATGCCGCTCAGGGTTCTCCATGCGAGCTGAGCATCCTGGAGAAACTGAGGCACTGTCCCCTAACAGACACACTGTGGTCCCAGGCCCCTGGCTGGCCACCCATTTCCCACTGTGCAGGGAGCGCCTGGGCCACGGTGCACCCACCTGCGCCCATGATGAGTCCGGGGGTGGTGTCCTTGGTGTGCACGGTGCCCGACACGTAGGGGTTGTCCGCCCAGCGCAGGTGCAGGTGCAGGTGGCAGTCAGGCTGTGAGGAGAGGCGGGGTCAGCACGGGGAGGAGGGACTGCAGGGAATCCGGCTGGGCCCGCCCGACCCGAGATGCTCTGGGGAGAAGCAGGGCCAGAGGCCCTGGAGGACAGGACGGTGCCAGGGAGCAGGAGCTGGCTGACCGCCAGGTGGAGGCGGGAAGGGCCAGGGAGGCCTCGGGGTGGGTTGGGACCAGCCCAGCAGACAGAAGGTCGGCGTCAGGTGATGAGTGCGCCCTGCCACAAATGGGGTCTGCCTGGCCGCAGCTGCTTGGAGGGAGGGCCTGCACCTGGGTCCAACAGGGGACTTCGCAATGGGACCCTCGGGGAGGGCTGGGCCGGAGGACGTGGCTCGGGGCATGCACAGCCCCGATCCTGTCCCTCCGTCCCTCCAGGGCTGAGTTGCAGTAAGTGGTGAGTGCTTGCCTAGCATGCGTGAGACCCTGGGTCCATCCCCAGCACTGCACAGAAATATAAATAGCCTTTGCCCAGTTACACCATCACCAGGGGCTCCCTACGTGACCACAGGCGCCTCAGGGCCAGAGGACAGCTGTGGACGCCCCAGGCCCCTCTCTTGTCTGAGGGACACAGGGGTGAGCAAGGCCTTGCGATCCCAGTGGCCATGTGGCCTTGGGACAGTGCCCAGGCTCTCCGCCTGAGATGAGCAGCGACCCCTGCTGTCTGGGGTCGCGGCTGACACCGCGCAGTGGGGCAGAGCTGGGGTCCAGCCGACCTCAGGACCACTCACCGGCCTGCTCAAGAAAGGTGAATCTTTTCTCTGCCCTCTTTCCAATGTACCATCTAGAAAAACACCTCTAGTTTAGAAATACTGTAAAACTGGGCACCCAAAGATCTCGATCCTTTAGCAGGTGCCGCTAATTTTCCAGATACCTAGGGCCTCAGTTGCCTCATCTGCAAAATGGAATCGGTGGTGCCTGCTCCCCACGCCTGCTGGGGAGCGCTGTTCCGGAACCGCCCTAATCGGTGTGTCTCCCTCCACGTTTCTGTAACTTTCTTCTGGCCATGGCCCTAGTGTGCTTTCTATAGCCTGTCCTAAGTAGAAATGACACCATTTGAGCCAGGTGTAGTGTACGATGCCTGCTATCCCAGAACTGGGGAGGCTGAGGCAGAAGGATTGCTTCAAATTTGAGGCCAGCCTGGGCAACACTGAGTTCAAAGCCAGCCTGAACTGCATAGCAAAGCCCTGTCTCAACAAAACAAAACAAAGCATAAAGGAAAAGGAAAGGAAGAATGAAACCGATCAGTACGTTGGATATAGGTCTAGACCCACTGTCACCCGCTGGCGGGCCCAGGGTTACAGAACGGCCTAGTTCACCACAACTGTACCTTCGTGTGCAATGTCCACACAGGGACGTCTACCCAGACAGGAAGCGGGTGACTGGCTGACTTAGGGTCGGGGGTCAGAGGTGATGGGGAGAGAGCTGCTGGAAAACGGGCCAGGGTTTGTTTTGGGGGTGACAAAGATGGTCTAAGTGGACTATGGATGACAGCTGTGTGACTCGTCTGAAAGCCACTGTGCTGTGCCCGCTCCTCGGCCCACTGTGCAGCACCTGAGTGGTTTATCAGGAGAGCTGCCAGACAGGGCGACACACTAGGCAGAGAGAAGGCTGTGACCTTCTGAAGGCCGGGCAGACTTCTAGGGAACTGGGGAGGGGCCTGGCGTCCCCCCTGGGGCAACCGGGGGACCCTCGGGCTGAAGAAGGCAGGGCCCCTGGCACTGGACCGTGGTCGCTGGGTCACCCTGTCCAGGACTGAATGGGGACACACCGGCCCCGCAGGGGACCCAGGAGATGCTGAGATGTCTCCTCCAGGCTCACGACCGGGAGTCCCGACCTGCTGGGAAGCCTGGCCGTCCCACGAATGCACTGGACACGCAAGTGATCTGGGGTGCGGGGGGCCTCTGCTCAGGTGGGAGCTCCAGCCAGCAGGAGCCTGGCCGGGCATGGCAGACTCCACAGCAGAGGGCCCGGGGACCAACCTGTGGCTTGCTGCCCTCAGTTTGCTGGAGGCCAGGGGTGTCACAGGCCTCCCGGGCTGCTCTTTCCCAGCCCCCTCCCAGCCCCCGCGTGCTGAGCACCTGGCCCCTCTTCCATGTGTGCAGAGGGCAGAGTGAAGTTACAGGTGCCACACTCCGGGGCTGCTGTCCCATCCCCTCCCTGTCCCCAGCCACAGGCAGGCTGCCCTGGTGACGGGGCACTTTGGGGCCAGAGGTGGACAACGCCCCGGGATCATGTGGCCCTGAGCACTGTGCAGCTTGCGTGTCTGACGGCGGAGTTGGGGCCTCCTGATCCCAGCCAGGCCCGGTGGGTGGAGGGCACCTGGCACACAGGCTGGGGATGCCCCGACAAGGGAACTGGACATCACAAAGCCTCAGCCCCAGGCTCCTCTGGCCACCCAGGCAGATGGCCCTCTGAGGCTGCCAGGGCAGAGGCAGGAGACCCAAGGGTGCGGGTGCACCTGGTGCTGCAAGGCCCTGAGGGAGCTGCCCGTCCCTCAGGCTTGGTGGGCTGGGAAGTGGGCAGTGGGGACTGAGGCCAAGGCTGCCCCTTCTGCACCCAGCAGCTGGTTGGTGCTCTCAGAAGTGCCCAGCAAAGGCTCACAACATCATCAGGACAGAGGGCCAGGGCTGGATGGCAGCCACCGGGGGCCTCGGCTCCCGCTTCTGCTGAGTCTGAGACCCCGCCAGACCCTAGTGCAGGGGCTTCCAGCCTGGCTCTGGGTGGCAGCAGGTCAGAGCCCTTTCCCTGTGTGAGGCTAAGACAGACCCGATCCTGCTGCTCCCTCAGCAGTGCCCTTGTGTCCCCACAGCTGAGGGAGAAGCCCCTGCCAACTCCCTGGAGGCCGGGAGAAGATGGGGGCCCAGGAGGAGGGTAGGAGAGAGGGCCCAGGATGCCCGGACGACCGCCTGGCAGTTCCCAGTGAGGATTCAGCATGTGCGCCGAGGGGCTGCCGGGAAGCCCACTGCTGCCGCTTCCAGCCATGTGCGCGTGTGCAAGCTCATACACGTGTGTGTGTGTGTGTGTGTGTGGCATCACACTCCGCCTTACTCCCCTTTGCCTAATTCCTGCGTTTCCCAAGCATTCCACCCTAAGCAGCGATCACCCTACCACAAGAAACCAGCCCCAGAGCGCGGCTTCTCCTGACCTCAGAGCGCCCAGTGCCGTTGTGCCGCAGCCCTGAGGGTGGCGCCTGTCCTGTCCCATCCCGTCCTGTCCCGGATTTTCCCTCCTCTGGGTGATGCCACAGCCACACAGGTGGGAAGTCCTGCTGCGGTGCTTGCTGAGGAGCCTTCCCAGAGCCCCACTGTCCTCCTGCACTCAGGCGGGCGGGTGGGCACCTGCCTGGGGCCGCACCCCGGCTGGTTCGCTCCAATTCTTATTATTTTAAGGCCAGGACATAAATCTCGCCAAGGTTACCTCCTCACTGAGCCGCATAATTGCAGACAAGAATCTAGTCTTGGAGGAAACTTGCTTTGACAGATTAATGTGCTTAGCTTTGCCGACGATGGTACAAACAGCAGCCCGTTCACTGCAGGTCCGTGCTCTGGGGCTTTCCGTGCTCTGCGGGGAATGAGCCCCACGCCTGGGCAGGGATGGGATGCCTGGTGTCCACCTAACCGGCAGGACAGGGCCTGTGCAGAGCCCAGCCCCCCTGGGTGCCCGGCAGAGTCCCTGCCAGCAGAGAGGCCTTCTGAGCGCTTCCTGCTGCATCCTCGATGCCTGGCACAGGGCCCAGCACACACAGTGCTGATGTATCACTGGCTGGCTGGAAACCCTATCAAACAGGAACCATGGTTCTTTCTGTTTCGCACATGAGGAAACTGAGGCAGAGCAATGGGTGAGTTTGGATGTCCCCAGGGTCCCTGGCTGTGAGCCCCTCAATAGAGCAAAACGGACAGAGAGGCACAGATGTCCCGGGAAGACTTCTCCGTGCAGTGGGCTTGTGGGTGGGCTTTTCAGGTCTCAGTAAGAGTTTGCCAGAAAGGGAATAGGCATTCTAGGCTTCCAGGAGGGAGGAGGAAGGGGCCGAGTCCAAAAAGGAAGAGATTTGCTTCTCGTGTCCCCCATGCTGACTTGGGGACTGCATGAAGCTCCACTCTGCTATCTCATTCCCTCCTCAGCACGGTGCCTTGAGATTTCAGTCGCCTCCCTCCCCTCTCAGTGGGCTCAGAGGCACTGGAGGGCCTGGCCCGGCTCACATAGTCAGCTGGGAGCTGAGCCTGTGGCTCTGTACAGCTCCGGACTGGTCCTTGAGCATCCAGCACTGGGCAGGGATCAAGGAAGCTGGGCAAGGTGGGTCCTGCTGGGGCCCGGGAGAAGCCTGGCCAGACTTTCGGTCACTCAGCCTGCTCACTCCTGGCCCCTGCTGGTCACCGGGTGTCACCTCCTGCCGGGGGCAGGGAGGGCCAGGAGTCCTTGGAGTGGTTCCACCCTCAGCAGCAGGGACCTGCACAGGGCTCAGGAGCCCCAGCTCGCTCTGCCACTCCTTCCCTCGGGCACAGTGTTGCCTGTCCCCATCCGCCCTCTTGCTCCTCTGCTGGCCCTGGGGGAGGCATCTGTCCACACAGGTCCCCAGAGGAGGCAGCACAGAGAGCAGACGCTGACCTAGGCAGTGACCCCAGACCCGAGGCCAGGCTGGGCCGGGACAGCAGGGCCACCTGCTAGGCCCCGAAGACCTGGGTCCTTTATCCCAGCAGTCTGGGGCCACAATGGCTACACGTCCCTCCCCGTGCCCTTGCCTGTGCCCTGCAGCTGGGCAGCCATGCAGCTGGGGGGGCTCGGGTACTTACGGGCTGGCAGTTGGTGGGCTTGCCGTTCATGTCGCTGCTGGGCGGCCTCAGGAAGTCCCAGTCACGGCCCTTGTTGTAGGTGATGAGTGTCATCACCTTTCCATCAACCTTCCGGTTCGCCAGAAAGACCCCTTTCACCCCTCTGACCTGGACAGAGCACAGAGGGACTGTGAGCTGCCACCCGGGGCTCTTGGGGATGCCCCAGGGCTTTGCACACAGCCCATGTGCAGCACCAATCTGCTGTCAGGACTTCTGGCCCCGGATGGCAAGGACAGCCCTGGTCCTCTGACCTGCCCTCACCCCAGGGCCACACCATTCTCACCCTGGCAGGCCCGGGACCAGGGGGATGGCTTCTAGGCCTGCCCTGGGGACGCAAGCGGCTCAGGCCCCTGCTGAGGGGGAGGGGGTCTGCGCTAACCCAAACACCACATGGCTCTGTCTCCCCTCTGCTGCTCCATTTCTCTGGGGTCCTATGAAGCTCATGGAGGTGACCCACGTGCATCCAGGGCACTTGCAAGGGCAGGCAGTTTCATCGGGCAAAGCCTGATGGTCCCTAGATGAGTTTCTCTGCGAGTCCTTATTGTATGGACAACTTAGACTCACGTTCAGTGAGACCACTCGTGTGGTGGGACCAGCACACGAAGCCCCTGTACCCCATGCCTTGGAGGGCAGAGGCTGCCTCTGTGCCCCCTTACACCACATGCTACTGTTTCTCAAAAGTGCTTCAGGAACTGAGGCCCAGAGGATTCTATGATCTATGCAGAGAACCCTAGGCAGAGCTCATGGTCACACTGATGGAAATAACAGTCACTGCTGCCCTCAGGTGCAGCACCAAGCTTGGTGTGTGTCATCTTGTATGTGTCTCACAACTCCAGGAGGCTGGTTCTTTTCCTGTGGTCCATGTGTAGGTCTGCAAATTCCTGGTTCATGGGCAGCACACCATTGGTGGTGCCAGCGTGGATGGATGGATAAATGATGGATGGATGGATGACAAGGTGGGCAGATGGACAGATGGATGAATAGATGGATAAGTGGATGGGTAGATAGATGGGTAGATATATGAATAGACAGGTGAATTGATGGGTGGGTGGATGCTGGATGGACAGAGGGATGGATGGATGAGTAGATGGATGGATGGAGGATGGATGACAGACAGGTGGATGGACGAGTAGATGAGTGGATGGGTGGGTAGATGGATGGTGGATTAGTTTCCTGTTGTCACGGTTTCAGCTGGTCACAGACTCCGTGGCTTTAAACACACTCGTCTTGTTGTACGGTTTTGGAGGTCAGCAGGCCGACACGAGGCGGTGTGCTCCTCTGGAGGCTCCAGGGAGGGCCCGTTCCTCCCTTCCTCCAGCTTGTGGAGGCCGCTCCTGCTCTCTGGTTCCCAGATCCTCTCATCCCTCTTCCATGACAGCAACCCCGCGCGCCTCTGTCGTCACATCCTTTTCTCTGATCCTCCCCTGCCTCCCTCTCCCCCCTGAAGGACCCTCGTGGCCCTGCTGGCCCATCAGAAAATCCAAGATCATCTTCCCACCTGGTCACCGCTGGGCTCGATTCCATCTGCAGCCTGCAATCCCTTGTGTGTCAAGTGTCCCTAATACTGCTTCCGGGAATTAGGAAGTGGGCATCTTGGGGCATTATTCAGCCCAGTGCAGTACACCCAGTGACCCCCACAGATGCACGTGTCCTTCCTGCAGATTCCTTCAACCCATCCCAGGTCCCCAAAGCTCTCATCTCACAAGCGCATTCACTCAAAGTCACAACCCCATCAGAACTTCGTCAGGTCAAAAGTTCCAACCCCCCTCATCTAAACCAAGTGGGGAGCTCCAGGCACATGCCAGCTGTGCATCTGCGACACTAGAAAACAGGTCACCTGCTTCCTCAGGCCGATGGTGGGACAGGCATCGGGCCACTGCTGGCGTCACGCCAGGTGTGCCCCGGAAGCATTGTACACCTGTGGGTCTGACAGCCTTGGTCCCCTCTGACCACGCCAGTGGGCTTCTTCTGCTGTCACATCCTCGGACCCTCAGAGGGGGTCCTTGATGTCACAGCAATTTGCCTGTGGCACAGGCTCTTCCACCCACCTGTCCCGGGTGACCCCATCTCTATTTTGTGGATTCTGTTGCAGTCACCAGGGGAAACCACACACCCTGTTACTTCCGAGAGGCTTCTGTGTGACTGAGGGTCCCTGACACAGTCTTTCTGAGGTGTCTCCCGAATGTGACAGCTGCACCCTGTGCTCTCCCTTTAGCGCCCGCTGTCCGGAGAGCAAATCTCCCTGCTGCGCCTCCCATCATGAGTGCAGGGTCCTTCTGAACAGCTCTTCCTGTGTCTCCCCCACCCACTTTTCTACTGAATCCGGGCCACACGGGCCACACTCTGTTCATCGTCCTCCTCCTCGGGTGAATCTCCAGGCTCACCGGGTGCAGGCTGTGCTCCGCAGATACCCGTGGGGCGTTCATCTCCCCTTCTGGCCAGGACCGCCTCTTCATCTCCCAGCAGCACACTCCCCATGTCCTTCTGCTTCTCGCCAGTGCTGCCTTTCGGGCCTAGTTTTCTAACAATCTGTTCAGGGCGATCTGGGGTTTTTCTATTATGTCCCCCAAATTCTTCACCCTCTGCCAATTTCAAAGTCAGTTGCACCTGCACAGATATTTGTGACAGCAGCGCCTTCCTTCCAGATACCCACGACAGCTGCTGTAACAGCTCACTGGGAACTCAGGGTAGCAGCAGGATGCACTTGTCCCCTGTAGCTCTGCAGGAGCCCAGAGGGTCCACACAGCTCAGACCACGGCATCGCAGGACAATGCCCCTGGATGCTCCATGGAGGTCCCTGCCTCAGGCTCCCTGTCCACACCTCCCGGATCCCTTCTGCTGCCTCCTTCCATGCCCCAGGCCCTCCGAGAGCCCACTGGGCCCCGATGCTCTCCCCAGACAAGTCCAGGTCTCCTTTGTGGCTCTCACAAACTGGGGCCTCAAGCCGCAGGTGCTTGTCCCAGCTCCCTGGGCCCTGGAGGTCCAGGCCGTGGCTGTATCGCTCCAAGCCCCCTGGACCCTCAGCCTCCTCCGTGTCTGCCTTTCCTCGTGCATCTCCATCAGGATCCTGACCACTGGACCCGGGAGACCTGGGGAGTCGGGGTGATCCGGCTGAGTCTGCTCCCTGGCTACAGTTGCAAAGCCCCTTGGGGTCATGCGGCAGCATCTGGGGTGAGGACCTGGATGTTTTCTTCGGGGACTGTGGCTCAGACCCCTTTCGCGCGGTCTCCCAGCTGCACCACGGCTGCACAGGCTGGGACAGGGCTGTGAGCCCTGATTGCCTGCCTGAGCCCAGCTCCAGCACACACAGGGTCCCCAGCTTCAGCGCCCAGTCGGCTGGAACTTCACAGCCAGCCTGCTGAGGCTGCACTTGCTGGCGACTGCAGGCCCAGAACATCCGTCCTGATCTCCACAGAGCAGTCCCCAGGACGGCCTCAGCCGGCCCCCTGCCCTGACCCCTGTGCCGCTGCCGAGCAGACCTTCCCATGGTTACCCCGAGTCCTGGGAAGGCAGTGCCGAGGAAACAAGAGCCAGGTACTGCACAGAGAGGTTAATGACCCGCCTCAGGCCACACAGCAACACACCAGAGCTCGCAGACAAACCCCAGCAGGCCAGGTCCAGGGTTGCACCTGTTGGCACCACCGCGATCCTCGATCCTCGTGAGGTGGGGCTCAGAGGGGTGGGGTCGCCATTGAGGGCACCCAGCCGGTCCGTGACAGCCACCCCGGCCTCATGGACCTCGTGCAGCCCCTGCTGTTGCTGCGGCCTCTGCCTGGGTCTGTGCCCGTGCTGTCCCTGCTGCTCGCCTGGCTGCTGCTCAGTTCTGCAGCCTCCTCTGGGAAGCACTCCCTGACTCCCACCTGGCCATGTCCCGAGGTGCCACACCGGGTCAGGACCGTGCTGGAGGGACGTGGCCTGCGTGTCTGTCCCTGTGGCATGGAGACGTCATGTCATGCGTTCCCTGGGGCAGAGCAGGCTGCACCTCGCCCTCCATCACCCCACCCCTCCCTGTCTGGCACAGCCTGCAGGGCCAGGGATGGGCCTGTGAGCAGTGGCGGCTCTGGTTCCCCTCTCTGGTCAGCCTGGGGAGGTCTTCTGCCCGCTCCCAGCCTCAGGTGCCCCAGCTGTCTGTGGGTTACAGGACAGAGGGAAACAGGAGCCGGGACGGGGATGGGTGAGGAGGTGCCGGGCCCACCTCCAGGATGTCGATGAGCACACTCTCCTCCGCCTGCCGCGAGCTTCGCACATCCTCCAGCACCAGCGCGTAGCGCACACCGCGCGGGTCCGACTGGTACAGGTTGTAGGTGTCAGTCTGGTACCACTCCTGCACCGCCACAAACACCTGGCTCTCGTCCGTGCTGATCACCTGCAGGTCCTGGGGACAGGGCGTGGCCTCAGGGGGCTGACAGTGTGGGCCCCTCTGCTCCCTGATGAGATCCACACCCCCACTCCCCACATCTGCTGGGCAATCTTGGATGGGGTGTGGCCCCCCAGCCTCTGTGTGCACACCTCTAACACGGGCGGGGTTCAGATGCTGCACATCAGGCCAAGCAGAGACCCCAGGAGACTCTGTCTCTGTCCCTGCCGAGGTCAGGAGCCCCCCACTCCCTGAGGCTGGGCCACCCCCTCCCCAGGCCACCTGAGCTGCTAGTTGGTTCCTGCAACCCGTTTATCAAGCACCTGCTGTGTGCCATGCACTGTCCTGGGCACGGGGTGCAGAGCCAACACCAGGGCCACCCTTGGGAGTGCACAGCCGCAGGGCAGGCTCTGTGAGGTCAGCTCCTCAGGCCCCACGACGGGGCATCCCCAGCACCTGGTCTATGGGCTGCCACTGGCCTCACATGCAGCCCCCGGCCACACTGGTCAGAGGGGCCTTCCCTGAGGAGGCGGAGTGTGGAAGAGGAGCAGCCCAGGGTGGCTTCCGGCCTCAGCTTCCTTTTCTGGGAACCAGTGGGAGAGGTGGTTCCTGCCTGGGCTCAGCATAGTGGTTGCAACTTCCAGTTCTGGAGTTTAGAACTCAGGGAAAATTGAATTGAAAAGAAAGCCAGGCAAACTTGGTCTCTAGCCTTCTCTCTCCCAGCCAGAGCCAAAGGCCGTGGGCCCTGGGAAGGGACCTGGACACCTTCTCAGCCAGTGTTGCTTTTTTCAATCACTCTGCTCCCTCTACTGCCCTTCTCCCCACACGAGGTGGGGAAGGGGACCCGAGGCCCCTGCCTGGTGCCCTGTGGATGGATGGGGCATAGGCTGGGCTGGTCTTTGTGCAAAGCAGAGCCAGGCATGTGCCGGGGCTGGAGCAGGGCTCACGGCCGAGGGCGGGGTCCTGTGCATCCCACCCAGCTGTCTGGGGGCTGTGCGGGCCCAAAGGCCTCTTTGGGAAAAGAATGGACTCTGCAAAGCACCAACCCTGCACCCCATAAACCGGAACCCCACAGCCCCCTGAGTTAGGGCAGCATGGCCTGAGCTGTGAAGAGGGTGCAGGGCTGGGGTCCTGTGCATGAGATGGGACAGATCCGAGTGGGAGTCACTGCTCCGTCTGCCACCTCCCTCTCCCGTCCCTGACTCAGAGCCTGGGGTCCACCATGCTGGCCTGGGTCTCAGCCTGGAGCTGCTACAGCCTGGGACCACAGGCAGGCGGGGCAGGAAGTGATGCTGCTTTGCACCCTGCAAGGGCAGCCAGGGCTCTGCGAGTCCCCGGTGCCCGGTGTGGGCAAGGCTTGCCGAGTATGGCTCTCCTTCGCCTGCACTGTGCTGACAAACGCCTATACCACCTGGGCCCTGCCCCAGGCAAATGCTCCGTGATCTGGGACATGAGACAGGACTCCAGAGAAGTCTGAGATGAACGTGTAAAACCCTTTTCGTTTGGGCTTTTTCCTGAGTGTGATTCGTGCTCTTTCCCTGGTGGTTCACAGCCTGCCCATTCCTGTTATACGGTGAGCATCTTCCTCTACCGTGAGAATCATCTATCAGCACTGCTGTTAATGGCTGCGTGACGTGATGTCCGTGGCCCACCGTATTTCGGGGAACCGTTTGCCTCCTGGTGGCCCTTCAGCCTGTCCTGCATTCCTGCGAGACAGTCCCAGGACAGAGATCCCTGCCCTTCTGCTTGTTTCTTCCCCACGCATTCTGAGGAGGGAACCTGCTATATTGGGGTTTAGGAACATTTTGGAGATGATTCTTGCCTGCTGTTAAATTGCTGTCTGGAAAGTTGGCATTAACTCTTCCCCACCAGCAGGGTTAGCGCTGCTTCCTTTTGTTTCCCATGATTGAGATGAGATCTTTAAAACCTTTGCTGATCAGAGTCAGGCATAATGGCATACATCTGTAACCCCAGCACTCTGGGAGGCTGAGGCAGGAGAACCTCAAGTTTGAACACATCCTGGGGAATTTAGGGACACCCTGTCTCAAAATATCAAAAGGTCTAGGGGCGTAGCTCAGTGTGAAGTCCCTGGGTTGAATTCCCAATACTGCAAAATAAATAAATAAATAGATAGATAGATAAATAAATAGAGTAAGTCCTTCCCAAACAGAGAGCTATAAAAACTATGGAACTTTTTCATAAAATTGCACTTACTAGCTTCATTGTTTTTTAAAGAAAGGAAAGAAAATTTTTCTTGGCTTCTCCCTGGGGGAGGCACAGTGACTTTCTGAATCCCCCATATACTCCGCTGCTTTTGAAAATCTTCGTCCTTAAGCATCTGGCTTCCAAAGGGGACTGACAGAGAGGGGGCAGGGCGTGGCCCTCTGAGCCCCATGGCAGTCCGAGCTCAGGGCCAGTGGGTGGGGGACCTGGTCCCCGTGCCCACCCGGGCTGCGCCAGCTGTGCAAGCTAACCGGCAGTGTGGGGCGGAGGGGATGGGTGGCTGCTCCTGGCTAAGAGAGGAAGGCCTGGGAGTGTGCTACCCTGCCCTCACCTTCCCGGGAGCAGAGCTGCAGGCCTGAGGACAGACCAGAGCCACCAGGGGCTGGGGGACACGGGCTCCCCGCATGAACTCCTTCCCAGCCTCATGCCCTCCCCCCTTCCTATATGATACAGATTTTACTTATTTATTTTTGGGTGCCGGGGAACCAAACTCAGGACCTTGCGCTTGTGAGGCTGGCAGTGGCACCCCTGAGCTACATCCCCGGCCCCAGATTTTATTTTTACTTGGAATAAATTTTTACAAATACGAGAATATGTTACTTTAAAGCGAAATTGCACTTATCTTATTCACATGAATGCTTTTCATATGATTCATAGCTTTTTAGATTCTTCTCCTCCTTTGTTTATAGCCTTGGGTAATTTTTTTCTCTATTGTGGAAGTTGGGTTTTTTAGTAGTTTTAAAAATATCATGTCAAGTGAACAAGAAAGGACCCTGTGCACGTAGGAAAGCGGCCTGCTCTTTACAGCTCTCACAGGCGGGAGAAGACAGGGCGGTGTTGTTTGCAGGGTTTGCTACAGAAGGAAGCGGGAAACAAGAGAAAACACAGAGCCTGGCAAAGCCGCGTTGAAGCTGGTCCGCCCCAACTTTCAGGAACCAGCGGAGCCACGCAAAGATTCACGTCCCTGTCCACAGAGTCCTGGGACTTCAGCTTGCAAGTGACACCCGGGGGCACAAATACCCCCGAGGCCCTGTCCTAAGGGTGAGAATCCAGGTCAACCCCAAGGTCCAAGCGCACCCTGCTCAGTGGGGCGAGGCGTCCCCTCTGCGGCCAGAAGCTCTGCTGCCCCTGCCTGGACCTGACGGACCCCTCTAGGGGACTCCGGTGATGAAGGCCGAGTGGGAGCTGCAGGGGCTGCTCAGACCTCAGCGACCCAGTGACCGAAGAGCCAGGTGGTGCCAGGGCCAGGCGGCAGGAGGGAGGTCCCGGGGCCAGGCCCCTGCTGCTGCCGCGCCATCTGCCCGGTTTCTAGATGTGATTGACAATTGAAAAACAAAACAGGCCAAAGGAAAAAAGATGGGGTGTTTTGTGGGGAGGAAACAGGCAGGAGCTTCTAACTCACCATAAAACAACCAAATCTGATCAGGAAATTTAATCAGCCCGAGATGCAAGTGTGGATGGGAAAGGCGGGCAGGGGCGGCTCCCAAGCAGGCAGCATCTCGGGGTCATTGGGGCCCATCGGGGCAGCCTGGCTCAAGGTCACAGGGGTCATGGCCCAGGGCCACTGCTCCTTGAACTCCTTGGGGAGCAGCCTGACTGGCAGAGGGGAGCACAGGGTGCAGGGTGGATCTGTCCCGAGGTCCCTCACCCAGTGCCACTGCTGAAATGAAACCATCGGCTTTTAATCTGCTTAGGCAGCCATGCCTGGAGCTCATCTCCTAACCTGTGCCCCGCCCCTTCCATTCGGTCCTGTGTTTGTCAAAGGGATGTTGGGCAAGGGCTCATGGGCTTTCCTCATTTGCAGCTCGGCAGAGGTTTCTCAGAGCCTCGGGATGTTACAGTTGCGGCCCCCAGAGTGCAGGGCCCTACAGCCTCCCTTCCTCCACCCTCCCCGGGCTCTCTGTCCCAGGGCCTTTGCTCAGCACTGCCTTCAGCTGAACCGCTGGTTTCCCCTTGCTCCTCCCAAAGTTACTGTTCCCAACCTTGGGGATGCACAGGCAAGATGCCCGGAGAGGCCTGCCCTGGCTGCTTGCCCTAAATGAGCCCAAGACACACACACACACACACACACACACACATATGCACACGCACATGTAACACACACATGTACACACGCACATGTAACACACGCCCTCCCGTACTCTCTCCCTTTGTGCAAATCACAATGGGGATGACCCCACACGTGTGTCTGTCTCCCCAGTCTCTGTCCAGTCCCCATCTGAAGCCCCAGCAGCAGGCACTGGGCATCCAATCCCGTCCCGGGCTGCTGGGCCAGCTGAGACCACACTGGGAACAGAGGTCTGTAATGCGCCCTGGGCAGAGGTGGCCCTCGCTGCCCGGGTGCAGCTCCTGGTGCTCTGGTTTCTACCTCGCTGTGACACCACCAGGCCATGCAGCCTTTGTGACCGGGAAACAAAAGAGCAGGGTGGGGAGAGGGCTGGCTGGGGCAGGGCTCTCTCCATCCCCACGGGGGGACAGAAGCTGCATTGTCTGAGAGGCTGCTGTGTGCCAGGCTCCGTGCCATGCGGGGAACACAGAGGTGAATGCAGCAGAAACTCCCAGGGGCAGACAAGACCGGGAGAGAGGGGCAGAGGTGGAGACCCCAAACCCTGGGCATCGGGAAGAGGGAGGGATGGGGAGAGTAGAGGCCCGGCCAGCCCAGCGGGCCCCAGAAAGCCCTGTTGCTCCTGGGATAACGGGTGCGCCAGCTTGGGGCAAGGAGCCAGATGGGGAGGCTGGGCTAGGCCCTGGGCATGGAGGCGGGAGAAAGCTAGGGAAACGGGGAAGGCAGGGAGCCGCCTGGGAGCCGCTTCCCGGGACCCAGTCAGAGTCAGACATTAGCCCAGGGCCGGGGCGCCAGGTCTGCACAGGCTGGGAGAGGTGGTCTGGTGAGCCAGCTCACTCACAGCGGGTCCTGGGCACATGCCCGGGGGTCTCCTGAGACCCCGGAGGACCCGACCCTCATCACCCATCACTGGCTGTGCGGATCTGACCCCCAGGCTTTGGATGTGGCGCCAGTTTCTCCAAGGGCCATAGACGGTCAAAAGCTCTGCCTCCCCACAGAGAGGCTGAGTCAGGCCGCTCTCAGCAGGAGTCTGAGCTCAGAGCAAACCTTCAGTCTCACCCCAAATTCCAGGGCCTAAACCCTCAGTGCCAAGCCCCTGGGTGCCTGAGCTCCTCTCCCAGCCGCTCCCACCCCAGGGTGGATTTGTCAAATCAGTCATCAGCCCTGCTGCGACTCCATGCGGTGCCTGCTCCACCCTTTGCTCAGGACTCGAGAACCTGGACACGACCCTGATCGGCCACAGAGCAGAGGCTGAGAGGGCAGCAGGTGCAGGCAGCGTGGTCACCATCGTTGCTGTCCCTCCCGACCTGCAGCCTGCACACTTGCGACCCTGAGTCTACTGCCCACAGGAAGGACGGCCTCGGGCTGGCGCCACAGGGCCAGGGCTGGGGTCACTCCTACCTTCGGCAATGCGTACTTAGGCAGCTTCATCAGGACGAACTCATTGCGACGGTAAGAGACGTAGTATTTGGTCTGGTTTGTTGAGGTTGTCTAGCAGGAGGAAAGAAACATTTTTAAGGCGATTGCTTTCTTGTCAAGCCAGATTCTCATGAATGAAAACTACACATTATATTCAGGTGATGAAAATGCCGTTTGACTTTGCTTATACTTGTTCCACTCAAAATGGACAGACTCTTATTCATCCTTCAAAACCCCATGCCAAATGTCCCTCCTCTAGAAAGTCAGAACTAACTTCTTTCGCCATGCTCCCTCAACACCCCTCGGTGTGGAAAATGAGGCAGGAGCCACCAAGCACCATTTGTGTGGCCAGCACCTGCCATGCACATCACAGGGCCACTCTCTGACCCCACAACAAACGGCCCATGGACCTGGTCAGGTCCACTCTGCAGATGAGGAGGAGCAGGACAGAAAGAAGGCAGGGGAAACATGGGCTCAGAGGGACAGTGTGCGGTGGCCTGAGTCTCCCTGTGTGCACACACAGTGCATGTGAGTGTGTGACCACGGCATCCCATGCCCTGTGGGCACCTTAGAGGTGAATGTGTGTGCACTGATGGGTGTGCACCTCTGTGCGTGTGCATGGTTGTGCTCCATGTGCATCCCTGTATGTGCTTTTGTGCACATGGGCATGGGGCAGTGGCAGAGGCTGGATGTTGCTGGGCTTCCAATTCCAGCCCCGGACCTGTGCCCATGTGGCCTTGGGCACTGTGCCCCTCTGATCCCCAGCCGGAAATGGGGATCCGGCTCCCTGGGGCCTGCGGGGGTGGGGGGTGGGGCGCCGCGCTGCATCTGGGAGCTGGGGCAGTGCCGGGTCACGAAGTCCCGGGTGCTGCAAGTCGGGTGCACACTGGCCCTTGCAGCAGGCCAGCTACACGGCTGATGAAGGGGTTCAAGGTCTCGGGGTGCCCTGCCCTCCGTGCTCCAAGTGGGTGCTGTGCTGAGGTTCCCTGGGGTCCTGGGGGTTGGGCGGGCCGGGCGGGAGGTGGTGCCACACAGCCCGAGAGCCTGAGGCCTTAGCACTGGAGGGGAGGCACTGCTGTCCCTCCTCAGCCCTGTCTGTGACCAGGTGTGCCTGGGGACAGCGCGGGGGAGGCAGAGGCAGGCTGGCCAGGGTGCAGTGGAGGAGGAGCCAGGCTGGGACTGCAGCCTCCTGAGGGTGCCGTGCGTCTGCATGGTGAGCAGGCCGGCAAGGGCATGACGAGGGCACAGCCGGACCCCAACCCGAAAGGTCCAGCTGCGGGCATCGTCTGCTCTGTCTTTGACTCCGTTTTCTGCTGTCAAGTGGGCCCTGCAGAGACCTGGTGTCCGGCAGCAAAGCATCTATGGGCGTCTGCCACACGGGAAGGGGTGGCCGCAGGGAAGGGCAGCAGCCCCGCCAGCTCCATGTGCTCAGGGGCAGATGCAAGCGCCCTCCCTTGGGTGTTCTGGATCCTGGGATCACGCAGGCCATGCCCGGGGACAGCAGGACGGGACCAGGCCAGGCGGGAGCTGGACCCCAGGACATCTGGCCCAGGCAGGTGGCTGGAGGAGGAGGGGCCGGGCTGGGGCTCTTCCCGCCTCAGGTACAGGAAGGGGATGAGGAGGGGAAAGGGCGCAGGGAGGGTGGCGGAGCCCCAGGCGGGGTGGGGCTGCTCTGGGGGCTGTTGGGGCTGAGGGAAATAGGGCTGAGTGCGGAAAGAAGCACATGGGCCTGAGGGGAGGCCCCCCGGCGGGCCGGGCCTCGGTGCTGGGACGGCTGTCCCACCACGGGCCTCCCTGGCCAGCACAAACGGCGTCAGAGCCGGACAGAACTCCATCCACACCCAGGCCTGACCCGCCCCGCCCTGCCCGGCCCTGCCCGCCATGTCCTCCCCGTGTGGGCCTCCCTGTCCTGGCCCCCACGTGACTTGGCCCATCTTGGTGATCGAGTCCTCACGTGGCTCCCAGGGCCACACATCCCTCCCCAGCCACCTCACGGGGCTCCCTCACACCTGCAACTGAGGCTCCCAGGTCCCCAGAGGGCAGCGACAACCCTGGCTTCTCCTGGGGCCCCGGGCTGAGGGGTGGAGGTGGGGCGACCCCCGGAGGAGCAGGGCCTGGCGGTGGGGTGTGGGGCGCTCCCGTCCGGCTGTTCTGACCATGCTGTGATCCCCGCCTGTCCCCACTCCTATGTCCAGGGCGGCCCTTGGCACAGGCTGAGCGTGGAGGGTCCCGAGACGGGGTGCACAGGAGGCTGAAGGGGCTCAGACCGAGCTCCCCAATGGTGCCATCAGGATGCTGCCTGGCCCATGCTCACTGGGGATTCTGAGCGGCTCCCCCGTGTTGCTAAGCTGGGACCCACTATGTCCCGATGCCCTGGGGCACAGGGAGCAGGGTCCCCTTCTCTGGGGCTATGGGTGGTGGCCAGAGCACGTGGTCCCAGTCACCGGGGAATCAAGAGGGGTGAAGTGGGTTTGGGCTGGCCCCGCGAGTGGAGGCTCCCAGGCAGCTGGAAGCGTCCCCGGGTATGGTTTTGGCCTGGGGCCTCCTGGGAGCCCGAAGCTGCTGTGGACGGGGTGGGCAGCAGCGCAACCTGCTAAGTGGCCCTCGGAGGGCAAGTAGCCGTTTTACTGCCGCTCCCCGAATGGTGTGTTTCCCCAGGGGCTCATGGCCTCACGGCCCTCGCCAGGCTCACCTTGAGGAGGACGTAGTCGTCCTGCACCGCCAACGAGCCATGGTCAATGGGGCCGGGGAATGGGGCTGCGAGCATCTCGTCGGAGCAGCTGTGGATCTGGCAGGTGACATAGCGAAAACCTGCGGAGGCAGCGGGGCCACACGGCATGGGACAGCCGCTCTGGAGCTCGGCGGCAGGGGAGACAGTGGCAGAACTGGCCGCAGGGGCCACCGGCCTGAGCTGCAGGCCTTGCACTCTGCCCTGGGGCAGCTCAGGGGTGTGGAGGGGAGGGGCCTGGCCTCACAGCTACCCCGCCGCCTCCTAGGGGCACACCAGGGAGGAGCCCCTGCACCCAGGCAGGGGCTGCAGCACGCTGGGGACCCTGGAGGGACAGGCATGGTGACCAGCAGCTCGCAGAGCCCTTCCTCCAGGGCCTGCCCTCCCACAGGCTCCTCCCCAAAGCGGGCACGGGCAGGTGCACCCGAGCAGGTGGCCTGTGTTCTAGCCCCTGACTCACTCTCGAGCCACTGCTGAGTCTGCTGCGTCTGAGGAGGCTGACCTGAGGCCCTTGTCTCAGCTTGCGAGCAGGAGTGGGGATGGCATGGAGGCCAGGGACGTGTGGGCTGGGCCCAGAGCGGACGGGGCGGGGCCATGCGGGGCACGGCTGGGGGCTCAGGGCCAGGCTGGGTCCCCACGCCACACTTGCCTCCTCCCCAGGCCACCCCGCAGCAGGACAGGCTGGGAAGGGGCCTGGCAGGACCAGGTGCAGGGGCTCGGCCACTGTGCAGTCCCGCCGCCCCCCTCCCCTGCCTTCCCAGGGGCCCTGCTTGGCCCCCGGCCAGGGGGCTTCCTGAGGAGGTTTGCCTCGGGCTCTCTCCTCAGTCCATACCATTAGGCACTCGTCCGCCCTCCCACTCACCCGCCTCTCCTTCCTGCACACGCCTGCCCTCGCCCCTCCAGCCCTGTCCCCTGGCTGTCCCCTGTCCCCTCCGCTCGCATCGTCACTGTCCCAAGCTCACTGTGCCAGACACGCAGAGGCCGGGCAGGGCACAGCCTCTCGGCCGCCTGCTCCCTTGCGGTGCCACTGCTGTCTGGATGAAGGCTCCAAGCAGCCGAGAGGAGCCCAGCCAGCCCGGTGCGGGGGAGGGCAGGGAGCCCCTCCTGGCCGTCGCATGGGTTTGTTTTGCCTGTGGGAGCTGGGGCCTTTGCCACTGTCGCATCCCACACCCCTCTGCCAGGATGGGGGCCCTCAGGGGGCTCACAGCCCTTCTTCCGGGTGGGTGGCCAGGGTGGCACAGCCCACGACCACCTGCTGCTGTCCAGAGCACACAGACCCTCTGAGCTCTGTTCTGGGGCTGAGACGGAAGCCCTAGTGACACCTGCCAGGCTGACAGTTTCTTCTTCTTCCCACTTTACAGGTGGGGAAACCAAGCCACTCACCCTGGACCCCACTGGGGCCCACTCCCCCCAGATCAGGGCCAGGGGTCCCTCCTGTTCCTCTCTGCGTGCCTCGAAGGGTCAGGACTGGACTCTGCCTAGAGGGTCCTCCCGGAATTTTGCTGCATGGAGGCTCAATCTGCAGTCCTCTAATTTGGATGTTCCAGAACCGTCCACGGCTCTGGAGCACCCCGTGCTCCTCCCCCCAGGGCCACGAGAGCCTTTCTGCCACAGGCACCCAGGCTCTGCCACCTGAGGGGAGCCAGGGTTCCCATGCAGCCCCACGCTCAGCAGCCCTGCGGTAGGGCTGGGTAGGGGCGGGTGCCATGCTCAGGGCCGGAACAAATTGCCTTCTTAATAGAGTTTTCCACTGGAGCGGAGCTCCTTGACTTCAATTTATCCCCAACAGGAAGCAAGCGCATTACAATTATGCCACATTATAACACACGAGGTCACCACACCGGCCCATCGCCGAGGACGAGAGGGAGCAAGGGCACAGCAGGACACGTAGGGGACGCCTGTGAGCCCCCTTACCTCCACTGAGGTCCTGGGTCTCCATGTGGACCAGGTTGGGGTCAGCGTCCACCCCAGACACAGCCCTGGAAGAGAAGCCAAGGTTGGCGCGGCAGCAGCTCATGGGCTCTTGTACACGGGGTCCCCACTCCCAACCCGCACCCAGGGCTCCAGCCCGGGTCTGAGGCACCCCTGCTCTGTGGGACCCGGGGCACAGCCTCCCTGAAGCCCGGGAGCAGATGGAGCACTGCCCTCTCTGCAGGAGCCTGGGGTGGGCACTGTGACTTCCCCGCTTGGCTCGGGAGATGGGCAGCCCGGGTACCGCCCGAAAATGCAGACAGAGGGCTCAGAGGAGCAAAGCGGCTCCAAGGCCGCACAGCCCTGTGAGGTCCAGATCCCCACCAGCCCCGGTCTGAGCTGCACCATCCCCTTCACCTTAGGGTGGCTGCTGGTCACCCACATCCCGGACCCCTCCCCAGGGGCTCCCCTGCCGCTGCCAGCCCCCCAGTGAGGTGAAGGCTCTGGTGTAGCTGCACACCCTGTCACTGCCCCACAGCTGGCACCAGGCTCTGCCCGTGCTGGGTTGGACGGTGTGTGCAGGCAGCGCCCTGTGCACCTCACAGGGGCGCCCCTGCAGCCCACCAGAGGCCAGGGTGCCATGATGTGCCCACAGCTCCCCTAGGTCTGCCCGGCCCACACGCTGCCCTGTTCACGATGGCAGCCTGTGCCCCATGGGGCTCTGCCTCTGGAGAGGCGGGGACTAACAGTGGGTGGCACTGGCAGGGGTCCACGGGCGTCTCCAGGAGCCAATGAGACCACCCTGGCCAGGCCCCCAGGCCCACGGGACAGAGGTGGATGCCACGCAGCAGGGTGGCGGGGCCTGGCCAGGGTGCTCCCGCTGGGACCTGCCCCACCCTCACTGCAGCGCCTCTCCCAGCCCTTCGGTTTGGGGCCAGCCTTGGAGGTCAGTGTGGACGGCAGGAGCCAGGTGGCCATGCTGAGGCCTTGTGAATTCCTGCCCGGCCTTCCCTGGACCACACGTAACTGGATGCCACCTGCCTGCCAGGAATAGCACCAGGCCTCAGCCTCCTGCTGGCAGGACGCCCCAGAAATCACGCATTTCAGGAGCTGGTCCCACTTGCCCCTCCAGCATGACACGACATTCGCCACCCATCGGCCAGACCCGGCCTCTCAGGGGCCCCTGCCCTGGAGCGAGCTGACCCTCTGTGGAGGCCGCCCCGCCTGCCCGTGGTCACGCAGCACCATGGACAGGAGCGCTGCCGTCCCCAGGGCTGACAGCCCCGCGGGCATGGAGCTGGTCCCTTTCGTCCTCACCTGCCTGGTGCCGGTCCTGCCTGCTCCACCCCTCCAGGTACCCAGGGGCCCCAGCGGAGATGCAGGTGCAGTGGAGTGGGGCAGCCCGAGGGGTATCAGAGACCAGAGCACCAGTGCCCATCATCCCAACCCTCGGCAGGGAGTGCCACTTCCGAGGAGGCTGCGGATTCCAGCGCTGGGCTCCACGAGCTCCCAAAGGGCCTCCTGCCCATCCTGCTCCTTCTGCAGAGCATGCCCATGGCCAGCCAGCACGCAGGCTCCAACTCCAGTGGCCACATGGGTTGGGCCGCAGCCACCCTCTGCTGGTGGGAAGGTGACGCCTGGCCTGTCAGGGCCCCTCACTCAGTCGTTCACTCATTCACTCATGCACTCGTCAGTCGCTGGCTCACTCGCAGTGGCTGTAGGCCTGGTCCCTGCCTGAGACCCTCGGTGTCGGAGGACCACGTGTGACTCGCCTGTAGCAGCCCAGACAGAGCCAAGCTCCCTGCAGGAAACCTCCTGGTTGGAGGCTTTCGTGTCTGCTGAGGTCCCCCGAAGGTGCTCGAGAAAGGGCAGAGCCTGGCCCCAGACCTGGCTTCAAACAGGATCACGGGAGAGGAGGGCAGCAGCAGCCCTGGGAGAGGGAAGCCTGAGAACGCAACAGTGACTCCCGCTTCTGAAGCACAGGGTTCTGGGGCCCTCCCGGGCGCGGTCGGTGCTGTGGCCCAGGCCTCAGAAACAGTCTCTGCTCTCACTTCCTCCTGCCATAGACGGAGCCTCCTTCTGCCCGGTTGGATGGGGCCAGGGCCAGGGCTGCTCGGGGCCAGCAGGACTGGGGACGAATGCCTTCTCCCTGACCTCTGTTCCCCTCTGCCACACGAGGGCAAGACTCAGGCTGCCCTGGGATTCCAGAGACCCTGGGTACATGGCTCAGTGCCTGGCGGCCGGTCAGTATGCAAGGCAGGCGGCTGCTAGGGTTTTCACTGGGCTGCAGAGGGGTGGCAGGAGGAACAGGGTGCTGAAGGCAACAGGTACGGCACCTGGCACCTCCGCTGCCACCCCTGCTCCGACGCCCTAATGAGCTTGCTTGTTGTGCAGCGTAATGAGGCCACCTCAGCAGTTCCCGCTGTCAGTCCAAGGACAAAGACTCCTCCTCGACAAAGCTGTCAAAACAGCATTATTCACCGCGTGCCATGGGGCCCCACCAGCGGCTGTCACCACATTCCAGGAGGATCGTGCAGCCGGCCGAGAGCAGAGTGGTGCGATTATCTCTCACGCCTAACAGCTCCAGCACTTGGGGAAACTTGGGGGAAGAAACAACTTGATTTGCTGGAGATAATAGTATGTTTGAATTATTGCCAATTTCCCTGTCAGTGTCCATGTGCTGGTTTCTCTCTCTGGCCAGAGCGGTTTCTGTGAAGCAACCAGGGCTGGGACGTCCTGTGGCCTGGCCTGGGACTGTCGCAGCACTGCAGGGCTTTGCTCCCCGGGGCCCTCGAGGCTCAGCGACGCCCCCACTTCCTGGGAGTCCTCAGGGCCCAGAGGTCCCCTCACCTGGCTGCTCCCAGTCCTAACAGCCACTGGCTGATGGTGGCACCTTGGCTCAAAGAAGGTCCTGGGCTCTCCGTGGACAGCACGGAGAGACCTCTGTCACTTCTCCCTGGAGCGGAAGGCATGGGAGCCAGGAGTCTGTGCCCAGAGAGATGCCAGGATTTAGATCTAGAGCTCCTCAAATGGCTCTTGGGTTTAGAGGGAGGCCTTGGAGGTGCCTGGACCGTGAGGTGCTGCGTGGGTCAGAGGTTTCACCCGGGGAGGAGCTCAGGGCCGACCGCGCTGCAGTTGAGGCTTGGTTGGAGGTGGTCACTGGGGTGTGATCTGGAAGCACGTGTTCTTGTCCTCCATCCCTCCCTCTCTGCTTCCTGTTTCCAACCAGGGGAAACTGAGGCCCAGGGAGGGGATCTGAAGGATGTGTCGCTACAGGTCTGAGGGTGTCCAGCCCTGGACCTGAGGGTTTCGAATGCCATCCTGCTGGAGCCACTAGTACTCCGGGGCCCCTGGGGTGGGGACTTACAGGGCTGGGGACAGGGCAGGAGGACAGGAAGGCGCTCACCAGAACACATGGTCTTTGGTCACTTGCTCCTGCAGAAGCGTCCACTTCTTTCCCAGGTCCAATGACACATAGAGCTTCAGGCCAGAAAAACAAAGCAAAAGTCTGGTTAGGGCGTCAGGAACGAGCCACTTCTGAGAGATGGTGACCTCCCGCTGCGCTGGGTGCCAGGGGGCCCTGTCTTGCCCCACAGACTCAGACTGCGCCCAGGGAAACAGACAACCCTCAGCGCCGACGCGGGAAGGGGGCTCCATGCCCAGCCAGCCCACCCCAGAGGTCAGCTGGCAGGAGCAGGACGAGGGCCTCTAGGGTGAAATCCAGAGAGGCCTCCCAGAGGACGTGTGTGGGAGCCTGCAGCCAGGAAAGACTGCACAGCACCCGACTGAGAGCAGACAGGGAGCGGGAGGGCGGTGCAGTGCCTGTGCCGGCCGATCCTGGGGTCCTTCGCTCCTGTCTCCTCCCAAGGCCCCATGCTGGCCCCACCCTCCAGGCCTGAACATCTGCCCAGCCGGACCTAGGCCCCTGAGCCCCAGGTGGGTGCCATTAATAGCGTAGATCCATCACACGGACGGGTCGAGAGAGACTGCAAAAGGAGGAGGAAGGTTTGTCCTGGGTTTTGATATTTCCCCTTTTGCCACCCCAACTTCCATGGGGGTGGGGGCTGGAGCCAGGGGAGGCGATCTGGGGCCAGCTGGGAGCACAGAGGAGTGGACCAGAGGGGTGTGGAGAGTCTGGCTGGCATGGGTGGGCAAGGAGGTGGCCCTGGGGGCTATGCCCGGGGCTCTGCCAGGCATCCTGGTGCAGCCTGCATCGAAGAGATCTTCGGAGGCGCCCAGTGGAGTTGCTGAGCCCCAAAACTGTGCCCTCCCATACTTTCCTGGGGATGAGGCCCCTCCTCTGCTGGTGACACAGTCTGAGAGGGACCTGAGATGGCCTGGGCAGGAGGGGCCAGCTCTGGGGGTGGGAGTAGGGCGGCAGGCAGGAAAGAGACCCCTCTATGCCACTCCAGCCCCACCAGGCAAGGGACCCAGTTGCTCCGTGTTTCCATGGAAAGCCATGGTGGGTATGAGACAGGACCCCAAAACACAGTCCCTAGAAATGGAGGGGACATCAGAAGCAGTGGGTGACCCATTCCTTCCCCTCTTCTCTGAAGCAGGTGGGGAAACCCAGGGGCACCCTCTGACCAGGATGCCACACAGGGCCCCCACGAAGACTGAACCGGGGCCTGGCTGAGCCCTGTGCACGCCTGTGAGAGCCCCCGCCACTTCCCCCAGGCCTGGCATGAAGACACACGGGCTCCCTCCCTGGTCTCGCCTGCGTTTCTGCAGGCTCCGGGTCTCGCCAAGCTGGCCCTGAGCAGCTCAGCTACGCTTTCCCTCCAGCAGCTGAACTGGGGAAGAATGAACATCGCCTTTCCCCGAGCTCTTGCCCAGTTCCCAGCCTGCTCCACAGCCTGGTGCCTCCACAACACCGTGCCCAGGGGCAGCACAGGCCCTGGAGGCCAGAGAAGCCTGGATGCTGAGCATCATGGGACGCCACAGAGGCCCCAGGGTCCTGAGCGGTGGGGGCTGTGCCTCAGCCACATGGGCACCCGGCCTCACATTCCCCTTGCCAGGCAGCCAGGGTGGCTGCTGCAGGCTGAGCCCCTCCACGGGCAAGCCCACTCTCTCTCCTTCCTCTAGCCCTCCCAGAGCTTTGGTGGCAACCCCACGTGGTGTCCCTCTGCCCAGGTCCCCAGGGCCTGGCAGGACATGAGGGTGCTGGCAGCAGGCTGGCCCGGGGAAGCAGGAGGTGTCCAGGCGGCTGGGCACAGTAGGCCTGTGCCTCAGCCACTGAGGGCCGCAGCTATGGTCTCACTGTGGTCGCAGAAGTTCATGGGTTGAAGACTTAATCCTAAAATTTGTGTGTTCTTGGGGTTTGGAGGCTTCTGGGAGGTGACAGGGGTCAGAGCAGTCAGGAGAGCCCCCCAGGGTACCACTGGTGGCTTTAGGAGAGGAGAGATCCAAGCAGGCAGGTGGCCCTGTCCTTGGTGGGAGCCCTGAGCCAGGTTACGATGCACTTCGAGGCCTGGCCAGCTGCCCAGCAGGGGCCTGTGCCAGGTGCGTTGGACCCCAGTCGATAAACCTCATTCTTCATGATCACCCAGCCTCACGGCTGGCGTCACAGGCGGGCTGGGGGCAGGTCCTCCGTCCCTCTGTCTGGGGACACTGTGAGGAGGGCAGGGAAGGCAGGATTCCTCCAGCAGGAAGTCTGGTCTGCTCTCTCCAGAACGGCAGCATCAGGAAGGCAGGGCCATGGGCAGCCAGGGGTGCAGGTGGGGCAGCTGCCATTCGCTTCTTTCTCCTTCCCATGCTTCTCCTCTTCCTCTTTCTCCTCCTCTTTCTCCCCCTCTTCCTGTCTAGTCTATTAAATGACTTCTCTCCCTCTGACCTGCCCACTGGGCCATCCTACCACAGCTGAGAGGGGCCCTGTCCTCTACTGTAGCCACCCCACCCCTCTGGCCACCTCAGCCCCCCCGCTGGCCCTGCTGTGTCAGCCAGGGGTCAGCTTAGGGTCCTTAGAGACACCAGAATACTGACGCTGCCAACTCCCGCTCAGCACTGCAGCTGACAGCCATTCCCTCCTGGAGTGGGAAGGAACGCACCTCCTTCCACGTGTGGGCTTGGGCCACCCGCTTCCCTTGAGCCGGCCGGTACACAGCAGCGTTTTCTGAATGAAGGAGCACATTTGACTCCAGGGCAAGTGAGATGAGCTTGTTCTGCAAAGGGCTAGAGGGTAAGTGTCCTCTGCTCTGAGGCAACCACTCACCCTGCTTCTGAGCAAGGAGCCAGCCAGAGACCACACAGGCATCTCTGTGGGTGTGGCTGAGTGCCAATAAAACTTTATTTACAAAAACAGGCGGTGGGTCATTTTGTGCAATGCCAGCTCCGGGACGCAGGACAAGAAATTCTCTCCTGTACTATTCAAAAGGACTTGAAGCAAACCGTTCTTCCCCAGGACATGAACCTTATGAGGACAAGGAGCTCACATACCTCATCCAGCCCATGGAATGGCCCAGTATGAGGTAGGGGCTCAGAAAACTCCTGTACCATGCGTGCAGTGGCTCTGAACTCAGAACTTCCTGTGTGGCCCTCAATGAGAACATCTGGCCCCAGCTGTGGTGTTTTATACAGCCAGATGCTGAGCTAAGAACATCAAATGTGGCTTCATTTGACACACATGTGTAAATGCTCAGACACACTCATGCACCACCCATAAGATGTGCAATTTTCCTTCTTTACAGATGAAAGAACTGAGACTCAGAGAGCGGACATACAGCAGAATTCCCTCCACATAAGTCTTCACTCATTCCTAGGCCAGTGACAGAGGAGTGCCCTGGGAAGGGTGGCTGGACTCTGGGTCATCTGGTGATCCAGGCCAGGCCCCTTCTGCCTCATGTCTCAGTTTACTCAGCCAGAAATTGGGAGAGCACTGTGCATACCCACAACCAGTCAGGGAATGAAGAGGCTGCAGCCATCACTTTCAGAAGGTTGGTGGCAAAGCTTCTGCATTCGTGGGTGGTATTATCTCTGTCATCACTGCTGTGCTAGCGTTTGTGATGCCTGTCCCCAGACTTTATGGAGGCTTTCCAGTGCAGTCTCACGGGAGGCAATTTTACTACCCACCATCAACTGCTGCAGAAATAGAATATTTCTGCCTAATAAATGACAAATACCAGCAAATAAACAAGAGTAAACACACCAGAGAGACCCTCATCTGTCTTCACAGCTGAAACCTATGCGGGGATGCCCTGAAGGAGGGGTGCAGCTCAGAAAGCAGCAGACAGAGTGTGCTCAGAGGCATCTGCCCCCTGATAGGAAGGCGAGAAGGGAAGAGGCCAGGCAAGGCAGCACGTAGGAGCAGAGGGAAGGGCATACAGGAGGACATGGCAGGGTGAGCCTCAGGGGCACCTGGGGCTGCAGCTCTTCCTGGGTTAGAGGTGGCAGCTGGGTGCAGGTGGAGGCACTCCTCCTTTGCTCAGGGCACCATGCTGCCCTGTCCAGGCTGGGAAGCTCACGGCCAACACTGCTTGGACTCCCTTGCAGCTAGATTCCTGGTCAGAGAGTTGCACCCAGGAGATCAGGAAGCCAAAGTGAGCTGAGGCATTGTCTTGCCTCCTTGCGCATTTCTGGTGGTCAGCAGGTCAGGAGCACCTGCTCCAGCTCAGGGGTGGAAAGGAGAGGGCTCATGGGGAGCAGGAGCTGGACTCTGTACTCCAGTGACCCCAGCCAGGCCAAGGGGGCTGCAGCAGTAGCCACGTCAGCTGCCTGGATCTCACCCCAGCCACAGGTCCTTGACCTTGGTAGGCCCAGTGGGCTCCTGGTATCCACCTCCCTGATGGGCAAAGCTGGACACTCCTTGTGGGCCAGACTGGCTGGCTCTGGGAGATGTCCATGGGAGTCCAGCTCTACTAACAATTTAGAAAGCACCAGGTCCTGTAGGTTAAGTTCCCTTTGTGCTAAAATATCCAGAGTGGTGAACTGTCCCTGCCCTGAGCTCTGGGACATGCAGTGGTCAGAGCCAGAATGAGCACATCCTGAAGCTGAAGGTTTCCTCACTCACAAAATTGTTCTGTTCCTTGGGAGAAGTTTGTATCTTCTTGGTTCTGCAGCCTGAAGTCAGAGAGGGCTATAAACACAGTATTGCAGCTTACAGTCTTGCCAGCAGCTCAGGTACCAGCTGATATTCATAGCACAACATGAAGTCTGCACTTCTCAGCCCAAATTACGGGGACCCTTTCCCTAGCGACATCCCATGCCTGCTGCCATGACAACACCATTGACCTTTCCTGTGGCATGGATACATGCACACACTGCTTTCCTGAGGATGGTAGGACTGTGGGGCTTCCTTTTCCTTTTTTTTCCCTGTGTGATCACCTTTATTGCTCTGAAGTTGTGTTAGACAGCAATACACTGTGACCAGCTTTTTAGGCCCCTAGTCAAACACACACTCACTCCTCTGTTTCTGGGAGGCAGTCCCAGGCTTGGATCAATTTCTCACAGTTCTGGGAGGCAGAAGAGATTCTTGACAGGGAGTAAAGTATAGTAAAACACAATGAAATATGACAGAAAGTCTCACTGTTTTAGAAGTAGCACCCACAGCTCTGCCAGCAAGCAGAGCACAGAGAAAACAGGCTGGTGGGTGCTGTGCCCACCGTCCCCAGTAAGCTGGCATGGGAAGGAACTGCCAGGTTTCACACCCTCCTGCTCCTGGGCGGCCCTCGAGTTTGCTGATCCTTGGGAGGAAAGCACACTGGGCTGTCTCCCAGGGAGCCTTCCAGACCCCAGGTCAAGGGCTCAGAACACCCCAACTTGTGCTGGCACAGGAAGGGGGAACTAAGAGGAGGGCGTGGGCAGCCCAAGGCTGGGCAGAAGTCTCTACAGAGCACGACAGGCACCAAGGAGGAGGAGGGGGCAGGGAGGGAGGGCTCTGGTCTGAGTCTGCAGATGCTGGTGAGTGGCATGGCTGCCACCCATGGCATACGACTCTGGGCGTGGCACATGCCTTGCTTTGGTCAAAGCTGTGTGCATGGAGGTCAAGGCTGACAAGTTAAAGCTGCTTGTGCAGTTGTTTTGTCCCCAGAGCCTCAGCCCCAGAATAGCACATTCTCCAGGAGAGAGTCACGGGACCTGCAACCCAGTCACCAGGGCACCCAGGGCATGTTGCCCCAGCCAGTGGGTCCTGGGGCTGTGTGTTACTTAGCACATAGCAGCAGGCATAGCCTAATACACCAGATTTGCTGGAACCCAAAGCTGGCCTTGTTCCACCCAGTTTCCTGGGAATTAGAGAGCTCTGAAAAACCGTAAATTTCCCCCCAAGTTAAAGCTCTGCTGCCATTCTTATTAATTCCCCCAAATTCCTCTTTCCTGTTATAACCACAACTAAGCCTTTTTTCTCCCCTTTTTCTTTCCTTGTAGACACAAAAAAGAACCAAGGAAAATAACCAAGATTTCAGCTCCATTAATTTTTCAGGGCACCATAAATTAAAGAGCAATTGCAATGCAGTCAATTTCTGCAGGAAAATAAGTCTCCGTGATTGTGCTTTGGTCTAATTACATGGAAAGCTAAGTAGTGCTATTAATACCCAGCAGCACATCCTGTCCCCAAGGAGGTGGTTGGAGTAGAGAGGCAGCCCAGAAGGCTAGGGAAAGGCAGGGATCCAGATAGCAAGTAGGCCTCGGCAGGGAGGCCAGGCCCCGTCAGCAGCTAGGAGTCTCCATCTGGAGGACTCCGACCCGGCTCATCACTTCTGATAGAAATTTGTCATCCATGCATTCATTTATTTATCTAACCAGCCACCACGCATTCATTCAGTCAGCCACCCACCTCCCTCCCATGCATCCATCTGTCCATATACCTGCCTGGCCCAAACCCACACCTGTGTCCAATCCTACTGTCATCTACAATGCCCTTCTATGCATGCATCCATCTGTCCATTTCCTCATCCACCCCAACCTTGAGTCCACTCATCTATCCAGCCATGCATGCATGCATCATCCACCTCTTTATTCTTCCATACACCCAGCCAGCCACACATCCATCCATCTATCCATCCAACCATGCATCCTTATAAACTAGAGGAGCTGGGGAGACTTCACACCTGTCCTGTGCACACATGTGCCCACAGGAGTGCGCACCCACATGTACACACAGTGCACACACAGTGCGCACGGTGGAGATGGGGCGGAGAATCTGGAAACGCTGCCCTAAAGATGGTGCGATGCAGCTACAAGCCAAGGGGCACAGCAGTCACTGGAACCTGGGCAGGACAAGGACCAGTCCCCCCTGGAGCCTGCAGAGGGAGCCAGACCTGCAGACACCCCGATTCCACCCAGAGGAGCCACGTTCCAACTTCCGGCCTCTGGAACAGCCAGAGAACGCATGTATGCTGTGTAAGATGTCCAGGGGCTGCAGGAGCTCACAAAGGCCCTGGCCTCCGGCCGTGGTGCCTCTTCTTACCTCAGCTTCAGGAGCCTAGCTTGGCCTCCCTCCTCACACACCAGCCAGTGTTCTCCCACCTGCCTGAGCCACCCTGGCTGACACACACTGCGAAGGGCGCTGGCCTGTGGGAAGGTGCCAGATTCCTTTGGGACCTGGGGGACACAGCTCCCAGTGGGGGCCTGATGCCCCTGGACGATCCTCTCTCCCAGTGTCTGGGCAGAGGCGAGGCCTAGCAAGGCTGGCAGGGGAGGGTGGGCAATGGTCCAGAAGTGGAGAAAGCCCTTCCTTCCAGCCAGGGTGAGAGGAGAGGTAGACAGCCATGACCCCGTCCTCTCTATGCCTTCCTGACCCAGTCTCCACCTGGCCTAGCTCCCAAGCAGGTGGGTGACTCCAGATGCTGACTTAGGGCTCCAGGGTCTCATAGCCCCAAACAGGCCACTGCTGCGCCGGCCCAGGATGCTGAGTCCCTTTGATGGAAAAGTCAGCTTCCGCGCTGACATTTGTCCAACCGGGCGCCTCCCCTGTGGGGCTGGTGACCCCTGACCCCAGACAGCATGCCCGCGCCCTCCTACCTTGCTCTCCTTGGTGTAGGCCAGGACCTTGTCCTCGTCCCTGGGGTGGAAGAGGAGGGTCTCCACGAGGAAGGTGATGGGCTGCCTCTGGAAGCTGGTGCCCTCGTCGGTGCTCAGGAAGAGGTTCTGCTCACGGTCACTGAGCGAAGAGCTCACCAGGATGATCTGAAACAGAGCGGGTGTGAGGCCCGGTGCAGAGGCGGAGCCGGGTGGGTCCCCATGCTCAGCAGGGCAAGGGCGTGCGGAAAGGAGTGCTGGCCACGCAGCTTGCCCTGCTGCTCAGTGCTGAGCACAGTCATTCCCTCACTCATTCATGGGGTGCCCCAATGCCCCACACTGCTGTGGAGGCTGAGGCTTCACCCTGACCCAAGGTCCAAGGTCTCTGGCAGAGACAAGAATCTGCTCTGGGGAGCTGGGATGGGACAGTGGGCACATCACCCACGTGTCTGAAACAGGGATTTGGGGACCATTAGTGCCCCCCGAAGAGCAAAGCAGGATAAGGGTGGGTAAGTGAGAGGACAGCACCGGCCCAGGGACCCCTGGGAACTCGGGCTGGGGAGGGGCAGGAGCAGGGAGACGCGGTAGAGGTTGAGCTCTGAAGGCTGGGGGGCCCTGTGGTGGGCTGCACGGTGTCCCTGGAAAGACAAACCCACACCTCACCCCATACCTGGAAATGCGACCTTATCTAGAAATGGGGTCTTTGGCAGTGTGGTCAAGGACCTCGGGATGAGACCTTCCTGGACTTGGGGTGTCCCTAGGTCCAATGGCGGTGTCCTCAGAAAGATGGGGAAACAGACAGATGGCGGCGGCATGAAGACATCAGAGGGTGTGTCTGCGAGTCTCGGAGGACCTGCATTGCGGGCCATGCCTGATGCTGGAAGGCGCAATGCTGGGATGTCCCCGAGCCCCTGCAGGAACGGTCACTGTCCACATTCTGACACCTGGTGTATCGTGCCTCGGGTCTTGAGAGGACGGCTTCCCAGTCCCAGGTGCACGGTCGGAGTGGCCACAGGACACGCGCAGCTGTGGGGGAGCCTTGCAGAGTGGGGAGGGAGGTCACCCGGTCATAGCATCACAACGTCCTGGGTGCGGTGGAGATGGGTCCCAACGGATGTGCAGGACGGGGGGCATGTGGGGACCGTGGCCTGGTCGGTGTGGGGACAGCGGCTCCCTCCCCGCAGTGTCTACACCACGCCTCCCTGCAGCGCATTCCCAGTGACAGTGCCCTCCCACGGAGAGGCGGCCTGGGTACTGTGCGGCTTTCAAATCGGCCACAGGCTCTGTGAAGAGGCCCAGGGCTCCCGCTCTGCACCACGTCCTCAAGGCCTCCTTGGGGAATGCCGTGGAGTGCTAGCAACACGGATGGGGATGCACGGCACTCCCTGGGTGCCCATGCACGGGGCTGCCAGCCTTTCCTTCGCCTCCACTTCTGCTTCCTGCTTCCCTAGACTGCACAGGGTTCCCCTGGCCTCGCAGAGGGTGGGAAGGGCTTTGGCAGAGCAGGGAAGGCCGCCATGGGATGTGACCCCTTACGGTCGCACAGCCAGCAAGTCAGGGCCAGATGAAAATGCGGGCCCAGTGCAGGGCATCGGGGTGCAGCGGGCCCAGGGTCATTGGTCCCAGCCCCTGCGGGATGGGATCAGGTTAGGGTTGGCAGAAAACCATGGCCTCTTCCCATCTCTCATTTCCACAAGGCCTCTGGACTGTCAGCTCTTCGGACAGAATCACATCTGGGTTCTTGTGGCATAGGGGCCGGGCCTGTACTCAGTCTAGACAGCGGGTCAAATCCCACACATGAACTCAGCCGAGGTTACTTACGGGTCTGTGCCTCAGTTCCTTTGTTTGTCAAATAGGGAGAATAGCGTTACTCCCTCCCACTGTGCCTGATACCCAGTGAACCTTCAGGGAGCAGTGACAGCATAGCCAGGCTCTGCAAGGGATTCTAGAGGAATTCTCTCTGTGCTAGTGTCTCTGCTTGCAAGATGGGGAAACTGAGGCACAGAGAGAGGTGGCAAATGGCCAAGGTCACAGAGCCAGTCAGGAGGGGGCCAAGCTCAGGGCGTCCCTGGGCCTGGAGCCCGGTAGGTGTGCAGGGTGAGCCGGACCAGCCGAGAGGGAGCTCGGCCCAGGTAGCACGGACACGGCCTGCAACAGCCTCCCACACTTCGCCCCAGAGCCTGCCCTAAGTGAGCAGCTGTCGCCCCTCACCATCCCTTCCCAGCTCTCCCACCAACCTTAACTCATCTCCTGCAGCACAGAACCCTCCTCTCCTCAGGACGTGACTGTGGCCTCCACTGACACGGACTCTCCAGGTGCCTGCTCCCTGCCATGGGGACAGGTGGTGCCCTCTCAGATGTCTTCCTGGCCCCGGGTGGTACGGAGGCATTCACAAAGGGACCGTGGCACGGAGGGAGCAGGGCAGAACCACCCAGTGCTGAGTTTTCCATGCATTTACAGGGGCAAAACCAGAAGGCGGTGTGTTATGTCCTGGCCAGGGTAAGTGCGCAAGTCAGAAAGTATGACTGTCAACAGAAAATGCACAGCAACAAGGGCGGAAGGCAAGAGAGTGGGCAGCTGTAAGGGGTGGAGGTGCAAGGAATTGACTGATTGCAGTACCGGGGCTCAAACCAAGGGATTCCGCGCGTGTGAGGCAAATGTTCTACCTCTGAGCTACGTCCTTAGCCATTCACTCATCATTCTTTCATGTTTGAAACAGGATCTCACTAAGTTGCCTGGTCTGACCTTTGAACTTGCCACCCTCCTGTCTCAGCCTCCCGATGAACTGGGATTATAGGAGCACGCCACTGCACTGGCTATTTTTTAAGTAAATTTTCCTATTTTAGAGCGATGTCTTATTTCCAGAAAAAAGGCAAAGATAACACAGAATTCTTCCCTATCTTGCACCTGGTGTCCCCCTTATTGACCGCTGACATCACTATGGTACATTTGTCACCACTAGGACACCAGCACTGGTACATTGGTACCGCTAGACCAGCGATGGAGAGCCTTTCAGAGCTTTCAATGATACAAACAACCTGCTGCGGCACGTGTGTCATAGGTTTGCCACCACTGATCTAAACGGAATGTCTGACCTTTCGGCTGGCCTGGGCTGCCCTGAGTGAAGAGGAATTGTTTGGGGCTGCATATAAAATCTATACTACAGCTAATGTGCATGGGTAACAGGACTCTGTACATTTTAACTTACTACTTTAAGAAATAGCACCAAGGCCCAAGTTTGACGATTAAATAAGAAAACTCACATGCCGGGTTAACAATAAATGCTTGTGCTCACAGGCACACCCCTGCACAGGTGGACGGATATACTACGATGGCCACATCGACACGCCAAGTGAAGTGTGCTACACGCAGGCTTTGGCTAGGCTGCCGGCAGGAGCAGGAGAGGGGCCAGATCCACATGGCGCCTGCCCTGACCTGGCGCCCCTGGTCACCTGTACAGCTTGTGCTCAGACACGGCGCAATGGACTCATAGAAAGAACGCTAAAAATCACACAACAGTGGTCAAAGTGTCCGGCCTTGCAGGCTCACACTCGGGTCACACGTGGCCCACAGGCCATGGGTGCAGCGCACCTGATGCAGATGCCACGCTGTGGTCAGAGGTCCACGTCCTGTCCCAGCACCCTGGCTGGGCCACCCCGTGACACGTAGCCCTTGGGCTGTGAGTTCTCAGGCTTTCCCTGCTTGGTCATCCTTGACAGTTCTGAGGGGCACAAACAGTTCTTAGGGTGCCCCTAGTAGGGACTTGTGATGTGCTACTTGAAGTGTGCCTGGAGCCACGAGGGTGCCCAGGAGGAGCCCGTCCTTATTACAGCATGTGGGCACAGCATCACCAGGGCCCAGCATGGGTGGTGACACCCTGGCAGGGACAGCGCTCCGCCTCCTCCCTCCTCACTGCCCCTTTTGGAAGGAAGTTGCCATGCACACCCCACACCTAAGGCCCCTTGAGGATGCTGCAGCTGAGGACACTGCAGTGAAGAACTTGGAATTCTTGTGCACGGGAGGTTTGTCTCTTCTCTACTATTTACTTATTTAATCCTTTATTCATATCAGTAGGAACTCATGCATATTTATTTTCTATGTTGAGTTGTAATTCGATACTATTTTGTTTATTTTTGAGACAGGATCTCACTATGTGTCTCAGGCTGGCCTTGAACTTGCAGCAATCCCCCTGCCTCAGCCTCCTGAGTGCTGAGGTTATAGGTGAGCACCCCTATGTCTGGCTTCAATGCTATTTTGAAATTGGGTTGCTTGGTTCATTCAGCTCTGGCTCTTGGGAGCCCTTGAGGCTTGGCCCTGTGTCCCTCTGATGCCGGCCACTGTCACTCCTTAAATACCTGGCATTGCGTGTGGAAGCCCAGGAGAATGGGAGAGAAGGAATAGGTTGTCCAGATGTCCTGAGTGAGGCTCCGCCCACTCTGTGCCCATGAGAGGTCCACGGCCTGCACACCCAGCCCCAACAAGGCCATTGCCCGGGGCTCCCAACTCCCCACACTGAAGAAGTGTCCACTCTGTGCCCTGACTGTGGTCCCCAGGTGACTCCTCTCTTGTACCCCGGCCCCCAGCAGGTCAGGCCAGATGAACCCAGACCACACCCGCAGGCTGCAGAGATCATCCGCAGCCCACCGGGTGTTGCCCATGCTCTCTGTCCTTGAGGATCACGAAGGACCAGGATGCCCAATCCTGCCCCTTGGGATTCAGAATCCAGCTTGGCTTTCAAAACCATAGTGTCCATGTGCAATAAAGTTAAAGTAGCCTCCCTCAGTTTTGTTTGAACACAAAATTCCAGGCTGCTTCAATGAACCTGACTGGTTCTCATTTCCTTCTGGGCCCCTGCACACGGCCACCTGCTTCCCCTTCTTCTCTGCTGAGACTCCCATGATGCTGCCTCCTCCAGGAAGCCTTTCAGGGCACAGTCACCCCTTTCCCTGCCTGTCCATCTGCAAAGCCCAGCAGTCCCTGGCGGTCTCATTCCGGGCTGTCTGCTCTCGAAGCCTGGCAATGCTATATCCCAGCTCGGGCACAGGGCCTGGCATAGGTGCCACATCTCAAATGAGCTCTGGACACGGGCTCTCCTCTCCATCACAGTCCTGTGTCTGCTCTGCCACACCCTGAGGGAGGCCCGGGGCTCTGCCGGGGATGACCCCAAG